AAAATGATCATAATCCAAAATTTAACAGGTAAAAATATGTCAAAATACCTAATCATTTTGTTTATCAGCTTGACAGAATCCTACAACTAGAAAAGGGAAGAGCTTAATCTTTTTAAAACAACAGGATGCTTACTACCTTGTGTTGCCTGGACGCAGTATCTTCACTCAGGGTTGCAGCAAAACCAGGAGGGAATCAGGACTAATTAGATCTCAGAGATATTTATACATTTTAGAATGCCTCATATATACATCATTTTTCTCAGTAGAAAACTGTTGGGTTTTGATAGAGAGGAAGGGGAAGGGGCTCTAAATGCTGCTTTTTCTGATCAGCCAGACCAGGCAAACTTTGATGCAGTTTTTCCATTCCTAGTATGTCACAGGTCTACAAAACACTGAAGTAGGAAACATCTGCTTTCTAAATCTCTGCAGTCACCTGTCTTGTAAGCAGCAGGCAGCCAGAGACAGTAAATCTGCTATAAAATCAGTCTTTCTCTTCAAAACAAAGAAGTATCTCAAGAGAGTTTTGTTTATTATCATTATTTTTGGCTGGATAAAATAGACTTATGCCAAAGGTCCCTTCAGCTTCCTCAGTATGCCCCTCAAAATAGTTTCTTTTACTAACATCATATGGGCACATATAGGTTTTCTTCCTCAAGAAGTTTAGCAGCATCAGAGGTCATTCTTAAAATGAGGCAATGAGCTGGTAGTCTAGATCTGCTCTGATACAACAGATAAAGTTATTTTTCCCCACTTAGTGTTTCAGGCTTCAGCACAACAATTTCTGTTGCTGAAGGTAATTTTGAAAACTCAATAAACAATATACTGAAGTCAGGTCTTGGCACGATGTGACATTAAAATATCTTCAGTAGGTACAGTGAGAAAGTTACATAACTCATCTTTGAGTGACATGAAGACCAATGCAGAACTTCAGTGTCAAGCCTCTGTAATGTGGCTGAGGGTAATTTTTAGCCAAGAGAAAAAGCGAAATGAGAGAACTTCCACACATCCAGCAAACTAATGTCTTGCAGGAAATAGTGCAACTGAATGAAAAAAGAAAAGATCAGTGGTGCAGTAAAACTCCCTTCTTGAGGAAAGTACAACGATAAGATCACTTGGTATAACTTCATGGAAAGCTCAGCTCTTTTGGAGAGATTCTGAAACAGAAGTGGGAATACAAATCTACCATGTCTTGCATAATAGGTCTTTCAGACGTGTTCTTTAGCCCATAGTGATCAGTGGGTTCTAAAGATGCAGCATCCTCTATTTTGTTCCTCTAGGTCACTGAAGTTCTTCTCTTGGTTATATCTGAGGATTAGTTGTGTGTCTCCTGAGAAGACAATGCTTCTGAAAAAAAAAAAAAAAGGAGTTGGGGGGGAGACAGCAAAATACATGAAAGCAGCATAGCTAATAAATATAAAGATACCAAATAAATGTATGCATATCTGTGAAGCCTGACAGTTGAGCAAGTTTTTCTTATATTGCAATCATATGTAATTATCTTACTTTCTTATATTACAATCATATCACAAACCTTAAATTCCAACATGTAGAAATAAGGAGGGTGATAGTTAAATCCACGTTCTCTCTTTGCCCAGAGAAGCTGCGGATGCCCCATCCCTGGAAGTGTTCAAGGCCAGGTTGGATGGGGCTGTGGGCAGTCTGGTCTAGTGGGAGGTGTCCCTGCCCATGGCAGGGGGTTGGAACTGGATGGTCTTTTAGGTCCTTTCCAACCCAAAGCATTCTATGATTATTTCTCATCATTTTCTGATCACTTTTCTCTGTTGTAAAGAGAGTTAATAATTACACCTCCATTCTTTTTGCTTCTCATCAGTTTTTCCCCAGGTTATGGGCCATACTGTAGATGCAGTCACAATGATGTTTGAATTTTTATGGAATTTCTTAATGTTTACACTGGACTTATTTTGGTGTTCTCCATTCTAAATGTGTCCTGAATCCTTTTCAATACAGAGCTGTGTATCATTTTATTGCTACACATTTTGCTGAATTCAATCCCTATAACTACATAACTATAATTTACTACTTATCATGTATGCATTATATGAAAAGTATTTACTTGCTAATAAAGGATGAAAATAATAAATGGCTATCAGATTTAGTGTTAATCCTAGTACATCCCTGTTTGATTTAAGTGATGATTCACCTCTTACCAGTTTTTGAGATCTATCATAGAATTATTAAGGTTGGAAAAGACCTTCAAGATAACCTGGTCCAACCATCCACCTACCACCAATGTCACCCACTAAACCATGTCCCTAAGCACCACGTCCAACCTTTCCTTGAACAACCCAAGGGATGGTGACACCACCACCTCCCTGGGCAACCTGTTCCAACGCCTGACTGCTCTTTCTGAGAAGAAATGTCTCCTCATTTCCAACCTAAACCTCCTCTGGCACAACTGGAGGCCATTCCCACTACTCTTATCTATCACTAGTTACCTGTGAGAAGAGGCCAACCCCCAGCTCCCCACTCCTTCCTTTCAGATAGTTGTAGAAAGCAATAAGGTTTTCTGAGCCTTCTTCTCTCCAGACTAAACAACCCCGGTGCCCTTAGCCATTCCTCACAGGACTTGTTTTCCAGGCCCCTCACCAGCTTTGTAGCCCTTCTCTGGACATGCTCCAGCACCTTGATGTCCTTCTTGTAGTAAGGAGCCAAAAACTGAACACAGTACTTGAGGTCTGGTCTCATCTTTTCCTTCACTAAGATTGTATGAAAATACTTTTTGGGGGGAATTAAACTGTAATGTGATAATAAATTGAATAACATTAAAAAAAATGTCCTCAAGAATTGCTTCTGTGCAATAGCTTTTATTGCTCAAGTTTGTAATCTTGTTGAAGAAAGAAATCATGTTTTCTTTAGCAGGGCTTTTTCCATTGTTATGCTGTCTGAAATTCACCTTATTTTCACACTTGAAGTCTTTCTTTATTGATTCTTATATCATCTTTTCTAGTCTTTTTCTTTTTTTCCAAGATTGATGTTTAGTTAGCTGCCTATAATTAAATGCTTTTGAATAGTGCCATGATATTTAGAGATGTGAAGTACTTCAAGATTTGTGAAATACTTATGTACTTGGGGTTTTGTTAAAAAGTAATAAGCTATACATTGAATGTTCCTGCATGTCTTTTTGAAAACCTAGGAATGTCAAGTGTAAAAGCTCAACTTTACAAATATATTAAAATTATGTATATGTATATAGGTCTGTGCACGGTCTTCTTCCCACCTCTATAATCTTTGAATATTTCATACTTGCATACTTACATAAGACTATTACTGTTCTCATTTCACAGTCTTCAATGTGGGCTGCAGAAGGATTGCTTTGAGTCTCAGGTAGAAAGAAATCTGTAACAAATCCAAGTACTGAACTTAAATAGACAGTGTTAGTCCAAAATCTTCACCAAAAATTCATTTTTCTTTTATCTGTTTTCCAGATCTAAAGCTTTTAAACTTGGCAAAATCACATATATTAAAATGGCTAAAAAAATAAAATTATTATTTTTTTTTAAATTAAAAGCTCTCTTTATTCTGTTAGTGATAAGGCCCGTTTGACAGCAAAAAAAACCTTTTTTTTTTTCTTGGGAAATAAATGTTTTAATGTCTGAGCAGCAGGGGGCAATTTGTTCTTATTCATAGGCTAGAACTCAGAATATAGCTTCCAAAAGATATTTTTACTTGCAATTTATTTTCAATGTAGAACACAACTAAGGTTTCTACTTAATTAGCAAGAAATAATTCCTGCTCTTAATAGCTTCCAACTTAAACAAGCAAGACAGATGGGAAAGGAAGCAGAGAAAAAATTGTGGGTTTGCTCAGGTTGGCACTGGCAAAATCATTTGTTAAAGTCAGAACTGTTACATGGCAGTCTGTTGTCTTGTTCCCTGGAGTATGATGCCTCCTAGTGTTACAGTCTTGATTGTAACTTGACTTTAATAATTTTAATAAGGTAATTTTGGATTTTCCACTATGATGTATTTTTATATTACTCCTTTTTGTAGATTCAGAAGAAAGAAAATATCTTCATTTTATATCTCAACAAAGTATTACCTAAAAGTTCCCAGGTTAAGTCTTCCAAACAGGTGTAAAAATACATGCTGTCTCCTTGAGAAAGCCGTCTTCTTGACTGACCTGTGCCAAAAGGAGAGATTGGTCATGCTGGATTTAAATTGTTTTCGCTTCATTTCTGATGATTCTGTTGCGTGTGCACCTTTCTGTGTAATTCGTGTATATATATATATATATATATACATGCAGGCATTTTATATATTTATATATGAGTGATATATAAGAATTGTATAACCAATATTTTATATTGAACATTTATTAGTGATATATTTCTATTTTTGTTTTTCATTAATAATCAACACCGCTATAAGGTGGTACAATAAGGAATTTTGATAAAAGCTTTCAGGAAAAGTCTTTTATTTGCCCATCTGTTTCTGAATTTTAAGAAAAAATACTTTAATATTAATATTTGTCTTCATTACAGACTAAAATTGTTTTCTGCCTTCCAGCAGTGAAATCTGATCTTTACATTCGATATGCTTGTGCTTTCAGAGACACAGCTGACTGTTGATTGAGTCCTTATATAACATACTTTCTAACAGTAATGCAAATTGGTGCACTTAATGGTCTCTCCCCAGAATTGCTTCCATGAAGGAGAAGAGAAAGCAGCTGGATAATTCCCAAAATGTTCAGCTCTATAATACAGGAGTCTATTGCAGCGTTATGTTGAAGAGATAATACTATCCTGTATGTTCAAAGCCTAATGCAGGAAAATTGATCATTCTGTTAGGCGTTCAGTAGTTTATATGTGAAGTCAAAGCAATGTATTCATTTAAATTTTTTCCAAATGGTTTTCAACTTAGTTTTTCCCTGGTCATATTATAATTAATGTTCTATGTTTTACTCTCCCTTCTTTATCCTTTTTCTTTCACTTAGTTGATTTCTGAATGTTTCCCTTTATTCCTGTGATCTTTTCTTCATAGCGGCACTGTCTCGGTGAAGCTTTGCATAAATCTATCAGCAATGTAAGTGATTTGCACTTACAGCTTGTAAATAGGGCATGTTTGCACTAATAAATTTGCATAACCTGTAATACTGCTTTAAAGCTTTAGCCTGTGAAATAGAACACGTAACAACATTTGAGAGGAGAACATGTTTGCCACCAGTTATCAAAAGCTTGTGTACTGCATCCATTCATCTGTGTAAATGTATATATCACTGGACATCAAACATTACATACATATTCATAATATAAGCAATATTTTTTGTCATCATTAAAGCAAGCAAGCTTGTGGGCAGCGCAAATGTGTATTGCAGAGCTTTCTACAAAGCATGAGATTGATGCTGTATTATAATTTGCAGTTTTGCGGTGCAAGTTATAATTGTAGCCAGAATTTTCTTTCTTTCTATTTATTTTTATTTTTTAAATTCTTAACAATATTTTTAATCTGCTGAAAACTTTAGATAGAAGTATTGGAAGTTCAGAGAACAGTATTCAGAGCTGTTTTCTTTTGAGTCTTCAATACAGTAATATGTAGAGGCAAAGCTCCAAAGACATGTAAAGGGATGCACTTAAGAATGTCTGTATATGTATTATATAATCAAAACAGCACTTAAAATTATGTACCTTTTAATTTTTAAAAAGAGTTTTTAAAAATAACTCTTTTAAAACTATTGTATATGTTTTCAACAACAAAAAAAAATAAATCCTTATTATCCATTAGGGTAGTAGACTAATCTGACTTGGTTGTTAACTCTCACTGTCCTGTATTTTTTTTTTATAGTCTATTGATGCAAATAGGCATCTCCAGAGATTAACTCATTTCAGTCTGTGGTTTTGCAGTCACTTTAATCTGGTAGAAGTGTGAACTGCTCTTGAGAAGGGTGTTCCTGATCTCTTCTAAGACAACTTCTTGACCAGATGTTGGACTTCTCCCAGACATTTCAGTTAAAATGTTTCATGCATTTCCAAGAAAGGAATTAAAGAAAACTGTTTTGATCTTGCTTAAAATGTTTATAAATGGTACAGTGTTAACTATGAGAATGTGGGTCAGGGACTTAAGTAGGAGAGAGATTTATCCTGAAGCCCAAAATATGCTTTTTCTTGGCATCTTCATAAAAATCCATATCAATTTGAATTGATTCCAGTCAATTCCATTTGAATGTTATCCTGACAGAGCAATGGTGAGAAACCTGAGGGACAGAAAGGAGACAAGGACAAATAAGACTGGACAGAACTTCTGTCTAGTATCTCAGTGTTTCTGTCACAGGTAATTGGAGGAGGGCTATCTAATTAAAAATTGTGGATTTCCCTTTATATCATTTTTTAAGCAGTAATTTGTATATAGCGTTCCCAACAAGTGCAAAGAATTGGACTGAATAATCTCTTAAGACTATCCTAACTTACACATTCCTATGATTCTAAAAACAGTTAGGAAGAAAAAAATTAGCAAAAGAAGGGAAAAAGCAAGGGGAGAGATACTGGAGTACTGAATGGATTGAAGACAAGGAGTAGCTAGAGCCAAGTTGGCATAGTGACCTTAGTGACCTTGGGGAAACAAGCAAACAAAAATGCATCCTGAGAGTTATGGATGGTGGTTAAATAGGAACAGATATAACTGAAATAAGTGCAGGAGTTACCTAAAGGCACAGAGAGAAAAATAGACCTCCAGTCAGGGTGTGTTTTTTGCTAGGTGGTAGTGCTGCAGAGAAAGAGTAAATAAAGGCTTACAGATGGAAAGAAGGACCAAAGTTAAGAAGCAAAAAAAAGGGGGGGGGAGACCCCAGAAAGATAAGAGAAGAGACAAAGGCCCAACCGTGAATAAGGACAGATGGGGATGTGAGGAGATCAATGGAGAGTTTAGATAAAGTGCCTAGATTTTTTATTTCCTGGAGGAAAAAGACAATCATAGAATGGAATCATAGAATGGCCTGGGTTGAAAAGGATCACCTAGTTTCAACCCCCCTGCTCTGGGCAGGGTTGCCAACTGAGCAGGCTGCCCAGAGCTGAATCCAGGCCTTGGCCTTGAATGCCTCCAGGGATGGGGCATCCACAACCTTGCTGGGATACCTAATAGCACAATACATGAAAATACCACATACATGAAAATTCAGAGTTGACTATGCTGCCAGTGTTATGGTGCAAATCGATATCATCAGTGGAGTGGAGTTCTGGGGTTGCAGAGAAAGAATACCACATGTAGTTGCGTTATTGGCTTGCTTGACCAGCATGGCATGGCAACCCTGGCCACAGTATGCTGAAAGGAATCGGCTGAGTAGTGGTGAGGATGTTGAGCAAGCTGGAATGCCATGACACAAGAGAGAATTTTTTTTGCATAGTTAAGTAACAGGTTGAAAGATACGAATTAAATACAGTATTACCACAGTGAAGTTAGATGATCAGTGGAGTTCTACAGTTGTTCATTATACTTTCTTTTGCAGATTGCTTATAAAAAAAAGAAGGGGGAAAGTTTGCAGCTAATACAAAGTTATTCAGGGTAGGAAGGACAAAAATGGTTGAAGATTTGTAGATTTGTAAAAAGCCAAAGGGACTCAACAACAAAATGACAGATGAAATTTGGTTTAGATAATTGCAGTGATGCATAATGAAGAAAAAAACAAATTCTAACTTATTGTATTAAATGATGAACTTTGATTTGACAGTTACAACTAAAGAGAGTGATTTGGGGATAGTGATATATAATTCCATAAAAATATCACCTCAGTGCTTAGTAACAGTCATACAAGCCAATAGAACATTAGGAATATAGCAGAGAAAAAGAGAACAAAGTCTGTAAAATCATGCCACTATATAAAAGCAGAGTTCACCTTCATCTTAAATACCTTACCTTCTGGCCACCTAATCTGAAAAAGAAATAGTAGAAAAGAGGCAAAAGTAGGACAAATACGATAATAACTATGAAATAGCTTTCATACAAGGTGTGACTCAGTAAGCCAAAACTGTTCTGTCTAGAAAAGAAAGTAAGGAGGGATATGATGGAAATCTACAGAAAGATTAGTAGAATAAATGAAAAAAGGAACTTCCAACTTCCTTCTATTACAGGTGTAATATACATGTCTATTGAAATGTGGGAATTACCACAGGTTTTTGTGGTTCCTACAAGCTTACATTGATTCAGATAGCAGTTGTATGTAATGGATCTTTCTGCCATGAAGTTGTCCAAAAATACATCCTGAGGTTTAAGAAATAGCATCTAGTAGATGCTAGTAGATTTTAGAGTTATGATCCCTACATTTATGTCTTAGCCTGGGTAAACAGGGTTGGCCATTTCTGGAGTGTGACCTCTGGAGTCAAACCTCTGACTATGTGATTTGTATGTCACATTTATATTTAATGTAGCCGGTAGAAGGTTTTGCGTGTATAGTTCAGATTACAGAATGCAGTGTAGGCCTTTGCATAGTTCTTCACTTAGAAATTCAGCATTATTTGAAGTAAAATACTGTTGATATAGGTTGCATGGAAGCTAGTGTATATATCCCCAGAAACAAAGACCTGGTGATTTTTAAGTGCAACTAGCCGTGGTCATTTCATTCAAATTATTTTGCTTGTTTTGTTTAAGTGCTAATTTTACTTTAAGTGTAGCTTCTTTCTTTCAAATCTGCTTAAGCTATGTCCTTCTGAAAAATAAAACATGTTCAATAACAATGTTCATGCTGCAAGTTGTCCCTGGTATGCTGCTATTAATTTTATGTTAAGTGGTGGGTTTTAATGTTCTGTAAATCAATAAATTGATGTGCAATGTCTTAATTAATTTGTCAAAATTAACTGTAAGATGCTGAATCAAATGACACTATCAGACTTTTCAATTCTAATTAAATTCTATGTAATGCTCTGAAGCTTGTATAATATCCTTATTTAAATCTTTTGTCATGTGACAATTTTATTTTTCCTTCCTTTGAGTCACTGCAACGAAATTCAGTTTTTGTAAAACATTGTTTTCAGAATTGGAGAGTGTATCTCTGTTGTTTGCCTCCAAAGGAAATAGAGGTTTAGTATTTTCAGTCTGGAAAGATGCTCTCTGATGTGAAGAACCAAGTATATAACATTATCACAAGAAGAAAATGGAACTTTTTCAAGGAGTGCAGTGTATTCAAATGTATTAAGATACTTGTTGGGTGAAAAGCATCATTTGTAATATCAGGTATTTCTAAGATGAGTACTTGTGACTCAAACTGCTTTGGTATTAGTTGAAAATGAGCAGAAAAAATCACTCTCATATCATTACTGAGCCAACAACAACAATGGAAAAAAGATCTATCAAGTGCAACATTTTACTTATCATGTAGTAGTCATATGCTACCATTTCTTTTTAAATCAGAAAACTACCAGTAAGATAGGACCATACAGTATCAAAAGATATAAAAATCCATCAATCTTGATGGCACAGGCTATCCTCCCCTATCTACTGCAGGATTTTCCATACAGAATTGATGTGATCTTCATCTGAAGAGCAGCTTATTTTAACAATCAAACATTTAATCTTGGACTTTGATAGTGTCATTTCTATTGATCTTTGCACAAAACCTAGAAGTAAATTTTGATGATTCAGCCATGAACAATTATGTAGCTAGTGCTGTAGTATCAACTTAAAACGTGAGAACCCTTACAAAACAAGCTATCTACATGTAATGATTACATTCCTGAGGTATAACTTTAACAAGAAATTCAATGGATGGATGACATTGCTTGTCCCTCTTATTGTTCTGTTTAACTTTCAAGTGTTTTCTTCTTTTGAATGTTTCTGGGAATTTGTTTTACTATTAATGACTAATTGGCATTTGCTGTTCTGTGGGTTAGATCTCCTTGCTGAAGCAGAATCTGGAGATGCAGCTTTCCCAGTCACAGAGCTCTTTGCAACAGCTACAAGCCCAGTTCAGTCAGGAGCGACAGAGGATGACTCAGGAGATGCAGGAATTAGAAGAAGAGCATCAGCAAAGGCATAAGTCACTTCAGGAGGCCCATATCCTTGCCTTTCAAAATATGGAAGAAACAAAAGAGCAAGAACAAAAGGCATGTTCATATGGGTATTCTCTATTATGTAGAAAATGTTATGTACTGAGAGGGAAATGATAAAGACTAAAAACTAGTCTAGTAAAACTATTTGCATAACTACTGAATTTCCTTTTCAGATGTTGTATTTTATAGTAACATTTTTATCTAGTTAAATCTGATTAAGACATTGAAAGTCATCTCTTATACTAGCATTATTTCACATCTTGCTTTATACTCTAGCAGCATGTTGGTATTTGTGTGTATATATATATATATATATATATATATATGCTCATAAATACTCATGTATGCAGTCACATATATATATATGTATTGTGTGTGTGTATATATATTTATATATATATATAAAAAATAATTACCAACACACATTTCTTAACAGTAGTTTGAGATGGTCATCTATAAGATTATATTCCAGGTTTGATTTGGAAGAGGTGTCTTTTGTCCATTATATTTACCCAAATTTATGTGTTTTCTGATATTTCCTGTTGATTTACTCCTTTTGTAATGTATTCTAAATTTTCATTGTGTTAAAAATTTGTATGAACTGTTTTGCAACTTGTAAGATAGTTTTTACATCCAGAATAACGTCATGCCTAAGATACTTTGTTCAAACCCCGACTAAACCTGCTTTAAAATTGAAGTGTTGACAAGGCATTGTACTTAAATAGGGTTTGTGTCTTTATGGTTTTGTCTTTTTTCAGTTCAAATCTGAGGTGTACCTTTGCAATGAATATACCAGTTGTCCCCACATACTTGGTTCACATCATAGAATGGTCTTGGAGCACTTGCTGCATTCACTTTGTTCAAAATGAAACAAGACGATGTACTCCAGGAGCATTATGCTTAGTACACGTTAATGGGGAGTAAAAATGGGTGTCACTGGGGAGCAAACACTCCCAAAAGTCTTATGTGTACAGTAGACCCATCTATGGATCTGTCTAGTCTAATTGTTAGCTAATGTAAACGTGTAAACATAGTTTAAAAAAAAAAAAAAACCATAGTTTTTTTGTTTTTGTTTTTAAAGTTTTCTAACTGTGAGCAGAACAGTTGTTTTGAACACGGGTAATCTTGATAACCAGCAGACCTTGAAAAATTATAGTAGCAGGACAACGTAGTGAGAGAAGAAACTATGAGCAATATCTGTGCTTTTTTAGTAATTTCTAGAGTATGCCAGTGCCTGTTTTTGTTTGTTTGTTTTGCTGCCAGTTGTTTAATATTTTATAATTCCCTAGGCTGCTATAGAATTAATCTTGTTCATTTGTATTTCATAGGCATTAGAAGAACGTTTACAACAAAAGCATTCAGAAGAACTCCAGGCACTCAAAGAAACACACAAACAAGCCATGGAAGGTTTCAAATTGGAGATGGAACAGGAACTTCAGACTCTACGATTTGAGCTGGAGGATGAAGGAAAAGCTATGTTAGGTACACTGTCTTCAAATTTGCAGATGGGTCCAAAAACAACATTTCTACTCATACAAGTCTACATGTGCGTGCACACGCACACAAACACACATACATATGTGTATTGTAACACTGTAGTGTATCTCGGTGTCGTTCAAATTTGACCTAATTGTTCCTCTTAAAATCAGTATAAGCTTTAACAGGTAAGTCAAAATTGTTCACTTTCAAGAATCATACTCTTAATTTTTTTGGAAGGAGTAAGCAATGAAATTTCATAATGAATATTTTGGAAATTAACAGAGTATAGAATAGAAGCAGCAGGGTAGTTGCTTAGATTTCATTGTGTATTGATTTTAGGAGTATGATCCCTAGCACTCTGTCTCTATAGGAAATAAATATTTGAGTCAGGTAATACACTGATACATTGAATTAAAGGTTAGATTGTATTTTGTACTGCAGGAAAGGTTCAAGCTATGTTTAAGAAGATGCAATACTTCAGCCAGTTTAAGGAATGTGAAACAACAAATAAGACAAAACATAAGAAAACTTACAAGGGTTTTATAAGAGTTTGTTCCTTGTTTATTTTCTTAATAATATAGATGAAATGTCAATTTTTTGTGTTTGAAAAAGGAAGCATTTTTTCACAAGCAAATTATGATCTTTGAACACGTAATCTCAATCTAGTATATGCAAGATAGATGCATATAGATAGATGAGATAATGTGATAATTATAGAAAGGACAGAGATAACATACTTCTACTCCACAACACTTGAACACTTCACAGTTTTGTGTTTTTGCTGGATCTAAAATTTAAGCAATCCCCCCCCCCCCACACACACACACTTTTTCTGCTGACAAAAAGAGCACAAGTCAGTTTTGGAAGGGAATTGGAATGAAGCAAGGAAGATGTCTTGGTAGACAGACTTCGAGAATTTCACATGTAAAAGAAGGTTTTATGGAGGAAAACAAATGTCTGTGAGTGGTAAGGTTTAAAGAATACCGACAGTGGTATAACACAAAATGGTGAGGATTGAGGAATTCCAGAAAGAAACTTCACAGAAGTAGAAAGAGTGGCCTGATACCTGGCATTGATGTCAAAGGCAAGAAGGCTGCAGTACAAGGTAGTATGGGAGCAGAAAATGCAGAAGAGAAGACAAGGAGGATGTCTGTTGAGGCATTTTGGAAGTCTGGAATGTAGAAATTACAAGGGTAGCATGAAAAAAACAAACAAAAAAGTAAAGATAAATTGCATCACTCCAAGCAGGAGATAAGTACACAGAAGGGATTTTCTTTTCAGACAGGAAGGAAAAGTCAAATTTTAGAAACACTGCAGAGAAAGAGCTACAACAAAAAAGACATGCATGTCTTTTTTATTTGTTAACAGCAGCCAAAAATGGTAGATATAAGCCTTAAAACAAATAGTTAAATATATGTAGAAAGAAATGTTTTTCTAAGGGCTGTGACATTTCACTGATGTTTTCTGTCTAACCCCTGCTTTCTTTGTCCATGTTATGTGTCAGGAAGTTATCACTGGGAATGCAGTGGGTTTTTTTGTGGTGAGGTACAAACATATCTCCTCTGAGAAAACGAACATCTTATCTTGTACAATGCACATCTGAATAAAATTTCACTCATGTCAGTGTCTCTGTTCCCAGAACTCTATCTTCTTGTACCACCTGAGCATCTGTTCCACTTCATTTAGCTCAGTCTTTCTACCAGAAAAAAAGAAAGGAGACATCCTGTAGTTAGAGAAGTTTCAGCTAGACGTTGGAACTCATCAAAGTTGGACTCTTGTCTATTTTTGTTTGCAGTCCCTGACCCACTATTTGGAGTGGACTTACACTGTGGTTAGTTTTGACCAGTTAACATCATTTTACTGTCTGGAGAAGATTTCTGAAGAATGTATTTAGGAGAACTCCCACCAAATAGGAGTAATTGTTTTATCTGGATGGTATTTAGTTTCTGCATCAGTATTTCTACCACTGTCCTTTGTAGCCATAGAAGCATAACTTTGTATCCTCCGTCACATTATTACTTGCAGTTGCCTCTCACAGATAAGTTCTTTGTAAATGTAGGTCTGTAGTCACGAAGTGTATGAAGAGTTGAAGCTTAATTTAAGTGAAACTGTGAGACACTGACATCCAGAACTACAGTCCTGAGAAGTATAGTTTCCAAAACACTAACTTCTCCATCTCTTGAGAGGAGACAGGAAAAAAAAAAAAAAAAAAAAGAGGAAAAAAAAAAAACACGTTTCAGGTTTGTTTGCAAAGTTTAGTTAGTGCCAAAAATGCTGTTTGTACATGTATTTGTAGAAGTGCCTTCTGTCTGAGCAGAGGTGAGCAGTTCAATGACTGTTACCTGCCCGAGCCTACCTACAAAGCAGATTCTCACACTCAAGGGTCTCTGAGACAGCCTTCCACCCCCAGTATTGACAGGCAAGCTCCTGTTATAATTTACTTGGGTAGGTATTGCTCGGAAAGCACAGAACCCACAGGCAGTTCTATTCAGGATGATGGTGCTGGTGCCTCTCTCTTGTATAACAGTTTACCGCACAGAGCAGTTCTTTCCCAGTTAAAGCAACACTGGGTGGCCACACACACTGTGTCTGTTCTGTGGAGCTGAAACCAATTTTCAGTGAGTAAATGAAGAGTGATCATTCTGTTTGATTTGTTGGTTCTCCAGTTGAGAGGTGGAGCTATTCAATAAACCTAGCAAAAGTTAAAACAAAATAATGTACTTTTTTCCTACAATGTGGAATGGACCTGTAGAATTCTATACCAGAGGACATTTTAAAGTGCTTTCAGAATGAACTGGACGATTTTGTGGGGAAAAAAATATACTGAGGGCTATTAAAAATAAGACAAACCTTTGATTTGGAAAGGTCCCTGAGATCTAAATTGTTGGTGACTAGAAATGTATTTTCAGGCAGTATCATTACGTGCTTGCCTATGCTCGAGCTTTTCTTTAGGGATCTGCTGTTGTATTCGGGACAAGGTAGACCTTTGGTTTATGACAGTATGGTCATTGTTATGCTCTATCTTTCAAAACTTTTCATATTCTGAGATGCCTAATAAGTCACGCTCATGTAGGAATTTAGGTGGAGTCTGAATATGCATCCTCCATGTCTGTGAATTGTTGGAATACTGCTCATCTCAAAATGTTTTTAAAAGGTAGCTGACGTATCATAGCAGCAAAATGATAATTTAATAAATATGGGATTTTATAAATACAGGAATTTTAAAAATATGTTAACTGAATGAGAAAGTTGAGTTGAGGATTATATCAAAATTATGTAAAGTGCAAGGGAAGCTGATGCAAAGTGGTTTTTTCTAAAACAGAATGATTCCTAAGTAAAAAGGCAAATGTTGCAGCTGAAAAACATCATTTCATCTTTGCTTCCAATTGACAGTAAAAGCTTAGCATGCATCTAGCCAAGGATGTCACTAAGGTAGAGGAAATAATTCTCTTAAAATCTAGAAAAACATAAATCTCGCTTTTAATCTGATTTAATCTGTGATGGAGAAAAATGCAAGTCACAAAATCTGGTAAACAAGAACACTGAAAATATAAAAAGAAGTGGAAAGTAATTATGGAGGTATAAGAAAATATACAAGAATCATGAAATATTTGAAAGATAAATTAATGACAAGGAACATTTAACACGAGAGTGAATGACATCAGGAAAATTTTAATACAGAAGTAGTAATAATCTGGCATATGGAATGTCGGTGACAGATAATTAAAATATAAGTGGAGAAAAGTTCTTTCTTCTTAATACTGACAAACTTGTTATCATAATCAGTGACACTATTTGTATTTAATAACTAATTCTCACCCAAAATTGAAAAGGTAAGTATTAGAAGAAAAATATAAGTGAAATGTAGTCCAAAGGACAAATAATCTAATGGGAAAGGTCTTGACTTTGCCTGAAGAAAGGGGAATTCCTGTTCTACAACAGACTTCTTCTAAGGGAAGACACTTCATCTCTTGTTTTCTTTCCCCTCTGTAAAACTGGAATAAGAATGAATCATTCCCCGCCTTCAGTAGTATCAGGAGAGCAAACATAGTTAAGATCATGAGGTGCCCAAGGCACTGTAGTTAGGGAGTTTGTATTAAAATACCAGAAGGAACAGTGGCATGCACAAATAAGAATTCACGATAGATTTCATTTAGAGACTTGTTCTTTAAAATGTTCTCATCAGTTTCCTTCTGCAGAAGCTTCCAACATGTGTATGTATAGATGGTTGAATATGCACATATAAAACCCACTTGCAAAAATGAATACTCAAGTACTCACATTTAGAAAAGTTGATCCCATTTTCAAATCCGACTATAAATACTTTCACATAATAGGCCATGCTTTTGCAGAAGGGATAAAGAAAGCATCGTTCTAAGGTATATTCTAGTAGCTCGTATTTTAATATTGAATAAATCCAAGTCTGTCTAAACCTCTGTGGCTGTGGAGCTCGAATGAGTTCAACCTATTCAACAGAAATTTCATGTGGCTAATATAAGCAGTGTGTGTTAGGTCAGTGGCACTACTTGAAGGAGCTGGACTGTTATTGTTAATTAATAGTAAATATTTGCAAAATAAGCTTTTCTTTTTGTTCACGGTAACTAGCTTCCTTGCGCTCAGAGCTAAATCATCAACATGCAGCAGCAATTGACCAACTAAGGCACAACCATCAACAGGAACTGGTAGCTGCCAAAATGGAACTTGAAAGAAGCATAGAACTTGGCAGAAGACAGGTAGGAGGCATTGCTGGCAACTTGTAAAATAATCAGTGTTTGTTTTCTATTAGCTGGAGGCAATAACTGTTGTAGAAATGTAAGGAGGAATTTACTCTTTGAAAGTCAGCCAGCACCAGCAGGTAATGCATCCCTACCAGTTAACCTAAATTTTTTTTTGCTTAGCTTTTTCTTCCTTCAGCAAACTTCTTAAGAAGCTTAGTAAAGGCTGTCATATCAAGGCAGTTTCCATTTAGAGTTGTGCAGCCATCTTGGAGCACACTGATTTGCCTTGGGGGCAAAGTGCTGATTCCTGCAAAATTCTACTTGTCCTCAGTGGCCAGCAGGACTTAAAAAGAAAACAAAACAAAACAAAACAAAACAAAAAACTACTTCTCTCCAACACCAAAGTGATATGGTGTCAAATTATTGCTTCAAACAAAAATGTAGCTCAGTATCTTTTATTTTCAGCACCAAACTGGAAAAGATAAATTAGCTTCTGAAGAAAGTAGAGAAGACCTAACAACTTCATATATAAAAACAAAACCCCTAAAGCTAGTATGGATTACAATTGTTTTCATCAACCAAGTGATTCATTCACTTATATTTTTAATTTTTCATGTTATACAGAATCAGTTTTTCCACTAGCAACTAAAATTTAAAGCTTCATGTCTATTTGAAAGGAAGCCAGACTCCTGAAAAGTAGAGAACAAAGAAATGTCTTCATCTGCATACAGAATAGGCTTTTCAGGATTCACTTACTAATAGTCCAGTACCAGTGAAGTGGAGTGATTTTACAAGTAGGTTAATAGAGGAAATGTTTGATTGGATATAGCCTTTACAGCATGACATTCAAGGACGAGCCTTTTTTATTTATTTATTTTTCCCTCCCATGTTCCTTGTGTCCTTGTGGGTTTGAAAGCATGAGCACTACAGGCAAAAATGTGGTGCTGTCAGCAACAATGAAAGAAAACATGGAGTATTTAATAAGATGTAGTTTCAATGTCCTGTTTAAGCTTAGAGACACCCAAGTAGGATGTAAGAAACCAAGTTAAAATTTAAGAGCATGTGTTTGATCCAACCAAATGCCTTGTACTTTTGACTTCAGCACAGTAAGCAGTTAAGTACATACTTCAGCTATACTGAAGGCAAAGCAATCACTTGTTTTTTTCATGTATTGGGATGCCTATCACTTTACAGGATAAGATGAACAAGATGCAGAGACATGAGAATGGGATGATTTTATTTGCTAATTTTTGAAATATGTGGACATAACATTTTTCTTAAATAACTTTTCATAACTTTTTTATTTTCCTTTTTTTTTTTCTTATAGCTTTAATATAGGCTTTCTATGGGGAGGAAGAGAGTTATTTTTAAAACTCTGTTTTTAAGGATATACAATAATATTTGTGCGTTAGTATATGTTTGTATTTCCTGGGTGCATAAAGGCACAAAACACAATTATACATAAAACTACTTCAAAATCTTTGCTTTTATTCTATTTGCACAAAAAGCAAGGTTTTTATTGTTATGATATTAATTATTGTGCAACTGTAAGAAGTGGGATAGATGGGAATGGAAAACCCTGAAAAAGGTTTATTTTATTCTTTGCAAACTGGTTGTAAACGTTATCAAAACCATTGGGATTGGATCCAGATAAATTTTCCAGATGTTAACTGGATTGGAATTTCTTAAGCGAAAAGAATGACTTTTATTGATTTATTGGACACAAAGTAAATATTATATAAACTAAAACCACACATTAGGGGCATTTTAAGTGATATTTTATACTAAGAAATTACAACAAACCAAAAACCAACACATGTAAGTGCAAACATTTACATAGATGGGCTGTACGATGTGTATTGTGCTGTGAGATATTTCTGACCCTTGTATTTGTATGTGCATTAGAGAAGAGACTTCTGAATTATAGTGTTTATGGGCACAGTGCATACATCTTACACTATTTCATCCCATTGTATGGGGTTGTGAGGGGAAAAACAGATACGATTGTCCTTCAGCTTCCCCACATTGTACGTTCAAGAGGTAGAAATTCCTAAATTCCCAATCCCATAGTTCTTTGTAGTAGCTGTTTTTGTTGTTGTATGTATGGGCGAAAGGAAAATGTAGTGAAATACACAAACTTTGTCAGGCAACGACAATGCTTTAAATTCTCTCACAAATGTTTACTTGTTACATAACTTTGATTACATTGTTAGCTGTACTTGCACACAAGAAAAAAAAAAACTCTTAAGTTTTAATTGTAATTTGTGTCAGCATTAAAAAAAAAAAAAAGAATAAATATATTGAACAGAAAATTCTGCTTAGCTGTTGTCTTCTGAAAACAAGTATCGTGCTTTTGAGAGGCAAGTCTAAATAGTTTTTCCTGCTGCTACTTATGTCATAGGAGAAAGAATTTTTATGCCGAATATCAGACCTCCAAGATGAATTGAGACATCGAGACCATCATATAGCTGAACTGGACAAAGAGATTCTGCATCTTCATGACAATATAAGTGCATTGACCAAGGAACTAGAGTTTAAAGGGAAAGAAGTTCTTAGAATACGCAGTGAATCTAACCAACAGATCAGGTATGAATTTTTCCATTCTGAACTCAAACACTTATTGTCTCACATATTGTTTTACTTAAGATATTTTATCATTTGCAGCTTTTAATTTATCCTTTCAATCAAGGGGCAGTATATACCATTTATTTTACTTCATAAAAAGCTGTGCCCATTACTGGTACAGTTAGTGAATATTACCATACAGTTAAGCTGCATTTCAGTTACACACTTTGGCATATTTTAATAACAGTCTGCTCAAGTGTGTGTGTTTTTTTTTTTAATTCATTATGCTTGTTTATTAAAAAATAAAAAAGCATTAAAGGAGATGCATATTCAATGAAATAAGCTAGAAGATTGGAGGACAGTAAGTAGTGGGTTTTGAAGAACAATTCCTTTCTGTGTTGTCTGGTATTGTGTAAAAGCCGTTAAAAGCATGGCAGAAATTCATGATGAACAAATCAGTCTGATTATAGAATAACTCTTTTTTTAACAAAAAATAAATTAAACAGGATGCATGAGCAAGATTTAAGCAAGAAACATGAGAAAGAGCTGGATGTCTTGGCAGCAGATCACATCAGAGAGAAACAAAGTATGCTGGCAGATTTTAATAAGACCCAAGAGCTGCTCAAGGAAATTAATTCAGCTTTACAAGTTTCGTAAGTTTTGTTGCATTAAACAAGTTTGTATGTAGCTGCATTTGAGTCAACATTAGTTCATTCTGGTGTCCGTAAGTCACTGAAGATACTGCAGTGGTGCAACAGTACAAAAACCTTACTGAAATATGAGGCCTATTGCTGTATTTGTTGGACAACACAATTGTTGTAAGCCTTAGGGGAATTAACCAAGATAATTGTTAGTGATTTGAGACCAAAAATTTTCAAGGAGGAAAGATATTAAATACGTGCTGTTCTTAAAAAAAAATAAAAAAAATAATAAAAATAATAAAAATATTTTTTTCTCAAACATTAATGCATATTTTTGAGAATATAAAGGTTTCTTCAGCAAGTTTAAAACTAGTACAATAAGTACAATATTAGCTATTTAGAAGCTTGGTTATACCAAATTAGTGTTGCAAACAGCTTCCTTAGGTTTGCTAGGAAACCTAGGAAAATTAGTGTCTGAAATGGATTATACAAGTTTAATAGAATACTTATGATGCTTCTGAGTCAAAACGTCACCTGGGGTTAGACTATGGCAGGGCAGGAGTGGTGTGGTAATATGTTGTCTAGCCAGAGTTTTCTTGTCTTCCATGATCTTCATTCTTTATCTGTGTCTGTGATGTAGCCCATTTGGTCTGCAACCCAATGTTTCTTGCTAACGCTCCATAGGGCATTGAGAGCTTCCTGACACAAAGTGGTCACCAAGGGATTTGTATGTGCAGCACAAATTGTATGGCAGAGAGAATAACTGGTTCTAACTATATGATAGGAAATTCCTCTAAGTAAATAACAACTAATAATGGACAGTAAAACCTAAATGCATCTAATTCCTGTCTTAACAATATAAGCACTCCAAAAGTGTCAATAATCGAGTATAAAATTCTAGTTCTTACTCCCTCTAATCATATGCATGCACAGTTCTCTGAATATCTGAAAGTAAAATGACAGCTGTGCATAACTCTGTATTATACTCTGGGGATCTGTATGCAGTAGCTTAACCTAGCATAAAATGTATACACGGAAATTAAGCCAGCTGAGCATATTGCTGTTCTGCTGAGTCAAAGGCATTTTCTGCAAATAAAAACAGTCACGATGTTCATATTCGTAATGTTTTATATAAATAGATTACATAATCTCCTCAAGTTATTTACAGGTTGTTTGAAGGCTATAATTTAATATGCACTGTTTTTTCATTTGCAACACAAAGTCAAAATTACTTGTGGAATTAAGTTTGAGCTGACTAAGACACCTTAAATTCATAGTTTTTTCCTTAGGAATATTTTTTTCACCTGGATCTCTTCTGAAACTTGGTACTCTGATCTATATGAATGCTGAATATGTGAGACAAGTATTCTAGTAGTTTCCTTTAGAACTGTGTTTAGCATCATGAACATTGTGTCTGTTTCACAGATACACAGACATTTGAAATTATTGTGTGTCTTCAAAACTTGTTCTTTAAAAAGAAACAAGGAGTTACTTGCAGTTACTTGCACGATTCCCCTCTCAGTTGGCTTATTTCACTTCTCTCCTTTAATGCTTTCCTACTAGGCATTTCAGATTTCTTCCTGTTGTTTTTTTTGTTGTTGTTTTGTTTTCAAGCATTTATCAATTGTGGCATTTCTTTTAATTCACATATCCTAATATCCAGGTTTTATTGCTTTTCTTTTGCAGCTCATTCCTTTATTTCAACTCTAATGGTACTAAGTTGCTTTTGCGGAGAGGAGTTAGTTACCTGTTAGTCTTCGGTGTTCTTGGATATCTTTGTCCCATTATGTTCCACTTGAACTGAGGAAGATGGTGCCAGCATCCAGTATTATAAGCATGCATCTTTATTCAGAGTAGTCACCTATTAAAAGAAAAATGATATTGTTTGGTTTCTTCACTAAGAAAGTCAATTGCCAGCTTTTAAAATTTACATTATTATTAAATATAAAGCAATGTAGTTCTTTTATTATACGTTATAACCAGTCTCAGCTATGTCTGCTGTAGTTGTACTGTCCACTTTTTTTTTTTTTTGAGTGCCTTGTTTTCAGTCTGGCTTCCAAGAGGCCTCTTTTCAAAGAACTAATACTGCACGTACAAGAGGGATGTTAGGATTTTAGAATTTTGCACAAAATTTCACTTACTGTAGCAAAGATTATTTATTTATTTATTTTAACTAGACAAAGCTCAGTGTTAATATAGAATTAACTAACTTCAAAGAGAAAAGAAAATGATCTTCTGTTTTTATTCTTTGAAATCTCTTTTATACAAATCAAAGTTTTGACTTTATTCACTCATCATTTAACACTGGATCAGACTAAAGGGGGTATTTTTCTTTCCTATAAAGTTTAGAAGAAATGGAAGAAAAATATAAAAACAGAGAATCGAGACCAGAAGACTTGCAGCTTATCTCAGAACTGAAAGACCTAATTGCAGAGCGGGACCAACTCATAAAGAAATTGATTGTAAGACTTTTATGCTCTCTTGGTTTAATATCTTGACAGGCATAAATGTTAATCTAATATGAAGTGTACAAAATTCATTAAAGAGCCAATGCTGATAGCATGTATTTGTATTCTTTAATACATTATTCCTGTGGTTCCAGTGCCTCATAATAGTAAAACTAATTAGATGCAAAGAGTCTTGTACAATCAAGCATAATACGTTATTACAAAAAATATTGCAGTATGACCTTGATCAGACATATCCTATTTGCAATCTTGGAATAAGAAGTGAGCCATGTAAGCCAAATAAGAAATGGTCTCTTCTATGAGCTTTTTAAGAAGGTTTCCAATTTCCTGATGCACTGAGTTTCTCAAACTCACACTTCAGCAGCCTTGCTCAGATTAGTCTGATTAGATCCTAATTCAGAAGCAAGAAGGAATGAGGAAATTTCAAAGTAACTAGAGATCAGAAATCAACTATACTGAATCCTTACCAGTGCATAATCGTGCATAATCCATTGAGCTATACTCACTCTCTTACAACATATACAACAGAACTGCATAAATAGAAATTATTTAGTATTTACATATAATAATATACAAAACATGAAATGTAGTTTTTAGAAATATCAGTTCCTTTAAAAAATGTAAGCATAAATTTATTTGAGATCACTTTCTAGGCAGATTTGGCCACTAACTGATTGAGAATGCATAAAAAGAAGTTTCTATTTGTTCTTCTTTTTAGGAGGACAAAAAGTTCTATCAGCTGGAGCTAGTTAACAGGGAGACTAACTACAACAAAGTGTTTAATGCAAGCCCAAATGTTGGTGTTATTAATCCATTGGTGAAGGTATGTTTCATGGGCTTCACTGCTAAAGTGAGAAATAAGAAATCTAAAGTTAGCATATAGTAAAAAGAAGAAATGTGTGTGTGCGTATGTACATATATCACTTTTTTTTTTTTTACTGAGTGACATGTTCAAAACAAGGAACATCATGTTTCCATTTGTCTCTCCTGATTTTTGTGTACATATTTGTTTCTTATGTACATGTATATATAACATAAAACACAGTTCCTTCTCACAAAACTCTGAAGTCAAAACAGAAAAGTGACCCTACAGAGGACATACATATAATAGAGAATAGTGACATATATATGTCACTATATAATATATATAATAGAGAATAGTAACATCCTCATATATATAATATATAGCATATATATAATAGAGAATGGTAACATCCTCAAACAGCTTTATTTTCAAATGATTTTTATTGGTTATTATGGAAAATGCAAGGACAAATTTATTTTGCAGATGGTGCTCAGGATATAAGACCACTAGAAACACAGACAGAGCAGGGACACTAAAGAAAAGGAATAGGGGTGAAAAGAGGAAGAAGAAAAGTATGAGGAGAGCTTAGAATGAGTCTGAGTAGAAAAAGACAGACTAATAATGGAGAATTGGAGTGACAAACTGGGTATAGAGTGTAAGGGCAGTAGGAGATAGAAGTCAGCCTCCAACCTTCTGAGTTACTGTTGCATCCTATATGAGCAAAAACACTTCAGTAGCAGCCTTGTCCAATTCTCTCCAGCCTGGTGAACAGCAACCAATGGAGGCTACTGTACAAACAGGCGTAGTAGCCTCCCTGTCACTTAAAAAGCCAGCAACATTCCTACATGAAGAATAGTCTGCAGTTGGGTACCTTCATTCTGTCTCTTTCCATCACTTTAGCAGTAAGAATGAGTCCTCTGACATTTCCTTCTTCCTTGTAATAATCCATAGGTTATATCACCTGCATGGAAAGGGAAAGGATTTTTCCCAGCTGTGAGGTCCACTTTGGAGCTAAACAAGCTCACGCAGGTATCAGAGAACAGTTGGAGTCGAAACATCCTTTATGCGTTCGGGAAATGGGTAACAAAACAATTTTGGTCGAGATTCAGTTCCGTATTGATGCCTTAATTTATATGTCTGCATGCTAGTATCTACATGTACACTGTGCGTCTAAATTCCTGTTAGAGCCAAGGGATATCTCATTAATGAAGCTTGCAACAGACTTGAGCATAGAGTAGGTATCTAGTATAGGGTGCGCAGAATCACTCTCTTAAGTTCTCTAGGCTACGTTGTTCACAACCATGTCAGTTATGAAGATTATATGTAGAAACTCTGATTGCCACAAGTCCAGACAGTATGGGAAAAAATAAAGATATACCAAATAAAGCAACATAGTTCTTGCACAGTTAAGGGTTCTTTGACATTGGAGTAATTTTGCCTAAGATCGAGTTGTTTGGTTATCAAGTTAGCAGGTTGGGCAGAACGAATAGGATGTCACTGTGTAAAAGAAGGTCTGTCTCTGTCATTTAAGAGATCAGGCTGTGTTATTTAGCTAATCTTACGGTTTCACATCAGATCAGAGTATTTCTCAGTTCTCCACAAACTCAACAAACTGTCAACACTCTCCGACATTTTTCAGAAGTCCAGCAGCTCTGACAAGCTTACCTGCTGGTACCTAACTCTTATGAATGTCTGCATAAAGGAACTTAGCAGTCCTGGTGTTGTCTCTGCTAGGCCCAAACTGATCTGAATGCTTTGTCTTTGTGTGAAAGGTTGTTTGAAAATTTTGGAAGTTTGTCTGAACCACTTCATTTTAAAGATGTGAAATTTAACCCTTGAGTATATAAGTTTGTGTTTTGTGTGAAGTCTGAATTGTTTGCGAAAAGTACTTCAACATCAGATTTCTGTAGAGAAAATTCATATACTTTTATCATATGTTTCTAGCTCTTAAAATCCATAAGACTTTGAAACAGTCTTATATTCCAGAACATCTTGATCTCAAAATGTTCTGGAAATCTTATTTCATGAAATCTTCATTTCATGAATTGTGGAACATGTTACTTTATCAAAGCACATGCTGTGTTGTTATTGGAGAATGAATTACAAACAAACTGAAAATTTCATTATCTTTGAAATAATAAAATGACAGAATTTATGAGTTATTATATGCTTTGCACATTAATACAAAATTACAACCATTGCAGTATTTATTAGAGCTTTTTTCAAGTTTATGCAGTGGATCTGTTTAGTCTGTCATTGGTAGATCTGCAGTTTTGTAATACTTTGCATAAATTCCATAGCAACAATACACACAATTTAGATTCTCTAGATTTGATGGCTTCAGAAGTGTAGAGTTTTATAGAAAGTAAGATACAAACGACAGTATTTTCAAAGCATTTATATAGATAAATACACTGTCCAGAAATGAGCCGGTTGTGAAGTGCAGATTTAACTACAGTGTGTGCTATGCACAGTTTTAATTACAGTGTGTATTACCTTGCAGGTGTGTTCTACATACATTTGGTTACTTTTAGCAAACTATTTTTCCATTCTTGCCTCTTCAGCCTGAGGAAGTACAGTGTTCAGGATGATTTTAGTTTAATCTTTTACAGCTAATGGCCTTCCTCTGTGATGATTTAAAAACAAAACAACCCCCCCTTTTTTTTTTTTCTAGTATAGCTTTCTGTTCAATATTATATTTCATTCTTAGTTTGACAAGCACATGCACCACTGGCCTACAGAGCAGTATTTGCACCTTTCAACTTTGAAGAGGTCAAGTAGTGAAATCAGATAGCAGGGAGCTAAACAGAAGAGTACAAACAAACAAATAGCAAGACTGTCTCCATTTGAACTGTAGGCCACCCATGAATAGAACAGCTCTTCTATTGAAAGTTTTTATTATATACTCAATTAATAGATAATTCATGACAATAGATTAATCTTATTTTTTTTAAACAGGGTGTTTTCTTAATAATTTTGTTGTTGACATGGAATATTGAATAGAAGTCAGAAAACACACATGGCATTCTGTCACAGTTATTTTTGAAGACCTAGAGAACTATTTGAAGCATTTTTCTGCATGAAAATGTATAAGAGCACAGAGGATAAATACTGATTCCTTTGTATGATGTGTTATGGAGAGTAAAACAGTGAAATCGAAATAAAGTTCTTCAGTATTTTGTGTCCCCTGAATACTATCAGTAGTATTAAGAAAGGAAGAAGGTTCACTTGTGCCATCTGGTGTTTAGAAGTGTTAGCTGTAGCAGCTTTACCAGCATGGCTTTTTTTGAGCATCTGAACTCTCACACAGTATTATTTTCATCTTCAGCAGGATTGCTATAATGCTTACTGTAAGGGCACAACTGCACTTAAAGAAATGTAGTTGCTTTTCTAGGTTCCAAGTTTTACTGACCAAAATGTGCCTCGGGAATGGGGTGAACCCTGTTGTAGAGATGTACTTTTTTCATCACTGAAATTTGCTGTAATTATATTTGGCAGGAGAGCTGTTTCACTAATACTAAAAAAAGAATTAAGTAAAGATGAAAGGTTTAAGAAAACCTTGGTGGAAAACTTGCTATCTTAAGTGTTTTAGAATAGAGCAACATGTTATACTGGAAGATATTTAAAAATCATGTACTTGTTGATTATTACACTAAGTCTTAATAACTTAATCAACTTGATTAGAAATGTGTGAAATCTGTGGTGGTCAAAGCAAACAGTAAAACTACTATTAGAAAAAAAATCCAGTCCATTCCAATTGCTCTCCTTCCTATCCTCCCTCTTACCCCCAGAAAAATAACACCACAAAAAAAAAGAAAAAATAAATAAAATTAAAAAAAAAAAAAAATCCTAAATTTGCAAATCTCCTCATCTGTCCTGGCGCCTTCCTTACATTTGTTATTTTTAATGCAGCAAAAGAAGAAGAATGATAAATCAACAAACAGGTTTGTGAGTGTCCCCAATCTAAGTGCTCTGGAATCTAGCGGAGTGGGCAATGGACATCCTAACCGCCTGGACCCCATTCCCAACTCACCCATCCACGATATTGAGTTCAACAGCAGCAAACCACTGCCACAGCCAATACCACCCAAAGAGCCCAAGACGTTTTTGAGGTGAGCACTGCCTCACCAATCTTTTTTTCTTTTTCTTTTCTTAACTCAGGAAAATTTTGCTTTTGTACTGAGCCGAATCCCACTTGCTTTACGAACCTTTCAGAAGTACAAGTGCTATTATGAATTTTCATTTTTTACATAATATTTGTAACCTCTTTATAGTATTCCTTTTTATTGTAGACCTTGTTGAAACATGAAGTATTCTCTCACTTTTTCCTAAATCCTGAACTTTGAAAACCTCTCTAGATACCTTAACAGAATCATGTGCTTCCAATTGTTTACATATATGAACAATTGTTCTAAATGTTTGTGTTATTTGCTGATTGTCATGTAGGAAGTGATACCAGCACAGAATTTCTTTTATTCAGTATTGCGTGATGATGGTTTTATGTAAGAAAACTCTTCTCTGTGCTACATGAATGTTTTGTGTTTCCCCTTTCCCCACCAATATCAAACTGCTTCATAGGTGATTTTACTACCAAAACAGGAAACGTACACGCTTGGGTGCTTAATGCCGAGCTTCTGGTAGTTAAAATCAGCATTGAAGTCTAAAATAATTCATAGATTTATATAGCAAATTATTAACTTTAAAATTGTTTCTTAGAGGTAGCATTTTAATTGTTTTGCTTTATGTGGCTACACATATAAAAGGCACCGAAGAAGTGCTGTATCCTGTGTTTAATAGGTACTGATCTTTTGTCTCCAAGTTGGCAGCTTAAAGTGATGTAGAGAATTATCAATTCGCACCTGCCTGTTGATGCTTTCTTTTGGTTTAACGTGAAAGGCCACATACCTAGCAATTACCTATTATAAAAGGAAACAAATAATAGAATATAAAATAGATAAGTAAAAACAGTTTATGGCAAGAAAACAATCTTTAAAAACGTTAAGTAAGTTTACTTTTTCCTGTGCATGTCATGTGCATGACTGTGGTCAGGTATCTATAATATGCATGTGCATGAACTTGTGGACTGTGATGCTGGAGTTTCTATTCCAAAATGTTTTGTGCTTTGTATCATCCAGTAATACAGTAGGGATTTTTTTTATTGTGGTTTTTTATTGATAAAGGAACTTAATTGTATAATTAGATCTAAATCAAATTAATTTTGCTCTTGATTATTTAATAAGGATTTTAATGGTTCAAAGGAGAATCAAATCTTGTTTTTCCCAGCATATTATCAAATATTAAATGTGTGCATGAACAACAATGCAAGTGATACTTGTGGTCAGTGTAAAGTATTAAAACAGTCTGTATTTTTGTTCAGTTGCCAACCAGTCTCTGTGAGCACATGTCTATGAATATGATGCTTGCATCATATTTCTGAAAATTAACTTTGCCACAGGAAAAGGATGCTAAAAGAGGACCTTGTACAGTCACGCTTTTCCAATAAAACCTTTTTATTCTTCTGAAAACACGTCTGTTTATGAGATTTTAAATTCCATTTCCCAAAGTATTATTTGCCCACCCTGTAATGTGGCTGCTGAACTGACTTGTCTGTGCTGCTGATGCTCTCCAATGGAGTGGATGATCACAGATTCTGTAGGGAGACATTAAATCATATCCAGAGGCACACTGATTAATCCAAGGAAAACCAGGCTATATTTTCTGTGTTGTTTTTTTTTTCTTTTTTCCTCCTAACTTTGGTACTCTGTTTAGTTGTGGGTTAATTTTTTTTTTCTTTCTATGAATTTAGCCCTCCTCAGACTGATGCTTCACCAGTGGCTTCACCAGATCCACAACGCCAGGAGTGGTTTGCCCGATACTTCACATTCTGAGAGATGATTTGTTCTTGTGGCACAGCGTGACGTGGACTGTTTATCAGAGCATGACCTTAAGTAAACCCTCATGTGAACAAGCTTTCCTGTAATTTGTCAAACACTGTGAATGAGAAAGTATTTGTCTTTCTGATTTGAAAATGCACTGTATTTCATGTGATATTTGTTGGAATCACTTGACATGGTACTATATAATGTGTGTAATTATAACTATTATTTTTATTTAAAATGGAAGAACCTTTAAACTTTGTAAGTACAACATAATAAATTTTGGTAGAACAAACATAATGCTTTCCCCCTTTTTCCTATAAATGTTTTCTTTGATTTCAGGTAAGGCTTTCCCCCCTAGAAAAAATCGCATGGTTGTTATAAATACAATTTAAATTGTAAAAGGAAAAAATATATATATCTCACTCTCTCTCCAATTTGGGCAAGATATGTTTAATCCATCCCAATTCTACTATGTTAGCATTTTAAAAACTCTCCTCTTTCTAACATTTAAAAGCCTTTTTTCTAACATTTCAAAGGAAGAATGTGAAATAAATCAAAATCAGTGTAGCTGCTAGCCTTCAGAGCAGAGTGATTTTGACAAGGCCATAAAAACAAACCAGATACTGTTCATTGGGGCAGGGGTTTTGACTTCTTAACTTCTGCCTCTGAGACTTTGCCCTCTAGTTATAATTAAAATTTTATCATTGAATTTAAGCAGAAACTGGATTCACAGATTATGTATTTATTTTATTAATACTAACAAAGACAAATGCTTGAAACTTTTAGAATACTATGTACTAAGTATCTCTGCATAAATCAAGAATCTACATTTTGAGCTTGAAGTCCTGCTTTGGATAAAAATCATGTCTGAAAAAAAAAAAAGCCTACAAAAAGAAAAACAAAACCACACAACTTTTTCCCAGTTCTACATATTACACATATAGATCTTGAGAACTTAATTACCTTCAATTGTCTATATTAAAGGGGTTTCTTGTCTTAAAACTAATCTATGAACATGTTTTTTTCAGCTAGTGAGCATGATTCTCCAATCTACACCTTTTATGATGCCAGTGTTGTTCCAGAAATTTGCTGCAGTATATTGAAAAAGCCCATTGTCTCTTTTGTATTTTTTCATTCAAAGATTACCACAAAGTAATTCACACTGGTAGTCTCAGGGAGAAAATTGTCTCTTTGTTTTATGAATGTATTTTTAAGCTGAATCTCTTATCTTTTAAAAGCAGGAAAATTTGTTTGAGTTATTTGAATAATGTTTTAGTTAGCATATACAAAGGTCTTGAACTTTAATATTCATCTGAAGCCCTAACTACATATTTTTTTTCCTTGTATGCACAAAGGTAAATACCCAGATGAAGATACTTGCTAATTACAATGAGTTTTATATGTAGTATATGTATAAATGAAAAAATTTGTATGTTTTCATATAAACAATATAAAATATTCTAAATGAACATTTTAAATCTTCTTATAATTTTGCTTGAAAACTCCACTGAAAGCTGTATTCTGGTGATGCTGCTGTGGATTAAAGATGCATACAGCAAACTTTCTGTAGCTGGTGGACTCAACTGTAGGTATATGCAACTTTTTAATTTTAGAAGAAAGCCATATTGGGCAAAATGTCAGATTTCTTGGCTCTTACCCGAAATAAAATACACTAGCTCATTTTGTTATAACGTTCTGAAGTGAGTGTTGCGTATTTTTTCTTGCATGCTTTGCAAAGTATATAAGGGGCTTTGTCTGCCATCCTCCACTTCCTGTGTAAATTTTTATGTATGAAATTAATAGCTGTGAACAATAATTGGATGATAATGTGTGCATTCACTTCACCTGATCATATTTTTAGACTTCAGGAAAGGCTTGGTTGTTTTTTTTTTTTTTTTTTTTTACTAGCACAGGGATTTGTCTTTTATAGGGAGAAGAAAGTTAAGAAGTTACCATGTCTGCCAAAGTCAGCAGCAGCTGTTCCACTATCAAATCAGTCTCTTAAAAAAAAAAAAACAACCTAAAGAGAATAGGAAAAAGTGAGTTTCTACCAAATGGCATTGAGAGCACTGTAATACGTATTCCCCAAAAGTCTGGCATTTTGGATTAATACAGGAACTGGCATTATCACAATACCATCGTTTTCTTGATCTTTGCAGTATCTGGTGCCAGTTCTGCGGTCTGCAATGGCTCTGCTCGCATACACAATCTCAGCTCTTGGGTGTTTTTCTTTTCCTAAGCCTTTGTACTTACTCAACAGACAACTCCAAGGTGAGGAGGTGCAGAATTAATATGAAATTGCATCATGTTATTTAAAATGCCAGAAAAAAATTTTAGGCTTTCAGGAGCTGTATCTGCAGCACTTGCCATTCTGGTTTGGCAGCTGAAAAAAAATGGCACCTGGGTGTCCTTTCTTTTCACTAAATTGTTAACAAACACAATATTCTAGTAACCATGGATAGAGAATCCCAATATCAGCTTTTGACTAATGGTCATTCACTTTTTCTCCAGTTTTATTCTTGCTCTGAAACTCTGTTAAAAACTGTAGGACACAATTCCTAAAGAATAACAGGATTCCCTTATAACATTAGAAACCAGATATGTTCGGTGTGTCAGAGCAACCCCTTATTTCAAGATACATGTGAATATTGTTACTTGATCGCAGTGCTATTCACAGATAAATTTTAATGACTCTTCATTGAGAAAATTAGACCCCCAGTCTTCCTCCTTTGCTGTAATTTACTTCCCTTAAAATGAAGCTGACTGAGTCACCTAGCTTAAAAAAAAAATCTTTAACCTCCTCTGCAGTCAACAGGTAGCTTTAGGGGTGAATCGGCCCACTTACCTCTTTTGATTGTACAAAAAGTGTAGAGCAACAACCAATTTATGTGTCTCCAATTTAGTTGTGAGGGACCCTAGTCTTTTTTTTTTTTTTTTAAATAGTGTTTGCAAAAACAAGAGCTTTGAAAGACACTAACACACTAACTTTCCTCTTACAGGAGCCATGTTGCCTTTTTCCTGGTGTGTTCAAAGTAATTAGTGCAGAACTGTTACTACTCTTCTTAGGCAAACGATAGACCAATTTTTACTACACTGAAAGTGAATCTCTAATTTCTTGTACTGTTGTTTAGCTACCTTCTGGAGTTGAGCACTGTGTCAGTTCTATTTACCTATACATTCCCTGGAAAAACTTCCAGGCATAATTACATAGAGAAATCTATGCCCGATTGCAACCTTCACACACACACACTTCAGTTAGTTGTAATTAGCTCCTCCAGTTGCTGGCCGCTGCATCCTTTTCCCTCCTTTTGCTCCAGTTGCATAGGGTATAAAACGCCAGGTTGGAGGAATCACAGGAGGACACCTGCAGGACATCACAAAGATTACAGCTCTGCTGTGCAAGCAACCAGGTAACTGTGCTGATCCAACAAACGTGTACAAATATCTGTCTCGTCCCTAAAAGGAGCAACCTGGTTCAGGTACCTTGCAAGACAGCAGCACAAACTGAGTAAAGCTGACACTGGAAGCACACTGTGGAGGCAGGGTCGGCCTGACACTGCACCTAGAGTCATTGCCAGAAATAGTTTTGAATTTTCAGTGAACAGTTTACATATTAGCTGCAGATCTCAACAGTGCTTTTGCAGCCATGCTGACCAACTCAATGGATGTAAGACCATTTTATAAAGGGACGAGACTTTTGCCTCTGGAGGCACACATAAGGGTTAGAACAATTTGTCTTTACAGGCACCTGTAGCAGTCCTAGGCTTATGTTGTAAACACATTTCCTTCAGGTTAGGAAACATCCTGATCCTTAGGATTTAGGCAACATCTACAAATATTGTAAAGTTTGTATTTCCAAACAACACAGGACAGGTAATTGGAGTTCTGTCCCACTGAGATGCTTTTGCCCAAGCATGCCAAGACACTCTCCTTTTCTGCTGAGCAACCTTTCCTCATATGATATCATGGATGGCAAGGTTGTGAAGAGGGTTAAGCGAGGTGGAGCACTGTAACTTTCCTATCTACTATAATCACTGTATTATTTCAACTGGGAAACAAACAAACAAGCAAACACATCAGACATTCAAATTATATTAGTTTAATTAAGGCAGGTAGATAACATTTCACATATCAAAGCCATATATCATAGTTTGAAAACAAAAGATCTTTTTGTTTGAGAAGTGTTGATTTTCCCCTCCATAAACTCTGTGTTTTAGTATGACAAGATATTATTACAGAACTATCGGTATGTTTCTGATACCTTGGCCATGGTATGCTACACTTGCTGGCTAAGATCTTACAGGGGCAGTCATTTCTGCTTCGTTTGTGTATCCGTGACTCACCGTTAATACAAGCCAACAGCGGGAGGTCCTGAGAGTGAGGAGCTCAGTAAAATTTTTTTTAGCTTCAGACACCTTGAAGGGAGCTGAAAGTTTTCCCCTGTGCCAGCACAGACTTGAACGGCTACAGGAAGCAAATCCCTGTCACACGCAGCGGGCAGGTTGGGTGCAGCAGCGCAGAGGGCAGCCCCCTCCAGGGCAGGCCCCGGCAGCAGGGCTGGATGGCAGCAAAAGGGCCGGGCCGGCTGCTGGGCACTCCTTGCACCTGGAACTCAATTTTAAAGCAGAAATGACTTTAAAAGATGAAATATTTCAAAGAGAAGATGCCACTGGGTGTGAGGAAAAAGACCTCATTCCGATGCTAAACCCTTCAAAGCAATACACCGTACACTTGGGGCTAAAGCCAAAGCTCCGGAGCCCCCCAGCCCACACACAGACACACGCTTCACAGCAGAGCAGCCAACATTGTGCTTTTTTTTCCTTTTTTTTTTTGCCTCGGGGCGGCGCTTCCCCAGCCGCGGGGCAGCCCCGGCACGGCGCTGAGGCCCCGCGGGGACACCCCCATGGCCCCGGCCGGGCCCGGGCCGCGGGGCGGTGCAGGGGGCGGGGACGGCGCCGCTTCCCCTGCCGGGTGAGGGAGCGGAGCTGGGCCCGGCCGGCGGCGGCGGGGCCGTGCCGGTGCCGGTGCCGGTGGCGGCGGTGTCGGGGCGGCCGCGGGGCCCAGGCGGGCTCGGGCTCGGGCTCGGGCTCGGGCTCGGGAGCGGGAGCGGAGCGGGGCGGCCCCGCCGCCATCTCCCGGCTGCCCGCACGGCGCCGCCGCGTTCAAAACTGGCGCGCGCCTGCCGCCATCTGGGAGCGGGCGGACAGACAGACGGACAGACAGACAGACAGACAGACAGACAGGGGGGCCGCCTGCCTGCCTGCCTACCTGGGGTCATCCTGCCTGGCGGTGCGGAGGGGCCGCTGCCACTCACCTCCCACCCCCGCGGCCCCTCCGCAGCTGCCAAGTTTTGCCCCAACGCCTCGCTTTTCCCCCCATCCTTATTTATTTTTATTTTATTTTTAAATTCTGACGCCCAGCCCGGGCATGGCGCTGGGCGCGGAGCAGGTGGCGTTCATCGGGCAGGTGTTCGAGTCCTACGTGCTGCAGCACCACCGCGACGAGCTGCTGGCCATCCTGAGGGAGCGCGACGCCGAGGCGCACTACGCTGTCGTCGTCGACGCCTTGACGCTCTTCGAGACCAACATGGAGATCGGCGAGTACTTCAACGCCTTCCCCGCCCGCGTGCTCCCCATCTTCGACAGCGCCCTGCGCCGGGCGGCCCTCACCGCCCTGCAGGCCGCCGAGCCCGCGCCGGGGCTCTGCGTGAAGACCAACCTCCACGCCAGGATTTCGGGTGAGTGGTGCACCGGGGAAGGCAGCCCCGAGCCTTCCCGCAGCGCTTCCGACTCGCCTCGTGCTGTGGCAGCGAGCGGGACGTCAAGGGAAGGGCTGGGAGCGCGGCCGGTCACTCCCTTTCAGTGTTGGTGGCGTTTATTGAGCAGGAACCAGCAAAGAACCCAAACACTGCAGGGGCACACAGGTCTGTAGGGCAGGCCAGAAAAAAGCTACAGGCGTCCCCCATAGCATGCATGCAGTGGCTGCAGGCTTGTCACAGCATCTTTCCGTGGGAAAAGCTGCTCCCCAAACCGGCGTTCGGTCTCGGGTTATTTCTCTTGTCAGCCAGAAGGTCTCACAAAAAAAAGTTTTAGAGGAAAATCTGTACCTCCTAGCTTTTCTTGCTAGTTGACTTCCTTAAAGTCTAAATTAGCTCGTATTCATTAGCTCCAGCTGCCTCCCAGGGTAGACAAAGTCTAAATTTTGAGTTGTCTTGTGATAGTTTTATCCAATGTGGTTAAAATCTCTGCTGAACTAGTTGTGATGAAGTTGCCTGTTACAAAACTGGAATGGGTTATCGGCAGGAACTGCCATCAGTAAAGGCTTTGGTCCTTTTTTTACTACAAAAAAGTAGAGAAAACTACAAAAAATGGTTACGCTATTACTCCTCACTATTGGGAAGTGCTTAGCGGCGTGGAGCACAGGTGCTGGGGTTAAAATGCCAGTTGTACAGAGCTCGGCTCGGTGGTGGCACTGTCTCCTCTGAGCATTTCTGGTCGTAACCATTTGGAGCTGTCTGCTGTGCAAAGCCAAGAGCTGGCAACCTGTGTTTCCCTCCTTTGCTCCATGTTTGAGTGGCTTATTTATGATCATTTAGTCTTCTGGCAGCTTAAACAGAGATGAATCACGGTTGTTAACACAGACATCTGTTTTGTCCCGGTACGTTTCATTAAAATATTGACATTAAAATAGATACAGCAGAAATATAATTACCCCGTGGCTCTCATAATGCTATTTTGTCTGGGTTTTTAGGGGAAACATCAAACAGCTTGCTACCTGCTATGCTGACTCTGGAGGTAACTGCTGACTTTGTGGCGTACAAGGACGGCTTGTGTGTGGTACAGAATTTTGCAGCCTTGTGCATCTCACTGTGCCGATAAAGTCAGAGCAAATAAAACTTCATTCACAGTGCTCTGCATTTACGTTATGCAGGGCTTCAGCCTGAGAGTAGGGTTATTTGTACTCCAAGTGTGATCGTTCTCTAAGCTACCAGGAAGCATCAGAAGGAGCAAAGCACTGGGCAGATGCTGCATGAGGAGCTGCATCTTTAAGACATTCCTGCTCCTGGTATCAGCCTGGTGCTGGAGTCTTCCCACAGCGATGTTTTGTCTGAATATTCCCTAATCAACCTCAGGCAAACTTAGCCAGATTTGATCAAATAATTTTAATACATGATAAAGGTACATCTGACTGCTCATTAATGGCAGAAGTCAATTAGCAGTCTCACAATGCACTCCATCACTAAACTGGAGAGAAAATGAAGAGCAGGGGAGGGTTATCCTTGTGTGGTCCAGCTGGGTCCAAGGAACCACATAACCTGGTTTATGTTCTGTACCACCAAAAGGTCAGCTCCTGAAGAAATAAAAACAGTAAAAATGATACACAGGACTTTTTTTTTCTGCCCAAATTTTCCCTTAAGTATATGCTGAGTTCTGTTTGATGGCACAACCTCTCCTTTTCCTGGAAATCCATTAAAAGGTTTTTCCTTACTGTTCGCCTGAGCACCACGGAACCAGTTATTGATATAGGCCCAGCTGCTGCTGGTAGCTCAGTTTTACACATTGTTATTAATATAGTTACGCGTGTACTTACTCAGAGAGGCACATTCTCAAATAAAAACTTCAGCAGTCTGATACAATCAGTGTGCAGACCTCTTGTTTTCCCTGTGCAGGCTCTCGTCTCTTTGATACTGACGGAGCCGATGGTAGCTTGTATCTAACGGTGCTGCAGCTCTCTCTAGTGTGAGATGTGGTGTATTCTGCAAAGGGTGTTGAGCTGCACAGACACTGAGTTGGGAAAAGATACCAAAACAATTGGGAAATACTGCATTGGGTTTGTCTGTTTGTTTGTTTTTTGCCTAAGCTGAATAAAAATGCAAACCCAGGGGAGAATAAGATTTTTGACAGGTTTTGTAGAAGATACAGATGGGTTTGTTACAGCCAACCAGAAAATTAATTTGTTTCTAGTCCTACGTAACAGTTCATTTCTTTTCCAAATTACTTCCTTTCTACTTTACTTTTTTTTACCGTTACTCTTTTAAAATGAGCGTAGTGTTTAATAATATTTTCTTTAAACAGAAGCAAGAAGTCAAACCCTTTGCTTATATGCATCAAAGCAGAATGTTTCAGCGTGTCTGAAATGAAAGATTTGATTTTGAAAATACTGAAACAAGCATATGATGCCTTGTCATTTTTTACCAGCCAAAGCTACTGAGCAGATCTGACCTAAATGCACAAATAGCCTTGGTCCCCTTAGAAACATCTGACAGATTTATTACTTACGTCTCTGTTTCCTAACTCTATTTTGTAACTAAAACTATATAAAAAAAAAAGTGTTTTAAGAGAAGGTAAGTTTAAGTCAATACTTGTTAACTTCTCCGTTTTCCTCTGAAATAACTTCCAGAGAGGCAGTATTTTGGTGCTATCCTCAGCTGTGCATTCCAGAGGCCATTTATTTTTATAAGGACTCTGTAGGGGACTGAGTTAGGTTCATCTTCACAGGGCTTCCAGCAGCTGCGGTGCCGAGGGATGCCCGAACAGGTGAAGGCAGGGGTGGGATCTGTGCAGCACTCACCTGGCTCGTGGGGTGGGTGGAGGTGAAGGAGAGCAAGTGCCACAACAGCCTTGTCACTGCTCGTTTGGGCATATGAGGGAGTTTGCTCCTGTGGTGTGCTTCCCACGAGGTGTTCTTCCCACGATGTTCTTTCTGGCATCATCCTTGAGGTTTACTGGCACACAACCTGGAATTAAGGTCCAGTGCTCACAGGCGGTGAATTTAAAATTTGCTGAGACTTGAGAATTCACACAGGGTGGGGAATTAAGCTCGTTTAACCCTGGGAATAACACTGGACCACAATTAAGTAGCATAGCTAAAGTTTTGTAATTCCGACAAACCAGCTGAGAATAAATGGCATTTCCAGATGATGATTTGAATTAATAACTAGATCTATGAACATCAGGATCTTTCTTCATGAATGGAAACTGCTCATGACTATTCATGACTCTCAGCAAAAACAGGAGAGTAAAATGGCTCGATTTACTGCTCGTGATCAGCATCTGGTGTTTTTCATTGTCTGAGACCAGTGAATCAGATTTACGATGCAACAGATGAATTGGTAAATTACATTTAGGAAACATTAATAGCAGTAGTTACTGTTAATGGGTCTGACATTTTTTATAGAGCCACAGAATGCTTTAAGCTGGGAGGGGCCTTAAAGCCCACCCAGCTCCACCCCCCTGCCATGGCAGAGACACCTCCCACCAGCCCAGGCTGCCCAAAGCCCCATCCAGCCTGGCCTTGAGCACCTCCAGCGATGGGGCATCCACAGCTTCTCTGGGCAGCCTGTGCCAGAGCCTCACCACGCTCTGAGTGAAGGATTTCCTCCTTATATCTGATCTAAATCTCCCATCTTTCAGTTTAAAGCCATTGCCCCTTGTTCTGTCACCACACTCCCTGACAAGGAGTCCCTCCCCAGCTTTCCTGTAGGCATTGGCAGGCTGCTATAAGGTCTCCCTGGAGCCTTCTCTTCTCCAGGCTGAACGACCCTCAGCCTTTTTCAAGTCTTGCTGTTTAACTGCGCTGTAAGGATATGTTTTATATGCTTGGTTTTACGCTGCACATATTCTCATTCAACAGGTTTGCCCGTTTGCCCAGAGCTGACCCGAGAGCACATTCCTAAAGCCAGGGATGTGGGTCACTTCTTGTCTGTTACTGGCACTGTCATACGTACCAGTCTGGTGAAGGTCCTGGAGTTTGAACGGAGTTACATCTGCGATAAATGCAAGCACGTGTTCGTTGTCAAGGCCGACTTTGAGCAGTACTATGCCTTCTGTCGGCCGTCAGCCTGCCTGAATGAAGAAGGCTGCAACTCCACCAAGTTCACTTGCCTCTCTGGAACAACCTCTTCTCCCACCAGCTGCAGAGACTACCAGGAAATCAAAATTCAGGAACAGGTAAAAAAAAAAAAAGATGGAGAAAAGGGGGGAGGGCATTATGGTGTAGATGTCTAGGTGCAGATGGGATCTGCAAACGTCTTCTTCCTTCAGTCAGTCAACAACTGCATCAGCAATTACTTAATTTGCATTTGCCTCTGAGTGAGGCCTGGAGTCCAGTTAAGGTGTAAGAGGAGTAACAATTGGGCCTCTTTTTACAGTAGCACATAACTGAGACAAAACAAGCACAAGAAAACTACATTGTATGAAAACTGAGAGTAAGTAGGGTACATTGTAGCCAGTGTTTCTGTTTGTACATTCGTTTTCGTCTTCATAAAGCCTTTTAAAGATCTCCTCAGTTGTTTCAGGGGGTGGATTTTAGAAGTTAAGAAGGTAGTGGTGCCAGTCTGTGTGCTACGTGCGTGAAAACTGAAATTTATGAAACAGAAATCATGCACCTCAAAGTTCAGAATAGCAAAGAAGTAAAGGAAACAAACTATTTCTTGTAAATAAGCCCTATGTTGCATGATTATTTCCGACAGTTTCTGCTACATTTGTTTTACTGTGTGGCACAAAGATCCCTGTGATGGGGAAGGAGCTTGGGCTTATTAAACACCATAGAGTTAAACCAAGAATGATTTCAATTTGTGTTTCCTACTCAGCACTGCAAGTAACTGTGCATGTCAGCCAGTGCTGACAGTGATGTGAAGTGCCTGTGGCCATTTAGATAACACACAAGGGTGAATTAACCTTCCTAGCCACTAGAGAATGAATAAATCTGGAGTTCTAGTATGTACGATCCCGTGCTGCAGAGTGAAAAGGTACTTCTGATTCTTGCTCTTGCGCAGTGGATATTTTAACAACTCTAGCAAGCTTTAATTGTAAATGGAAAGATTTCTGGTTGGAAATAGACCGTGACAAGATTGCATAGACTTTGCCCTGGAGAAAAGAAAAAGAATTGCAACAGTCAGCGGCACATTTGTCAATACACATTCACCTGGTTGTGTGTGATTTTAAGCCTTGACACCTAGATGTAAATTAAATCTCAATCTGTCAAATTTGGGCTATATACCAGAAAAGTACCGAGAATAACCTTTCAGTATGTAGTTCAATGAAGGGTTATCTAACCCATGGACATGCTTTGTTACCCAAAGTAAACTTTGCTTACTGAAGAAATGTCTGGAAAATAACTCAAATTAAAAAAAAATAAAAATCAGTTCTTTCAAATGACATCTTTGAGTGAGCTTTTCAGCAAGATACTGAAATCCCACAGCACCTGCCAGGACTGAGCACCTTCAGCTAATTTAATACCCAAATCTGTTTCCATTAACATCAGCATTAAACTATTAAGCTCTTGACAGCAGTGGCTTGTTTACTGTGTAAGCTCTGTGAGAAAAAGCAAGCGCTGACCTGAGTTCCAGGAAGGGAAAACAGGTCCTTTAGCCAGAGCAACAATAAATGGTTTTTGAAAGGTGCTTTCTGAAGTGCTCTTCCTTCTGTCTCCTAGGTCCAACGGCTGTCTGTTGGAAGCATCCCGCGTTGCATGGTGGTTGTTCTGGAAGACGACTTAGTGGACAGTTGCAAGTCTGGTGAGGATACAGCGTATATCACATATATTTGTGCCATAAATGTTTCTACTCTTCATGTGAGATGGGTCTCTGATGAGTAGTCTGTGAGTGCTGAGGGTCTGTTTAATGAGATATGTTTATCTGCCACGCTGTTTCAGCTTAAAAGTGAGCATGGCAGCAAAGCCTAGACTAGAAAACGTTGTACATCCACACGTTACATCTTGATTGTTGGACAGATCAGCTTCAACAAGTAATGTTGTGATGTACAGGAAGTGTATGAAGTCTTGTTAGGCTAAGAACATCAAGCCTCTGGTGTTCTCACACTGCACGCGTGTGCGGTGTCCTTCTGTGGCTCTGAAGGCTGTGTAACCTGACCTCCTGTCCGAGTGCTGCGGGTGGAAAGAGCTACTTGGCTGCCAGTAGGAAGCTAACTGGGGGGAAGATGAATAAGAATGGACTAAAAGTCCTCAAACAGTGACACCCCTACAAGGAACTCAATGCTCGTTGCTGGTTGTACTGCCTCAGAAGAGCACTGTGGCCAGCATGTTCGTGAATGACGCTGGAATTATTCACAAAAGTTATCAGAAGTCAGATAAGCTTTGGCTAATTTTTTTGTTTAGTAAAACTAATTGAAAGAAGAGATTTCACAGTTTACCGTGAATTTCTCTTTTCCAGAAGAGAATTATAGAATATCCGGAGTTGGAAGGGAAAACGTAGATAGGAAGCATAGATAGATATAACTAAGAGCTCAACTACCTTAAACAGAGGTAGATGGACATAGCAACTTCCTACCACAGACATAAGCAATCTAGGTGATGTTTGTTTCAGACTTCAAACTGCAGGAGGATTGTTTTTGGTTGTTGTTTTTTGTTTTAAAAAAAATAGTAACTGTAACACAGATTTAAGTTGCACTTTTATTCAATGCAGCTGACACATCTGCATGTCTCAAGTCAGATGTTACTTTACTAATTTTTGTCGTTACCCCCAGGAGATGACATCACAGTGTATGGAGTGGTAATGCAGAGGTGGAAACCTTTCCATCAGGATGCACGCTGTGATTTGGAGCTTGTTCTGAAAGCCAACTATGTTAAAGTAAATAATGAGCAGCTAGCAGGGGTTATAATTGATGAAGAAGTCCGCAAGGAATTTGAAGACTTCTGGGAAAAGCATAGGAATGATCCCTTGGCAGGTTAGTAGCTGACAGCTTTAAAATAGGATGCATGATTGGAAATTGATGTAATCAGGAGTGAATGTACAGTGACTGAACACATACTTATTTCCCCATATATTCCCACTACCAACTCCTCAAAAAATACATTTTTTTTCCAGTAGAAGAATTTAAAATACTTTAGCATAATGAAAAAATAGTATCAAGTATCTTGCATTGATTTTCCTTCTTTTGAGAAATGTTTTCTGGAATATATATTAAGAAGAAATGAGAAGTAATATAAGGGGAAAAAAAAGTAACATGCTTTATAATCAAGAAAGAAAAGTATACCCCTTAGAAGAAACAGTGCAGACCAGATATGCCTTTAGCCAACATAGCTGTTGACTCTGGGGCCAAAGATCTGTCTCATTGTCTCTGCATCCCGACTTAAGCTCTGAATCTGCCACAGAGCTCAGTATGTACTGCCTTTGTTATAACTCTTATATGCCTAGCTCTGTGATTTAGGTGTTGCAACCTCATATCATATATGGAGAGAGTCTCCCAGGTCTCGGGGTCTTCCAACAGCCAGTGTTTAGCATGCTTGATCTTAAACTCACCACGGTCTTCAGTCAGCCACCTAACAATTACCAGGAGATGTGTCTGGAGCTCTGTCCCTCTCCAGAATCAAGTGCCACCACCTGAACCACAAGGAATCTCAAAGGACTTGTTAGGATCAATGTCATTGAACTGTCTCAGAATAGCACTCTGTTTTTTAAAACCCTGGAAAGCTCTTAGTCTTTCTTCTTAAAAGGCAAATGGGAGGAAAAGCAGGTAGCAATGTTGACCGTATTAGCTTCAAAATCAGAGAGCTCACATAAGGAATTAGAGATCTTATCAATGACAAAGATTCTTCAGAACTGTATTTCCTGGAAAGCAGTGTAATTGCTAGCCTCCTGCTGTTTGGAAAGAGAACATTTCTTATCACCCTGTTCTGAGAACATCCAGAAAGGAATTCAGGATCCACTTTAAAGGCCCCAGTTAATCTTTCATTCTCGGGACAGTTTTTGGAAGCCTGCAGGGAGCAATGTGGTTGTATGCAGTGTTACCCATTCAAAATAAATGGACGTGAAGTGGCTACAAGCAAATTGGGATGGAAATTAGAAGTACCCTGACCACCCAAGATGTTCCTTCCAGGCTGTTTCTCTGAAGTAGAGTCCTCTCTGGGGAAGGCAGAGATCAAGCCTAACTAATGAGAATAAGGAGTAGGCCATTTCACAACAGGATGTATGTGCACGTTTACTGTTTTTCAAGAGATGATGGTAGTTACTACTGCACTTCTTGTCAGTCAGTTCCTGATCCTGTGTACTAGGTACGTTCTGAGAAGGTCTACCATGGCAGGCCTCCGAGAGAACTTAGGTGACCTTACTTTTTCTGGATAGTATCTAGGAGGAAGCAGAAGTGCTGAGCTGCTCAGCTTTGACAAGGCAAATGAACCTTAAGTCCAACAGAGGCAACTGTGGAGTTAAATCTCAAGTTATGCTGTGGTTGACCAGATTTTTGAAATTTTAATTTTTGGACACAGATGTGTTAATTCCCTCAAAAGACCTCAAAAGAGACACACATGCCTCAATTCATCTATTAGGTGCCTACATATTTTGCCAGTACTGTGTATTTCCAGGCAAATTTAAAATATTATGTTAAGAACACAAAACTGGTTGCTTTGTTCTATGCCCTAGCAATGGAAGTAATGTATGGCATTAAACCTGTGATCCCAGTGCTGTTAGTATCAGGCTTTCAAAGGACAGAATTAATTCTGTCACACACCTTCCAAGCCAACAAAATTATCATAGCAGATAGAAGTACTCTTTTGCTGGAAAGAGGCTATGGAAGGGAGGAGGAGAAGGGGAAACACATAGAAGGGTCAAAGGAGAACTAGAGTCAAGACAATGAGGAAAAGAAAGTCCATGGGAAAGCAAGTTTTACTCTTAGGGCAGTGCTGAGTGCCACTTTTTTGCTCCTCTTCTAGGGAGGAATGAAATTTTGGCTAGCTTATGCCCTCAAGTGTTTGGATTGTACCTGGTGAAGTTGGCTGTAGCCATGGTGCTTGCTGGTGGTGTGCAGAGGATCGATGCTACTGGAACCCGAATCAGAGGTTAGTATTGTTTCTGATAGTATCTGACCCTTGTCTAACAGTTATTCCCATTCCTGTCTTCACCCTACCCCACAAAATCAAGCCAGTAAGGTTTCAGAAGCATAATAATCTCATTTTCGTGACTGAAAGTAATTTTTGATTAATGCTGAGTATTCTTCTAGAATCTCAGACAAATAAAGTGGGTGTCTAGACTTCCTCTTTTTATTTTAGCTTTTCCCAAATAAAATCCATAAAAAATGTGTGTTCAGGATTCCATTAGGTGGAATATTAACAGCAATTGTTATAGATCAAACATAAACTCACTTTTTATTGTATAAGTGACATTTTAAAATGATTTCTGGTAGAATATTCCCAGCAGTATTTGGCATCAAAGGATGGAATATTAATGTTTCCTTAATAAGGATCATGATAGTACATTGAAAGGAAAATTTGAAGGATTCAATTTACTTCCTAATGCCAGACTTTTCCATCTGTGATTGTCAGCGCTTCTCACTTAGATCTGTTACTGTAAGTTATCCGCCTGCTGATTCTCCTTCTGTTGTTATTAGATGGCAAATATGCCATGTGCCAGGTGGTACACAGGTCATAATCTATGTAGGTCATAATAATTCTAAAGTAATACGTGTGGATATACAATACAGGATCTTCTTCATGCTTCAGCACCTAAATAAGGCTATAGACTTTGTATTTCAATAGAAGTTGTACTCATGTTTTCTAGCTGACGGTCTCACTGAGTATCCAAATTATTTACCTGTGTAATTACATTGTTTTGAAATTTCTGAATTGTGTAACTGTTGGCGGTATAACAATATATATAACAATATCAGTTAAGAAAAACAAACTGATGATTTTATTAGAGCATTTTGCAGTAATTTAAATAACTGAATAGCGGAATCATAACTAAGCCCCACAGTCAAGAGTGAGCTGAATCTGAGAAATGAGTATTCTCAAATGTAAGAACTCACGGTATGGAAAGTTTTCTAATGTTTTTAATTTAATTCATTATAAATATTTGATTTGGATGCAGCAGTATGACCATATGCTTTAATAAGCAATAATTCATCACACCCAGTAAATAGTACAGTGTTATATGGAATTACACCTTATATGTACATGTAGTAGCTAAATGTGAGGTGAAAAATTAAAGTATTTTTGAATTCAGAGCATGTTGTGCACACCTTTCTCTGCGTATGTACCATGTACTCCTATATCAATGTTTTCCTCCAAGGTGAATCGCATCTTTTGTTGGTTGGAGACCCAGGTACAGGGAAATCTCAGTTTCTCAAGTATGCAGTAAAGATTACACCCCGGTCTGTGCTCACTGCAGGAATTGGATCTACCAGTGCAGGTATGTGCTTCTTTGGTTAGAACTCTTTATAACAGACTCCAGTAGAAAAAGGGCATAGAGGCCTTTTACATAGGTGAACAAGAACTGGATTTCAGGTTGTATGAGCACAGTTTAAGCAAAAACTGACATGGAGACATGCGGAGGCTTGACATGAGTCTGCAGAAGGGCAGTGCTGCCCCTTCTTCTGTATCAGTGGAGCAGTGTGATGAGCTTCTAAGAGGGAACCTTACAAGCCCCATCCAGAGGTGCCTCTCACTGATTTGCTGTCAGAGGATGATCTGGACCTGTATTTTTAGCGTTCTTCCCTGCTATGACAAATCTGACATCTTTCCAGAGCTCACACTGTGTGATGGGCTAGAATCGTTTGGTTTCTCCTGAACATACATTCTCCCCTCTTCTGTTCTTTTACGTATTCCGGCTGGGTGCCAGTTTGATTTCTGCTTATTTCCTGGAACGGCAACCCTGTGTTGAGAAATTATTTCTGCCTCATAAAGATGGTTTCAGAGTGAAAGCTTTCCTCCCTCCCTGTCCCCACCTTCCAAAAAAAAACAAAAAACCCACCACCAAAAAACACTTTTAAATATGTCCCAGCTGGCTCAGACTGCTGGGGATCTTTACACACTCTTCTGGAAACAATATGCAAGCTCAGATCACTTCTGCAAATGACTTCATTTGCGCAAATGACTATGTTGGTAGTACATTCAAAATCGTGAAATAATTAAGGGCAAAAACCAAAGGGTCGCAGTTAGCATGTGCAGCATGGATGTTTCTCAGATTGTGTAGCTGTTCATTTTATGTCTGGAAAACAGCATTGTTTATACATGGGGAAAAACAGAGAATACATCTTCACCAGTTCTACAGCTACGTGTACATGTGTGTACTGGGTCCTCTGGCTATGGAAATGCAACAGCTACTTCAGTGGTAGTGGAATGTAACACTGAACATACTCACTCTTGTGTGCAGTGAACTTTTCATGCCTCTGATTTTCCACTCAAACTGTTCACAGATAGATCTGGAGAAAAACCAGAGAGAACGGTTTGGCTCAGCATACCCTTATCCCTACCTTTTGTTGGGTGTTAAGAACTGAGAACAGGGGGGATAATTAAAAATTTGCCAGGGAGCTGGCAGTGACTTGGAGTGATATTTTGCCAGGAGTTTCAATGTGATCTTGCCCAGTTTTATTGGGAGTAATCTTGTGTCAGCTGCTTTGGGTCTCTAACTGTTGCTATTGCCTTCTTCACCATGTTTCCCACCTCACCTTCATTTTCTCTGTAATCTGGTTTACAATGCAATTGTCACAGCTGTGTTCAAAGATGTTTCCCTGAAAACCAGTATTGCAGCTTAAAAACTTACTGCGGTATATGTGCCAAGCAATCAGCTTAATGATGTGTGGAGATTGAGTTTCATCTTGCGAAAGGATCATTTTGGGTCTTTAGATCATCTACATTCCACTTAAATATTCTTTTTATTTTAAAATAGCACTCTATTTCTTTCACCTTCCTGAAATCTTACAGCAAAGTGTGCTGAATTTCCACCTTGAGATTCTAAGGACCCTCATCAGAAGTGAAACTTGAATCCCTAGCAAGAAATCTTATTAACCCTAGTTTAACTTCAGAGTACCTTTCCACGATTAGAACTGTTGGACTAAAGCATTAATCTCTAGCCCAAGAGTTTGGATGCAGCTTGAATTATTTTCTTTGCCCTTCTGTACAAGGAGTGTCTTATTTGTGAATATGTTTGGAGCTGTACCTAACACTGAATTTGTCAACTTGCTGTTCATGCAGAAGCTCCAAGTGATGTGTTTTAAGAACTATGAAATTGTTTTACATCACATCTGCATGCTTCAGATTACCAATTTATTCTTTCTCCTGAGAGGAAACTACTAATTGACATTTTTGCCTAAAAGTAAAAAGACTAAATCCATAAGTTCCAGTTTCGACTAGTTCCTTACATTGTATATAAAGTAGTCTGGATTGCAGTTTAATTACTGGCTCTAAGATTACAGTCCACATATACTAAAAAATGCACCTGTAAATTGGTAATACTTTGGAGAAGTGCTAAAAGCTGTCTTATGTTTAGATTTTTCTCTCAGAGAAATTTGTCAATAACTTACCTGCAAATTCTGGTTTGCATCTTGTGTATTAATGCATCTTACACCCTTTGCCCATCTGGTACTCCTTTAGGACACTAGCAGTTTGTCAGCTCTGGAGTTGGAATTCTGCTTCCAAAACTGTCTACTGTATCAATTTTTCACCATGGGCATTTATTGGTGTCAGGATGCAGTGTTAGATGATGAATGTTGTTCCTGTTTAACCTAAATTCCCTTTCTTTCTTGCTCTGTCTTAGGAATCATCTGGTTTTTATTTAGATCCATTATGACATTATGATCCCTTTTTTCTTTAAGTGAATCAGTATTTGAGGATCTTCATCTTTTTTATTTCCCTGACAGGCTTAGACTGACTGCTTGCTGCAGATAGCCTTTACAGGGGACAGGGATCCATTCTCTGTTGTGGGTAAATCCAGAACTTTTCTTCCAGTCTCTAGATAGCATGCTGAGTTTACTTGCTTTGTGAGGTTGCCTTTGTTGCTAACCACGTACTAGAGGTTTTCTTTTGAGAGTTCTCTGCACATTTCTTACTTTTATGAGGAACCAGGCTTCGTTCTTTCTACAGATCTTTTGTTAAAGTTGTCAGCCACAAGGCAAAACCAAGTTCAGTAACTCAATAGCAAAAATTTCTTTGACCGCTATAGGGCTTTCTGATTTCTAAATAAAAGATGGGAACCATCTGTCCTGCAGGTTCTGTCTGCACACTGTTCATTTTTTATAAAGGCCTTTCCCACTTATTGCCTGAGAATGACAGGTAGGCATTCACATACCTTTAATTTTTAGAAATTGATATGTAGTTTTCCAGAAGGAGACTTACTGAAGTTTAACAAAATCCCTCTCTGGGTTCCAACTATACTACTGAGTTCAACCAACTGTTTTGCAGTCCCCGTAGCAGTAGTGCTGCTTGTGTATATTTGGGTGAGATAATTACTAATAAGAAAATATTTCCTTTTCCCCTGGAGCTTGAGAAGTGCAGCCATCATTTGAGTGGTGTGCTTGATTGCATAGGGACTGGAACTAACATGTACCTGCTGCTGGTGGGTCTGGAGGTATCCAGGCCAGAGTCATCCTGACATTTTCTGGTGTGTATTTGGCTGTAGAGATTTGTGCAAAGTTGTATTCAGTGTTGTGTCCCCCCAGATGGACTCCGTAAAGAATTTTCTGAACTGTGCTCAGAACAGCTTGTCTAAAAATCTGGGAGACAATCAGCTGTTTCTCCTACTCTCCAGTTCTGTACAATATGACTTCCTGAGCTGTAAGAAATGCGGCCTTCTGGCCTCTCCTCTTACAGCCTCTACAGAGCCCTAGGAGTACTGCATTTTTGCTGGCACTTAGCAAGTTTAACATTGCCCATATCAATGCCAACAGCATTTCGCTACTGTATTATTTTTCTCCTCATTGAAGTCTTTTTGCTAGTAAGCTTCTCTCTGCTGCACAGGCTTCAGATGCTAACCATTGCCTCTGTTCTGATCTACTAGAAACCATTTCTATGTCTGATGCTCCAGCCCTCCAGTTCTGGTTATGGTAGAGTACGTCAGCATCCTGAGATACGCAGGACACTGAAACTAGGGATGTTTTTCCCTATTTGTAGATCCCCAAATTGTTTCTGGCTATTCCTTAGCAGATCCAGGTCATTCTTAATTGATAGAGGTAAAGGCAGTGCCAGGGAACACGCTAAACAACCTAGCACTGTGGGCAATAGCGTGGCAGTGCTTGGATCCACACCGTGGCCCTGATGAGGTTATTAATAGAGATGCAGCCTTTAGGCTAGTCTTTTCAGATCTTTACTTCTGCCACAGGATTCTCCATTGTCTTTGTAAATATTCATAATTGTAGATGAACTTGTGGTATTTTCTGTCAGTGTACCTTAAAAATACTTTCCTCATAATATGACTTAACTGTCTGTTTTCTAAGCAGTTTGGCTTCAGGTTGAGAAGGCCTTAACTCTCTAAGAGGTCTGCTAAACTTATTGAAGGAATGAATTTTGAAGTTGTGATCAAAGCTCCTTGAGCTATGCCACATCTGTAGCCATGTCTCATCTCTTGGAGATCCATAAATCCCCTTAATTTCCTCTCACTAATACTGTTCCAAGATGGCCTTGTCTTGAGACTTACCTTGACTACATGCAACAGATTATTTAGCCAAGTAGGTATCTATCTTCAGAAATTTCAGTTGGTTCACACATCTGTATCTGAAGACCTCTAGTTAGGATGGACAGGAAATGCTGCAGGAGGGAACATCTTTGTCATGTTGGCTGGAGGCTTCAGTTCTTATGCAGCTCTGGCATAATATATATTGGCAGGCAGGCCTAAGAATTTTTTCCTCCTGCTATTGAAATGGCAGGCATTTCATTCAGCTGATTGTTGTTACATGTCTTCAGGATTCCCTTTGCAGTACCACAAAGCACTGAGGTACTGCAGTGTTGGTAAGCCACACCTTTCTAGAGAGACAGGACAAGCTGGAGGAGCCTTCATGTGGAAAGGTAGGCCTCATTATCGGCCTGTGGCCCAAGGGGCTTTTGGAGGAAAACCCATGAACTCCTTAAAAGTTCCTGACATTTCAGCCTGTTCTTAAAGTTGCTGTTACCACATGGCTGTTGTATAGCCCTTCTGCAGCACAAAGACTCCCTCCAATTGTCTGCTGGAGGCCAGTCACATCACTTACACCATGGACAATGAGCACCCCACTATGTCTCCAAGACAGCACTACCAAAATTTGGAAATGTTGAAGTGTGTCTTCCCTCCACTTCACCCTTTGCTTCCGAGGGGCCTTTACGTTCTAGATTCCAGGTACAAACCTTGGTTTTAACTTTAACACAGCCTCCCTCGTGACTCCAGCTGGTTCCTTTCTCTTATACATTCTTGCTAAGACTAAAAAATCAAGCAAAAATATCTCCACCTGTTTTCTGCAGCCCTTGTCTAATCTCACACACGATGAGACCAGCTCGTAAGAAGCAGAACTTTAACTAGAAACATAAATACAAACGGCAAAGCCTGGCATGAGCTGTCCCCCCACACACAGCCTGCCCTTATAAGTAGTTGCATTAACCTTGTAGGTAGATGTTTTGTCTTCCCTGTTGGCCCTGAGCAGAGCCCTCCAGCTAGCAACAATAGTAATGCATCTGCTCCAGATCAAACTTCTGTGGCTCTCAACAGAACAAGAGAATCTGGCCCAGCGAGCTTGCAGTCCACTGTATTTGTTATGGTTAAGAGGCAGGGTCGTTAAGCAAGTGAAAGATCTCCTGCAGTTGCCCAGACAGAAGTCAAGATGTAGTAACTTTGCTCTTTTTCTGTCTCTTGTAAATGAGGATTTGACTGGAGTGTGCAAGCATGTATATATCTTTTTCCTTCTTTTTTCTTCCCTACCACCAGTTTCAGATGGCAGCAAGCAATCTTTGTATAGGTGCAACTGGGCTAGCCTCCAGTCAGAGCTGACTTCTGGAAAATCAGCAGTTGAAGCCCTAGAAAGAAAAATACTGGATTGTGAGATTTGTGACACGGTGACTTGCATCTTGGGAGCACAGACTGTTTGACAGGCTGTAAACTAAGTTACTGTGGTTATTGTAGCCATGTTCTGAGGTACTGCAGTCTTGAAGATTGGAAATAAGAGTTGGTGTTTTCAGTGGTGTTTGTAGAGCCGCTGGAGAGGTTAAATTTCACCAGTCTCTGGTACAATGGAGCTGGAGTGTTTTTACCCCCTTCAGACTCAGTATGTCATAGTAATTCTGATTGGAGGTGATTCATGAATAAATCACAATGACTGTAAGGCAAAGAGACTTTTTTTTCCAAGCTAGACATAGAAAAACAACCTTGTTTTTCATCAGTAATGGTGCTTGGTCTGATCCAAGAGGCATGAATGAATAAAGGGCATGAAAAACCCCTGATGAGCATTATGGCAGTCTTCTAATAGAATTTAGGTTGGATATTAGGAGAAATGGCTTTACTGGAAGGGTTGTGCAGCATTGGAACAGGCTGCCCAGGGAAGTGGTTGAGTCACCATCCCTGGAGGCCTTCAGCAAATGTGTAGATGTGGAACTTAGTAGCATGGTTTAGTGGTGGACTTCAGTAGTAGGTTAGAAGTTGGGCTAGATGATCTTGGAGGTCTTTTCCAACCTGAATGATTCTGATTCTACAACTCCATGAATTGAGGCTACCTGTCCATCTGAGGTAAAAACACAGTGAGAAGCGTCACTAGTGCTGTTAACACAACCTGTAGCATGCCCTTGCACCTTGATGGCCTCTGCAAGATGAGGTTTGTTGGAAGGGGAACTCACCTTTGGCACCAATGTTGTACTGCTGTGCTGTCAGCACTAGCTGTCTGTGTTAGTTATACAGCCCTGCTGCCGGGTCAAAGATGAGTCTTTATAAAGATGCTTTGTAGCCACTGTCTCTCTTAATACTGCTAACTTTGCGCTGTGATGTTGCCTGATGATAAGACTTGAAGCATTTGGAACACTGGAGTTTACTTTCTCAAATTCCTTCTCTCTGAGCTGTGATTTTTGCCAGGAAACAAGACGGTCAGAATACAGTTTATATGGACTGCTAAGATCCGGACAAGCTTGTAGATGACCTGCAAAGCATCCAGTCCTTCAAAGAGCACAGAAAGACAATTCATTTCACAAAGATCATGAGGTCCTCTCATAGTGGGTAAAGCTGCTCTTTTGCAGTTGCCACCTAGGACAGTATGGGCATTCTCCTTCCAGTAACTGGCGGGTCAGCTACGGACGTAGTGCGTGTATCAGGTAAGGTGGTGCTGCAGTCTGTTTCAGCATCATGCCAGTCTGGTCTAGCTGGAAGTTTATTGCATCCCTGAGTTCTCCTGTACAGTTGGCCTTTTCTTCTGCTAAACAGAACAATAAATCTTCTCTTTCTTGTTTCTTGGACTTAGCTGGCTTGCTGGGTGGTGTACTTTTGCTGACTGTATTTTGCAGTGGATTCTGCAATGGCAGAAATAGGGTTTGCTTCCATCACTTGTTTCTAAGAAGTATTTGTGCTACTCGTGGATGGATTCTAGTTATAACTTGTACTTGATCCTGCTTTCACGTGAATCATCAGTAGGTGCAAGTATTTGAAATACTATTACGATAGTTTTAGCTCAAGTCAGACTTCAGTAGCTTTCCAGCCTTTCAGCAGATGACTAAGTTACTTATGTTTACATTTAAGATATAACTTAGAGTTTTATAAATAGAACAGTAAAGGGCATGACAATCTCAAAAAGCCACTGGAGACCTTGTTATGATTTTTTTTTAAAAAAGACCTTTTTAAAATGTTCACATAATTTCATAGAATCTATAATTTCATAGTATAGAGAGTGTTGCCCAAAGCCCCATCCAGCCTGGCCTTGAACACCTCCAGGGATGGGGCATCCACAGCTTCTTTAAAGCCACTGCCCCTTGTCCTATCACTATCCTCTGTGACAAAGAGTCCCTCCCCAGCTTTCCTGTAGGCCCCTTCAGGCACTGGAAGGCCTCTACAAGGTCTCTCTCTGCAGAGCCTTCTTCAGGCTGAACAACCCCAGCTTGCTCAGCCTGTCTTTATAGGAGACATGCTCCAGATCTTTGATCATCTTTGTGGCCCTCTTCTAGACTTGTCCTAATACATCCATGTCCTTCTTGCTCAGGGGGCCCCAGATCTGAGCACGGCACTCCAGGTGGGAGCCTCATGAAACCAGAGCAGAGAGGGAGAATCCCTTCCCTTGCCTTGCCAGCCATGCTACTTTTTGGTTTCAACCCTAAAGTTGAAACAAATGCTGGTTTTGGAGACTGATTTTTTGAGTTAAGTCATACAAATATTGGTGTTAACATTTGATGATTGTTAAATTGTGGTGGTAATGTAATCAAAATATTATTGCTAATCATATGTTTAAACAACTAGAGAGAGACTTTCAAGAGCACACTTCAGACTGAAGGTTCCACAGGCTTTCAGTACAACTTAGGCATTTGGCTACCATATGTTCTGCTGAGTTTCCACATAAGAAAGAAATGTATGCATGTACATTCACATCAGGTCCATCCTTCGCAATTTAAAAATATTATATGAAGACAATTTCACTAATGATGTGTAAAGACAGAAACACTAACTGCTTCGGACATCTTCATCCCTATTTGACGATGCTGGAAGTGAAGAGAAAGTATTCTATTTTTATTCAAAGCTATGCTGTCAAGTCATCATGAAGTGTACTTTTTTTTTTTTTAAAGGGCCCAGAACCTACAAGGGTGCAGTCTGGGCAGTTACGAGTAACTATCAGAACAATATTCTTGTAATCTGACACGACAGATTACAATCTTAAGTGCATATATAGTCACAGTAAACATAAGGCTGACAAGGATTGGAAGGAATACCAAAATTGTTAATGTCATAACAGTGTCTTTAAGTTTTTACAATTTACTGCCTCATTTTTTTTTTGTCTTCAAAGATGCCTCAGGTAATAGAGAGTGTCTCACTGCAAGCCCTTCAGGGCAGGCCATGAATTCTTGAGTACGCAGCGCCTGCCACAGCAGAGTTCGAATCTTCATTTATACCAGTGCATAGTGTTGCCTTAGAGGGCAGAGAGAAAACTCAAGTGATTTAGATTCCAAACATTTCAGAAAACTGAAAGAAAACATCAAAACTCCTTACTAGTTGAAAAGACTACAAGAATAGAGCATACTTGAAAAATTAATGTATGAACCAGCATTGTACATAACAATATTGCAGAAGTACAGTTCGGAGGGTTACTTATACTATTCCTTTTGACACTCAAGTTTTCTAATAATTGCTTTAATCTTTCCACCCAGTTGTGCACAGCTGACTGAAAAAAAAAAAAGTTCTTTGCTGAAATACCCACCTAAATTCACATGAAACACTGTCCTTAACAAACCAGTCTGACTAGCAGCAGGAGATTAAAAAAAGAAAAAAAAGTCCTAAAATCTGAGATAGCAGATGGTAAATTTCAAACTGCATGCTTTAAGTAACAAGTATGTGCTTTGAAATGAAAAAACTTGCACCTAAAATTATACCGTGCTGTCTGCTTTCACAGAAAGAGGACTTTTTTTTTAAGAGCACTTTTTTCTTTGCACTTCATCTAATGACAGCTTTGTTCTTCAGCTGCTATTAAAGGGCACTTTATATTTGGCAATCTGGATATCAGAGATGAGGACACAGCATTATTGCTTCATTTTGCCTGAATATTTTAACTTTCCATTTTTTAGCTTTCAACAGTGCTAACAAAGTAAAGGGGGAAGGGGGAAGAATACGTATACTTTAATCAGGTTTGGGTTAGACCAAACAGAATAACACATTAGAGAAAAAAGCAATTACTTAAAAATAGTTGTATTTATATTCCACAATTTGCTCAAATACTGTTTTTTCTTTATAAACTTTCTACAGGATGTTTTAAAACAAGTTCTTCACATTGCTCGTCAACTATGTACTTATGGAATTTGAGGGAAATAGTTCTGGTTGTTTTTACAGTTTAACACATGTACAGTACCAAAACGATGGTGGTTAGTCACATGCAGTCCATATGAGATTCTAACATAACATTTAATGAATTTTCTGATGTTGACCACCCCTTTGATGCTGAAGGTAACGCATCTGTAGAAAGCAGGGACTGTAGATTTGGGTTACTGCTCTCTGCATCTTCCAGTTTTTCAGTGTTGTCCTCCCAATTTATGTGGAATCTTGTGACTCGGGGATTAGATGCCAAAATATTCCTTTGAAGCTGGGTGGGAAGAAAAGATAAATTATGTGGTGTACATAGCAAACTGGACTTCATGTGCATATGGATTTCTTTCATTTTACTCCTGTAGCCTTGTATGTCTAAAATAATATTAAAAATTCATGTGATTGTGAATCTATAGCTATTACATATGGATCAGAAATATGCTTACAGAAACACACCACTAGTTCATTTACTCTAATATCCTACTCAGCAAAATAAAAACATCCTGTCTAGAAAGCAGTTAACTGTCCTATGCATTCAAGACTATACTAGAACCTTGCAAGTAAAGTGCAAGGGTTTTACCTTAGCCAGCACTTAATAAAGCAAATGACTATCCCCAGAACAATTTTGCAACCTACAGGAGTTCATAAAATTCTGCATCAATTTCATGGTGCTGGCAACAACTCTACCATTTCCCTCAACTGTCTGTCCTTATGAAGATTAAAACCTTTCTTTATATTAAATGACTATGCATTAGATTCATTTTACTATCTGAATTTTAATTTGTCTACTTCAAATATTAAATTGAGAACATTACTTAGATTTGGCAGTTGACATGCCTAGACACTAGTCATGTATTTTGTTCTTTAGGCTGGCCTTCATTTTTCTTGAAAGAAGTGTTCCATCTGCTTATGTGTGCAGCAAAAAAGAAGATGCTCATTTTTTCTGAATTTATCACCATTTCAAAATAATGCACAGTTAACTCCAAAGGATGGCAAATTATGGCCACTTGTTATTAAAGCTGAGACTGGTCACAGGAAAGTGACCAGAAGTGCTGATTTCATTCCTTGAGAAAGTGTGCCCCCATTAAATATTTTCCCACCCCTTATACAAGCTAACAAAATCTAACAAGATCTTTTTTTTTGAGCCTAGTAAGTCTGTTTCCTGTCAATTGCAATTCAATATGCTTAATAACCTTAGTCAAATTAAGAACTTGTACAAATACATGATCACTGTAGCTGTTCTTGTTTATATAAAAACTGCTTCTATGAAAAAACAGAATAACAAGTAGTTCTAAACTGTTCAAAACAGAACAACAAGTAGTTCTAGGCATTTCTAAATTCATCTGCTTAAAGAAAGTTAACGTTCTGGCATTCACGTGAAAAAAAAAACAAACACAAGGATGAGTTCAACAGCATAAGAAAAAAGGAAAGGAACAGATTATAATTCTAAGAGTCCTCAAAAATTAACCATGATTTTGAATTTTGAGAATGTACTAAGCATCTGAATCTTGAAAATTAAGTTAGGCATAGTAAAAATTAGCAGCTTAAAAAAAAAACAAACAACAATTTAGATATCAATTCAGTTTAGTTACATTTTAAGATTGGTTTCAGGGACTATGGGGATTATCTCTGTACTAGTCATTACAGTACAACCATTATTCCACTCAGTTCTTCATGTATCTGGTTATCTAACTCATGCAAACTTGAGAAGCAACCAATTTTTTTTTTTTTTTACCATCACAAAACTCTGGAACATGAGCATGTACACATAACATCTCGTAAAGAGAACCCAGAAATGGACCCCAAATCCATAAGAGCTTCCATGAAAGCAAACCAGGATGCTACATGGAAGTTTATTAGTTTGTGCAGGAATCTGCCTGCATGCGCTGTTTCTCAGGGTTTTGACTGACTAGTTTTTGTTAATTGATCTTCCTCCTCAGGAGGATTTGGAACCTAATACTTTATTTCACGTCTAATTTTAACTCTACACCTCATTCACTTTTATTTTTTTTTTTAAACCATTAAAAAAATGTCTGTTTTTAAACTTTAACTACAAATTTCCTTGATCAAGTTGTCCATTGATTGGATCCAGTCATCTGGCCTGCTGTAACAAGGCTACCCATCTTCTCTCCTTTCATAGAGAAGTTGTTCTTCACTTTCTGTTTTGCAGAACTGTAGGTCTTTCTTAAAAATCCCTTTGTATAAGCGTACCTTTGATACACGTCTAGAATAGAAGGTGCCTTACCTTAGAAAAGTCTGGCTTTACTGGTGGATTCTCTCTCAGTTCTGTTTCAGTATATTCATTGTTTACATAGTAGCCGACTCTAATAAATTCTTGACCTCGGTAAGTGCATGTAATTAGCACAACTGTTACGCCTACTGCATCTGCATCTGGAATAAGCCCTGGGTTAGGTGCATCAGCCTAGACATGAAAGGGAAAGATCGATTAAAATAAAATCAATACCACATACCTATCTGGCAGAAGAATCTGAAATAGCTTGTCCTAGCAGCTGAGTAGTGACTGTATGCAAATTTGAAAGGTTTCTCCATGTTAACCAGAAAATATACCTGCTTTTACAAAAACATCAACCCTGAATTTAGGGCACCATCTTCTACAGGCAGAATTAGTTTGAACACAGTAATGTTGTGCTGACATTTCTCCTGGGTGATCAGACAGCTTTGATCCCAAACTGCTTTTAAATACATGATTAGCTGAACAAGCGTGCCAACACCTCTCCAGTTCCATGGTGCTGCTGTTCTCCAGCCCCTCGTAGTAATCGAGCAAAACTTTTCATACCTCTTCGGTTGAATTGATCTGTCTGTTTTTAACAAGACTAAACCTTTAAAAATACAGGCTAATTCAGACTTCAGCAAGAAGAGGAGGGACAGGCTACGGTGATGTTTGAGCTGTCTAGGAAAGGAATAAACGGCTCTGTCTCATCTGCTGCCATGTGCCCGTATTTCCTCAATTGCATGCAATTAAATGCATCATCACTGAGAGACATGACATTTTCAGCCAGTACACAGTCCTAATTAATAGGCAACTCTTACGATCTCCCTTATATCCTTACTCACCGTGGCACTGCAATTATTAATAATCAATAGAATTTGCCTCACCAGATGTGGCTCACATCAGTCTCTTAATGTTTTGTAACTAAACATTTGTTGATGGAACATGGTGCCTCATTCTGCTCTCAGACTCAAAGTAGCAGCAATCTAAGCATAAATGAAACAGCCTCATATTTACAACTTTGCATGAAAAATCTGAAGCTGATAACAAACACCTTTGTTCCAAGCATAAATTAGTTATTAGCAACGTATGTTAGAGTGGTTCAGATGTGTTGAATCCTGCCTTAGGACAGAGAGTGAATGGGATTCTTGCTGTCCCTCTTATCCCTGTTTTTCTCCAGTATGTATATGCTCTAGCACTACAAAATTCAGGAGCTAGTAGTCATGCATCATTGACTTCTGCTCTTTGCTACTTCAATCCTGAGCCTTCAAACCACTCTAGCTTTTCATAAGAAGCTGTAGGCACTCTGCAGAACAATTAAATGAATCAGACCTCTCAGGTACAAATATACTGGGGGGAGGAAAGCAACCAGGCAATCAGGTAGAACACTCCTTCCTCCAGCCCTGAAGGGAAGAGAAAGTGACCAAATAGCTTTGCAACTTGTACAGGGCAATGGAAAATATGGCCAAGGAACTGGAGAAATATAGAAGCTCCACAAAAATACAAGAACTGCCAATACATGAAATCGCTATTTCAAATCAGCAGTCTTGTTTGAACAGTGCCCAGGGCGATGTGATTACTTAAAATTCCAGTAGGCAGTTACAGAGTAATATTTTGCAAAAAGGACATCCTTCCATTTAACTCCCTGTGAAACACAGCTCATACCCTAATATGGGATTTTAGCTCTCCCAGGCTTCTTCCACTGTCACTTCATGTCCTGTAATATGCTATGATACAGCTGTGAACCTGCAGAAATCCTGTTTTAATCCTACTTTGCTGTTGAGCAGCAAAGGCATTGAACATGGTTTCGAAGAAAATGTTTTCTTTTCTCAAATTTTTAACTTCCTGCCCTAGATGTAAAACCTCCTGATTCCACAAGGAACTGGTGAACATGCACAGGTTAGGGGGGAAGAGAAGACATTGATATGACCAAGTGGTAAGTGAGGAGTTGCAAACATATACTGTGGTAGGCCACCAGCTTAGTATGCCAAAATTACTTAGAAATTTGTGAAATCACTCAAGATATACATTGTTGAGTTACCTTGCTTTTCTACATAACACATAACTATTAGTACAGAGTAGCTAAATTAGTGTAAGGTCATATCCCCACTTCAAGACTGTAAATTATTTGTGTGTCTATATTCTCAAAAAGAAACTCCTGAGAATTTATTACAAATCCTCTGGAGCATGGAGAAAAAAAATCGTGTTTCATTACTTATATATTGTGCAAGTCTGATAAGCACAATAACTTTTCCATCTTCCTGTATGTAAGGCTGACTTCCCAACATGATGCACAGCCTCTCCTCAGAATTTTATCTGTGTGGCACTCCATTTTACTTGCTGTTTCAGCCATTTTCATCTTAAGAAAAATCTACAGCACAATACTAACAAAGTTTTATACATCTCTACAAGAAGTTCTTCTCTGTGCTCATTGGTGAACACAGTATCTTTTTTTTTTTCTACTACATGTATACACCTCCTGCAGTTCTACACTTTGTCCCATCCTGGCATTCCCCTGCCAGTTCCCTCCACCTGCCAGGCAGTTTCAGTTTGGTGAATAAAGTAGCTCAAGCTGGCAGCAAAGGGTTATTAGAGCACTTTGGCTTTTGGTAGTCTCTTACATACACATTAGCCAGGTCCTACCCTCACTTGAAATCCAGGGCTTTTGAAGTTTAATATACTTAGACCAACAGTACACCCATAAGAAAAAGGATAGTTTATTAAAAGGCAGTAGGAGTACTCAATCTAAGCCAAATCTGTACATACCTACTCCTACTTTTGCTGTAATGTCATCCGTAACTATGATATAATGGATACGAGTCTATCCTGCAGAAACTGCAAGTCCAGTAAATTTTATTTTCAAGGTCTTCCTGTATCACACAACCAAAACATGCCTTTTGAGGCACCTGCCTTCCGCTCCTTCCCATTACTATCAGCAGTGCATCTTTGAGATTGAGAATAGTGCCTCATTTAAACTAGAGATGGAAACGCCAGCTGGTATCTCTCGATCTACCACTACAAAGTAGCCCATTCTGGGGGTGATAGAGGATCACCTGGTTCTGACCAATTAATGCTACAGGATGAAATTGCTCAATAATGGAAGTACTGTTAATAAATGATGCATTTGTTATCTATCTGCTTCATTTCTAGCATGGGAAAAATTAAGCCCAGCTCCAAAAGCAGAGTGAAATATTTCAAGGCTGATTTGCACATGTGGTTAATAAACATAACCTCCAGCCTGACCTTATGTCTTTAGCCTGTCCTGTGAGGGGAAAAAAAAGTTCTATTCAGAAGTTCCAAATGTTTTCTGAACCTTCTAAATAATTGGGACTTACAGTAACAATTAGGATGCCTAACAAACTTTGTTATCATTTTAAAGCAGTTATAGTAACTCTGATAAGTAAGAAAATGTGTTCGTTTGAGTTATTTTTGAAGAAGATGCTCATACTTCAGTATGTATTTGCCATTAATTAGTTGAGTGAATTTATAATGTTTGGGAAAGTGGCAAGGTTCATAAACAAAAAGCTGTTCTCATTTTCAGTCTGATTTTTCTGTGGATGGATTTTGCTCTCAGTTTACAAGAGAGACACTAGTATTTGATAAACAGGGGGAAAAAAGTGAGCTGAATCAGTGTTTTGATTAAGAACAATTTCCATAAAAATTCAGACAAGTTTAGTTTAGTTTTTCCCCTCTGGTTGATCTAACCAGAGTAGAACAGTAAGCCATCTTGATGCTCCTCTTTCCTTGTTTTCCTTCCCTCAAGTATTCCTTCTTAGTAACTTGTGGCTTTAACAGCAGCGTATTGCCACACGCTCCAGAGATTGTGGGACAGTCTTTATCTAACCACTCATGTCCGGGATGTCTGCTATCTACAACTGGAATTCTGTCTTATTGTACAAATTGCTGTACTGCGTTGTGACTTAACATGCATAGCCAGACATCATGGCTGAACATTTATCTGGCCAAACAGAAATGAATTCTTGACTACTCCGGCACAGGTTCACAATGAATTTGTTCACCTTCTTCTGTTGATGTTGTCTACATTAACCTAGTGCCCCTGACCGTCTGAAACCGCCACCAATTGCTGTAGAGCTAAGCCCAGTGATGTTAGCATACACCAGGTAACTGACAGTCCCAGTTAGGGAGTGGTCCAGAATAGATTTATGAACTAGACTTGTCAAAATTATCACTAGCTACAGAGCCATGCCTTATATCACTCTAATTATTGATAGCACATGTGAAAATATTACCATGGAAATATCAGGGGCAAAAAACAGCTAATGAGAAGTAAGCTGTATCATACATGAAGAGCTGACTGAAATTCCTTCTAGCTTAGCATTATTTTTAAGTGCCTCTTTATATGATGCAGTCATCATTAGACATCAAATTAGCACAAACAACTCTTTCAGGAACAGTTACGTGAAGCTTACCTGAAATACAAACATGTGTCTGCCTGCAGGAACGGGTCCTACTAAAACGGAGTCTAACACTTGGTCATACTCTTCACTTTCAGCTGAACCCACGTAAATTATTTTCCATTCCAAGTCTGCAGTAAAACAAAAATAAAAAAAAAACACAATTGTTTATCATTACAGTTAAGCATCTTCCACTCTTGACTGCACAGAGTTTTACTTAACCTAAAATTGCTTCTTTGGCAACTAGCATAAAGGGACAGGGACCAACCTTCACTTGGGAAATTTATTGATGCTCACCCCAGTCCTCATGATCTGGATCATCCCACTGTCTTCCTCTATTCAGTCTCTACTGCAGGATTCCCTCTATTTTCATAGCCAGGTTTATTTACAAATTTCATACAGAGGACAGGGCCCATTTACTTGTTGGGAGCAGCGTTCAGAATGTCCTTGGCCTGTCCCCAGAGGCATACAGGTTGGGACAATGCCTATACAACCCTATACAGCAGGGCACACCTTGAGTATTGAATCAGCTCCCCCTCAGAAGTTCCCCCCTTCCACAAATATACTTCACAGCTGTTACACCAATCACATAAAGCAGTTAATTGAATAATGAAATCCATTGAGTAAGCACCAGCCACACTAACTTTGTGCCTCCATTCCTCCACGTGTGCAAGCTGTGTAACCTGAGAAGTATATAAAATCATAATAGCATGACTTGATCTAATTCGCACTGATGATATTGGTGTTTGAATTTTATCCTGGAATAGAATCCCAGGTAGGAGAATCAAACAACCACAAACCCATGTGCAAAATGTAGCATTTCACTTCTTAAAACAACCCGCCAAAATCAAACATTTCTTACAACTGATACGTATTTTTTCTAATGCACCCTGGTCACCACAGGTGCTTGAAAGATGAAGCTGCAAATTAGCATTCATTACTTCTTCCTGGGCCAGCTTTTCACTTTAATTTCTTGATTTAAAAACATATGCGTAACCACACCTGTATAAAACTAACCTGAGAATAGAGATTATTATTTTTAAACAAGAGGAAAAGAAAAGAAGGTTGTCATTATGGAATACTGTAACTGAAGTTATTGTTTGTTTTTTTTTGTAAGGAATCTGTTGCTTAAAACAGTGCCTTAAAATGGATATATTTCTTTTTTCTCCTTACGAGCAATGCCCTGATTGTGTATGCAAAAGCACTATCCTGTATACAAATGCATTTATGTTTTCAGTATTCTTAGCAAAACTTGAAGGTCTACATTATGGTTTCTTGATGCAGGACTAGAACTTAAGCAGAGGAAGAACTAGCGCGTTAACAAAACTTGGCTGCTTTAGGATTGCAGTTGTTTTTCCTCAATAATGAGATCTTACCATGTTCAACATGCAGGTTTTGGGGTTCTAAGTAGCATACATTAACAGGGCCCAGGAAGTGGTTTTATTCCTTGTACAGCACAGCACGACTGGCCAGGTGCTGTATCAGAGGTGTTATTTACCTTGTAGGCACCTTATGCTAGCTCCTGTGGGCACTGCAGGCTGCTTGTCCGGGCCAGTTAGTGACCGCTTTTGTCGTACCTGGTGCCTTGGACAGGTATAAGAACTGAAGACTTAAACTTAAAGGGGGTGGGGGGGCTAAACTGAGGAAACTGAAGCCGGGTGGTACGCAGGGCTGGCTGAAACAGCACAGCAGCCTACCAGCACGGGAAGGCTAAGGCAGCGGCAGCAGCTTTTAAAAACAAGATTAAACTAGATTTAAACGCGAGGGCCAGGCCCTGCTAAGGGCACCGTGCGGCACCGGAGGGCCCTGGCGGTGTGGCTTCACGAAGCCGCTGCCGGCAGGAGGGCGGCAGCACCGCCCCCCCCGTGCCGCCCGCTCCCTGCAGCCGCGGCCGGGCCTCGCCCCGCGCCCGCCGCCGTTCGAAACTCCCGCCCGGGGGGCGCCGCGCGGCCTCTCGGGGCGGCGGGGCCGGGTCCGGGCCCTGCCGCCGGGCGGCGCTGCCGGGCCCCCGCCAGCCCGGCCCCAGCGGGGGAGCCCCCTCGGGGGTCAGCGGCAACTTCGGAGCCGCTCCCAGCAGCGCGGGGAGCCCCCCCCAAGCCCGCACCCAGCGCCAGGCCCCCGCCGCCCGCCCGCCTTCCCCCCCCACCCCCCCCGCTCCCCGCTCCGGCACACAAAGCTGGCAACATGGCTCCCTCCCCTCACAACTTCCTCGCAACTTGCAGCCGGCCTCAGGCGGCCCCGGCGCGGCGCGCAGGGCCGGGCTCAGCCCGAAACTTCCCCCAGCGGGCCCGGCCGCGGCCGGCTGCGAAGCGCAGCCCCCCCCACACCCCCTCCCCGCCCCGGTGGGGGGCGCGGGGCCTGGGCGAAGTTGAAGCCTGGGCTGGCGGGCCGGGGGGGGGGGGGGCCGCGCTCACCTTCCGACAGGTCCTCGATGCACTCGAACGTGATCTCGAACTGGAACGGGTTGTAGAAGGGAGAGGGGTTGTCCAGCACCACTACATTGTTCACCTGAACCTTGGCCATATTTCAGGAGAAAAAAAAAATAAAAAAAAAACACACAACAAAAACAACCCGCGAACAATAGGCAGAGCGCCTCGGCGCCGCGCCGCCAAGTCCAGCAGCGCCTCGGGGGCTCCGCCGCGCGGCCGGCCCGGCGCCCCCCCCTGCCCGAGGCTGCGGAGCCGCGACTTGAGCAAACTTTTCCGGCCGCCCCCCGGCTCCGCGCCTTTATTTACACCGGCGGCGCTGGGCGCCCTGCGCGGCGGGCTCCCCGCTGCAGCCCATTCTGCCCTGCTCGCCGCCAGCGCCCGCCCCGATTGGCCGCCCGCCGGCCCAGGGCCCTCCTTCCCCTCCTTCCCCGCTCCCTCCTCCAAGATGGGCTCCGCTCCCCGCCGCTCCCCGCCCCGCCGCGCCCCCGCCCGGCCACCGGCCGCAAACGCCCCGCGCCCGGGCGGGGCCGCCCCCGGCACGGCCGAGCCGGGCGGAGCCGAGCCCGGCCCCGCCGAGCCCCCGCCCGCCCGGCTCAGCGGCACCCGCCATGTGGCGGCGTGCCCCCGGCCGCATTTCCCCTCCAGGGCTTCACCCCATGCGCTGGGCTCGGTGGTCCCCCAGCCTTCCAGGCGCTGCTGTCCCAGGGTCTCCGCCGTGGGGCTCGCCCGCCAGCAGCGCGGCGCTGTGGCTTCATGGCTGGGTTCATTCCGGGTGCCCCCCGGGCTGAGGGGGCTGCCCCACCGCCTGCTGCTGGCCCCCGCCGAGGTGCCCGGGCTGCCGCGGAGCCCCCCCGTGCCCAGCCCGGTGTGGAGGGGCGAGGCGGGCCGCGATGCTCGCCCCCGAGCCGCAGGAGGCCCGCGGAGGAGCCATCTTGTGGCGGCGTGCCCAGGGGATGGCAGAGGCGACATGGCACCGGGCTGCCTCCGGGGCGGGGAGCCGGCGCTGCCCCAAGCTGGGGGGATATTGTAGGGATGGGGGGGTGGTAGGTGTGTTTTCCTCACCCGAAGAGGAGATTCTGTGTGGAAATAAAAATATCAGACTCTGTGCATGTCTGCGGGGAGCCCTTGAGTGTGGTGGAATAGGCGCAGCAGGAGGGGCTGAAGGAGACATCTGCCTGCCTGGGAGCGCAGAGCCTCGCGGGCAGAGCGAGAGCGGTGCTGAGGCACAGAGACCTTGGCCTCCAGCAACTCCCCAGGCCAACCCCAGGTTTGGAAAGGAGCTGACACCTTTGTGTTCACAAACAGGTGTATTTGCAGGGAAATGTCATCACACTTGCCTGGTCTGTTGCTCACTGTACATTTTTATAACATTCTCTACACAACACAAGGCTATGCTGGACAGTGGAAGAGATCCCCCACACCAAGCTAAAATGCGTGTTATCAGGAAACACATTTCCAGTAACTCTTGGCTGACTGTTTGGGAGCAAACACCGGCTGTGGTGATCTGCATGGAGATGAGAAAGCAGCAGCGCTTGCCTCTGGGCTGCCCGGGCCAGGGGAGGTTTTGGGTGGTGGGATCCTTCCCTGGGCAAGTTCTGCTGTAGCATTCCGGGAAATTTTAGGCTGGTCGCAGCTTGTCAACTGCTAGGATATTTTGAGCCGAGCACTGTGGAGTGAAAAAGAAGGGCTAAAGATAGAGAAAAGGCTGGGGAAGAGGGAACAGAAAGATTGAGAAGAGCTGCACGGCCTTGATAAAAAGTGGCCGTTCTCACAGCTGCGAGATGTTCCTGACCTGCCGTGCTCCTGCTGCTGTGTCACATGGAGATTTGCTAATGCCTGCTGGGAACTTTTTTTTTTTTTTTTTAAATTTCATTTTTTTACTTTTTTAATCTCATTTTAGCTTAGTGTGAAATCTCAAAAAGAAAAAAAAGGATATTTTGAAATACTTTTTTTCACCAGCTTTGTTTTGCGGCTCCCGAATGTTTGTTTATTTTGACGGCTGATGGGGAAGGACATGTCTATTCTGTAATTTAGCAGTCTCCACATTTGCCCACTTTTCAATTTGATTTAGCAGATTTGGTTTTTGTTCCCTAATCACTTTTGTTCATTTATCGATGCCCTAAAAGAAGTAATTACTAAATTTGGAAGGCTTAACAGAATCTGCTCCGCAGACCCAGGCTCGCTTGCCTAACACTAGTGGGATTTCTTACCAGTAGGTGTGAAGCGAGATGCATGGTAGAGGTATGTGGTGGAGCTAACCTGCTGTTTTGCCTTCTGCCTGTGGCACGAGCCAGTGTGCCGAGTCCCGTTCTTTCACTCCGGCGCACTCCTGCAGTTTAAGGGAAAGACTGACCGGAGCAATTGATTCTTCAGGTTTGACAGTGACTGCTGTGAAGGACTGTGGGGAGTGGAACTTGGAAGCTGGTGCGCTGGTGCTTGCAGATAGCGGCCTGTGTTGCATTGATGAGTTCAACAGTATCAAAGAGCATGACAGAACCAGTATCCATGAAGCAATGGAGCAACAAACCATCAGCGTAGCAAAGGCAGGGTAAGTGGCATGTTAAGGCGTGTGACAAAATAACATGCTTCTCTTGCACTTACAGGTTGGTGGGAGGTTTGTCATGCTGACTAAAAATAGCTGTTTTCTTTGTTGTACTGCATAGTTTTGTTCTCAATGGTATTTGTAGACTAGGTGAGCCAGCGTTTCAAAGGGCAGTGCAATGGACCTGAGGTTGCAAGCAACCAGAATGAAGCCATGCTCACTGCTGGGTTTTCAGTCTGCCACTGCCCTTAGGCAAGGGTACTTTCCTAAGAATTGTAGAATCATTAAGGTTGGAAAAGCTCTCCAAGATCATCTGGTCCAACCACCCCCGTACCACCAATGTCACCCACTAAACCATGTCCCTAAGCACAACGTCCAACCTTTCCTTGAACACCCGCAGGGACGATGACTCCACCACCGCCCTGGGCAACCCGTTCCAATGCCTGACCACTCTTTCCAAAAAGAAAAGTCTCCTCATTTCCAACCTGAACCTCCTCTTTGTGTTCTTTTTTTTTTTTTTTTGTCACGTGGTGAGAGCCACCATAATAATTGTATGTGAAATGAGGAATTTCACAAGGAACTCAGAAAGCAGGACTTTGTTTCTCCAAATTCCAGTAATACCGGACAGTAACAAAATAAGACCAAATAATTTCTAGGCTACCCAGTCTTATATGTTGGGTGTGACGTGACCATAAATTCCTGCTTACTTTCACGTCCTCATTTTTTTTCTATACTAGAACGTACTCAAATCTCTTATTTTTTTTTTCCCCTGCCAGTTTGATCTCTGAGCTCTAACGTCACTCTCTCAGCCACATGCAGCTCTCGTCCAGGCCCAAATCATATCCTGACTGGTATTACCAAAGTCTCTGCTACCCAAAAGGCATCATCCTTTCCACATTCTTCCTTGTCACCTTCCACTCTGCTCTTGCTCCCATCACATCCTCTTCCTCTCAGTTACGGAACAACTTTGGACGCGAGGCAGCAGTTACTCTGGAGCTGACTAGAAATAGCTTGGTGACAAACCAAAGTTAGAATACTGCTGCTGCCTTAACTGAAGCGATTGCGTTTGGACTACTAGAATAAAAATAATCTCCCCACATCTAAAAACACACACCAGGATAGCATAATTAAGAGGGAAAAATGTCAATTTCCTTGAGAAACAGATGATATGGCTGCCATCATTGGATGGTTGGGCTAATATCTGCAAGATGACTCTACACAGGAGTAAAACATACCCGTATGTTACATTTCATTTTACTTTCTGAAAATGTGAATTAAGCTAAAATGTTACTTTTCATCGTGAAAAAAATCTATTTATACTGTATGAATCAGCAAAGTAGCATTTGTTTCTGAAAAGCTAGATTAGTTTTATTCAGCTAAGGATGTACCTGAATATAGAGATTACTTGTGGGAATATTACCTAGCTACTTTTGGTGTCCCAAGTACTGTCTTCCTGTCTAGTTGCTATTCTCTGACTGAGAAATGCTTGATATATAATATCTATTAATAAAATGCGTATAATTTAGCTCGTATGCTCTTTAAATGTAAGATGTACTCTTTATAACATAAAACCATGATAATTGTTGTTAACACTTTGGAGTCATTTCCTCGATCCAGCTCAATTCAGCTGTAATGTTCATCATATTTTTCTCTAGCTTGGTATGCAAGCTTAATACAAGGACAACAATACTGGCAGCAACAAACCCCAAAGGTCATTATGACCCTAACGAGTCTGTCTCCGTCAACATAGCTCTTGGCAGTCCCCTGCTGAGCAGATTTGACCTGGTCTTAGTATTGTTAGATACAAAGAATGAGGAGTGGGACCGCATCATTTCATCTTTCATCTTGCAAAATAAAGGTATGAGTTTGTTGGTTTTTTTTTCCAATTTCCCCACCTTTCCATTTAGTTAGTTATTTTTCAGCCTTTCACACTAATCAGCATTTGCATGTTTACTGTGATAGTTGCCTGTGTCATGGTTGTCTTTTTAGCAGGAAAAAGATAGAGATCATTGGTTAATTAATAGGGGAGAGCTGTGAACACCATACCTTTACCTTTACTCTATGATCGTTTGCAAGAGATTTCGGCCCGGACTGCTTCGGCTTCCATGCTTGCATTACTCAATGCACAGATCCTACACGCAGTACCATTACATGCTGTCAATGAGAAGCTTAATTCAGACAGAACAAATTTGAGCTGTGTATGCTGCAGGGCCTGGAGAGCGCGTATTAGCGCTCTGCATGTGGAGCTGTGCGCTCTGGAATTAGGGAAGGCAGAGTGATTTGATTTTAACCTGCTTTAGGAACACGACTTTGATCCCCATTAGAGAAGTGGTTAGAGGAGACTTCTTCAGCTAACTTCCTTACTTTTCTTTCCTTCCCAAAATGCTTCCCTGTAAAAAAAAAATAAATGTTCACAATATGGCAGGTAGCCTTTGGCTTGTATAGAGTAGATAAAGACAGCCAGAGGAAGTGCATACGTTCGAGTGGCGTTTTATACTTTACACAGTATGAGAGCACTTGGTAATGGCTGTACCATCTGGTGGGCAGCGAGTCTGACAGCTCCTCTGTTCAAACTGCTGGAGGCTTTGCTGTGGATTTTGCTAGGGGAGGGACTGGATGTCATGTAACATTCCACACTGGAATTTGACCAAGTCTCTGAGGACTCATGTGCAGACACTCCAGTATGTCCCGGAAATACGGTGGGAGGTATTTTACGTTCACCCATCTACTTAACAGGAATTCTTCAGAAAAAGCTTGATGTCTGTTGTTATAAAATTACTGACTAGGCAGTTGTTGCGCAGGTTGCCCTAGCAAATCAGAAAAGCTGTGGAGCATGGAAAAGATGAAAACCTACTTCTGCCTTATAAAAAGTATACAGCCCAAACTGTCTGATGAGAGCAACCTGATCCTTGTACGCTATTACCAAATGCAGCGTCAGAGTGACTGCCGAAATGCTGCCCGAACTACCATTCGCTTATTGGAGAGTTTGATACGCCTTGCGGAAGGTAAGGCCGGGACAACTTTATTTTTAGGCTAACAATTAACCTTTATGAAATGAGTAGATCAGGGGTATAATTATAACCAGTAAGCAGAGTAGCGTTTTCTCCATAGAGGTATGGATAGATGAACCTTGCATTGTTTGATCTTCATAATCTAAATAGACTTGAGGTTGGAGATTTGAATGTGGGAAAGTGTGTTATGTTTAGATGATCAAAACCGGTTTTAATTTTGCCATTCTCACATTCATAATAAAAACTAAAGCCACTGGAAGAAATTACATTTGAGGAAAAAATTTCAGAAGTTACGTGCCTTTATGAAAAGCAAATCCCTGGATTCATTTTACTTTATTTGAGTCCTGGGTTGCCACTCCACGCAGCCTGAGGAAAGGTGTCAAGTATTTTGTTCTATCCTAAATTTAATATAACATAAAATACAACACATTTTTGTTCAAGTCTCTATCTCACAATAGGGACTGCAACATCTCCAACTCTAAACTCAAATCATATTTGACTTGAACAAAATCAAAGGAATTAGTAGGTCTCTCTCTTAATATGATTGTGTTTTCTAAAATGGCATATCAAGTATTTTCAGGATGAATTTAAAATAAAATCTTTTTTTTTTTTCTTTTTTTTCCCCCTTTTTTATGCCAATCAGTAAGATAGTGCTTTCTGCATCAGATGTTTATATTTTGGTCTCCATTTGGGGGGGAAAATTATTTAGGTGAAAGACATTATTAGCCTTTAGGGATTCACATGTTATTTATATGTTCAAGGTTTCTTCCATTCTTGTCTGTCACGTGGTTGGGTCTTCCAGTAGCACTTTGTTCTTCCAAACTATTACATAGATGGTATTAATTAAATTGCCTTTATTTTGCGGAGTAAGAACCATGTTTGCACAGCCAACTCTTCATGCAGTAAATTATTTGCATTACAACCATTTACAAAAAAACAGTTTTATTGTCTTAAGAAATGGAAGCAAGAAAAAATAAACTATTGTAGAGAAAAATATGTTCTAGGCCACTTAGAAGAAATCAAATCTTTTCTGACCTATGATGAAAGTTATGCTTAATTTTTCACTTTTTGATGATGACATCTACCTATATAGATAGGGATGTTTTACATCACACTCTCCATGATGTCCAGCACGTTACATTTTTTAACTCTAGCATTTTGTGTATCTTTATTCAAACTGTCATAGTAACTATACTCCAGAAGTCGCATTCTTTACTAGTAAAATTAAACCTTCCAGTCCCTCTTGAAATTGACACGAAAATCAAAAGGATTATATTGACGTTTGAGTTAGACCCATATACAAGCTTTTGAAGAGCTAAAAAAAATTGAAGAAATATCATCTCCCTTGTAGTAAAAACCAAACCAAACAAAACAAAGTAACCTTTTTGACCGTATTTGCACTTGCACTTACTTTCAGTGCCCACCTGTTTTTTTCTAGCTCATGCCCGGTTGATGTTTAGGGATACTGTGACTTTGGAAGATGCTGTGACGGTGGTATCGGTGATGGAATCTTCTATGCAGGTACGGTTTCTTGCAGACATTGCTGCAATAAGGGATTTATCATGTTGGTATGTTGCCAACTCCCTTCATCTCTTTGGGGAAGAGTTCACGCAATCATGGAAAGTAGGTAATCAGCGACTTCGACAAGTAATTTTTAGTCCATCTTGATAATTAAAATACTTAAAAGCAGGTTATAATGAAAAGTCTGGATTGATCATAAAGGAATAACATCTTTTTTTTAATAGACTCTGCAGTCTAAGTGGAGTTTTGTATACTCTTAGCTCTTAATAATCTACATTTTAAAGACCTTTTGAGCCAGCAGTTGTGTTTATATCACTGTGTTTAATAACTTCTGACATTTTTTTCTTTTATGATGTTACCTTTTCACCCATTAACTAGGTACGAGAGGACCAAACAATTTTTATTTTTTCTGAGAAAGTTTCAAATAGTTGCCAAGAGCAATACTTTATTTTGCCATTAGATGATTTTAAAACATGCTCTTGGTGATACTGAAACTCACAGAACTTTTAGGAGACTAATTTTACTCTGGAAGCCTTAAAAACTTAGTTGCTGTATGCTGAAAACTGTGTATACCAATTATCACACAGATTTGTGTAATGTTTCCATGTAAAAAAAAAAAAAAAACAAACCATTAAAAAAAGTCTGAAGGCTAGATTTTTGTTTACTGTAGCGTCATTAGGTTATTGAAAATAAGGAAAAGCAGCACATTTATAACAAGAAAAGGAATATGAATCTGGTAGAGGCTTTTTTAAATGGAAATGTGGAAAATAATGTAGATGACTATTACCTTAGATGGAATATTTTTAAGAGAAATAAATCTTAATGCTTTGAAATAGAAAATAAAAATTACCATAAGCAGATTATCCAAAGTTTTGCATGTTGAGGTTCTTAACACTTCTGAATTACTTGGTTTTGGCTCTGTCTGAGATAGGGTACTCTACTGCACAGATGACTGGGCTGATCCAAAGTGTCACATCCTATGTTTCTGTATGGTTTGATATGAATATATTCAGGTTAAAGCAATTTTATATGGTACCCACTAGCTCGAAGTAGCAGGTAGGCACTTGTGATCTACCTTGTTCTTTCAGTGGAAGTTGAGAGACTAATTGCAGTCAGTGCCACAAATAATCTACTGCACAGTGTTGCCTGTGGAATTTGTCTCAAAAATACTACAGGGTCTGACCTTATTAAGTAGAAGAAGATTATTTCGCTGTCTGCTGCAATTCATTTTGCACTATTTTGAAGAGCTCAGCTTTTCAGTGACAGCACTGCATCTAAGTTAACATAAGAAGCTCTAACACCACATCCCATTGAAACAGCAGAAGATACTACATAAGTGTTCATTAACTGTAATTAAAACTGTAATTACCTAGAGTGAAATTTGATGGGACACCATTTCAAAGCAGTATGGTTTTGGGACATAAGAAACCTGAAATACTCAGATATTTTTTTCATAACAGGTCAAAAAGTGGAGACTGATGAATATATATTGTCATCTGTGTATCACTACATCATCAGCAATAAATGTAAAAGAATTGTTTTACTATGGGTCACTTTCTCATATTTATTCAGCCCTCAAGGGATGCAGTGTTCATAACAATCATCTGTCTAATCAGTGTCAGTGAGAAATGTGCCTGTGTTATGACTGTAGAAGACTACCTGGGAGCAGTTGATATGCTTATCATATTTGCTCTATTGTTCACTTTTTATGAGGGAATAGGTCAATGTGTTAATTTTTTCTAAGAATCTGCAAACTTGAGATCTGCTATTTAAGGCCAAATTTCGCTTTTGACCTGGAAAGTACAAAAGAATCGCTGAAATTCTTTTTGAAAGCAGTAACATATGTTTTATTAAAAAAAAATAATAGAAGCAACATGGAAAGTTTATTTTCAGAAAGTGTTTCCTTCTCTAGAAGAAAATTGTTTTTATCTATAGATTACATTGTGTGTTTCCTGCCTAATTGTAGAATGCGTTGGAAATGAGGGAGAATCAGTGTTATTCTTGAAGGACTGGCTGCTACCTTTCAGCTTAGCAAACACTGTTTTAAATGCTGTCTTTCCAAACTAGGTTCTACCAAAAAAAAATTGTCATATTCTTGCCAGCGTAAAATCAAAGTTCACAGTTCTCAGGCCAGTATTCAGATACTTTACGTGATCCCTCTTGGGAAGGAGAGCTACCCATTTTTGTCACTGACATCGTTCATTGATTTTTGTTTGTTTGTTTGTTCTGTACTCTAATTCACCCTTATTTTTCTCAGGGAGAAAAAGGTCAGGGAGAGCAGGACATAATTGTATCCCATGGGCATATGCCTTGAGATACATGTTCCTTATTTCTTATATCAACAGTTAACGATACACCAAAAGCAGCTACCCCTTGTCAATGTTTGCATCAGTGTTTTATTATTTACTGTTCAAGTGCTGTTCTAAATATAGAATTCTCCATTTCTTCATGTACTTTTCTGTGGAATTCATTTCCGATCTATTTTAGTATTTCAGAAATATTAATTTATTTATCTTCATGCAGTCATTGTGAAGTGACAGGCTGGTACTACTCCTGTTCTATGACCTGGAGCTGGCATATGCAAGATCCTGAAGACATTATCCGCTGGAACACGTCCCATGAGAAATGGTTAGGGCCTCGGTTTCAGAGCAGGACAACTTTGAGTGTTTGAGCACATTCCCTGTTGATAGCAGTTTCCTTCTGTGAACACACGACATCAGGCTCCCAGTTATGAGTTTATTGCCTTTCAGAACCTTTGCTTAACTGGCTCCATCAAAATCACAAGAACTGGAACTTTGCATAGAGGTAGATTCCAGTTTTCCACGGCAGCTTTTAGCTGTCCTAACCAAGAGACCAGGCTTTACTTTCTACAGTCCCTGCCTCATTAACTATGCACTTCCCAGTGTTTGAAACAAATAAAGAAAAAATCACAATTAAAAAAAATAACAAATCTTGAAACAAATAAGGGTCCTACAAGAACCTTCTCCATTACTACTGATCAGTGCTTCTATGTGGAACAGATTTGTCACGTTTCTGAGTCATCAGTGATAAATAAGACAAGTGATAACTTAAATGGGATGTGTTAGTGGTTGCCCAGCCAGCCGTTGTTATAGCACTGTGTGGTTTTGGAGGGCTTGAATTAGCCACCTGAATGATGTTCTTCCCATTTGATTATTTGTAACGTGAAATTTTAAAATGACAAAATGGAAAATTCTGTGATATTCTGTGAAAAAACAGAAAAATGCCACCATACGGCATCACATGGACTGCATGCTTTTGATGGGAACAGCCTCTAGACTCAAGAGTCTCTATGTGTCTATAAGAGTCTCTATAGATAGAGTCTCTAGGCAATTTCTGGTTCTAGAGGCTGTCAACTTTTGCTTTTGCTCTTGTGGTGCTTGATAAGCATATCATTCATTAGTTGTATTGAGCTTTATAGATTAGATAGGAGTTGTAAATGACAGCTAATCTGTGGCAAAATAGTGGGTTGTTATGGTTTGGTGTGGTTTGGTTTTAAAGAGTTGTAATGGAATATTTGGTGTGGAACAAGTCAGCTCATGTAGATATTCTGTTCCAAATAGACACTACTTCATTTCTTAAAAAGCACGTCTAAATTGTTCCAGATTAAAAACACTTTTTTTCTGGAATCACTCCTGAATCGTCAGTTACCCTTAAAGATCTATTCGGAAAAATTTTGGAGTTTGATTTCTGCCATGTTGACCAGCCTTAATACCCATATCTTTCCTTTTAAATAAGTAGGAAAAGCTAATAATAATTAAAAAAAAAAAAAAAGCAGTCAAAATATCTTCTATTATAATAGAAGATGTAATATCATGGGTAGAATTTTTACAAGGCATTTGGAAGACTACTTTTTATTCCTAATGTCCATTTTTAATAATGATGTTCTCAAGCCTTAGACTTTCTACTTTTGTATAAATCAAATAAAATCAACACCCAGTAAGAGTAAGTGGCAGGGTTGATCATAAAATAGCTCTATGTGTGTAAGCAGCCTTGCCTGTGTGAGCAGACCTAACAGGATTACTTGTGCAAATGGAGTTACTCAGTAAATATTTGTTAACTGAAGCTTTAAAATATCAGAGGGAGTACTTTGTATTAAATGCTCTCTACTGCTTAAATCTGATACTGAATAAAAAAGATAATTTCTTTTTTTTTTTTTTTTTTTAATCTCTTCTGGTGATCCAGGGGGGTGCACTTCTTGGAGCCATCAATGCCTTGCACACCTCCTTCCCAGAGAATCCAATGGCGCAGTACCGAGCACAGTGTGAACTCATCCTGGAGCGGCTGGAGCTGCAGGATCTTCTGCACAAGGAGCTGCAAAGACTTGACAGGTTAGAATATGCAGAGTAACAAAATAATTCAAAAGAGAAAAAGAATTGTTTGACAATAATACCTGGAGAGTGTCTAAAAAGAGAATCTTACATTGGGAAAGGAGTTGTTCTTTAGAGGACACAACACAAATAAGCAAGGAGATTGGTTTAAAGGAGTACTCAGAGATCATCACAGATAATTTCTCTCTGGGTTATGGAATGTACAAAGAGTTTAACAGTTTAATCAGATCCCAACATATATCTCAAATTTATACTCAGGTATATTTCAGCTGAACTTATTAGGGCAAAAATGCAAGATTTTGTAGCTGAACAAATAATTTTATTTAACTTTGTGTTATTTCCTTCATAAAATACAGCAGGTTTGCTTCATATTTTTAAGCCTTCCTTTGTGTTGGGCTTGTCACAATTCTTGCCTTTCTTTTAATGGAAAATGCAATCCTGACTCAAAGTTCTGTTCTTTTGGGTGATTTTTGTTTTTACACACTGGAATTCTCACTATCTTTTCTCCAATTTTCAGCTCACTACAATAATATGTGGAAGTCTATTTGCTGTTATTAATAGAAAACTTCTAACTTCCTGTGGCTGAGAGGAGAACACTAGGATTGGCAGGAAATGAAATGCAAACAACAAACAAACAAACAAAACACCACATTTGTTTCCTGAAATGAGATCAGGCTTTAAAGAAACTTGTACTGTCCTATTGTTAAAGGAAGATAAAAGATTAATGTTATTGAAGCTAAAGGAATAAGAACAGCTGGGAAAATACACTTTTTCCTTCAAGCATTTTTGTTTTGCAATTTATAGTAAGGACATCCTAAATAAGCACTAAAGCAATAAAAGTAGATTAAAGTGGGGTATCTCCAACAGGCAGGCAAAAACTACTTTTAGAAAACAGAAGTATTCACAAAGGATGATAGAAATACAGTGTGGGGTGGGAGATCAAACACAAAAACGGGATCAGGTCTGTGTGGCCTTCCTGGCAGGAGCTTGTGCTATCTGCTCCTAAGGCCCCCCAGTGAAAGGGATTTCCCATTGCCATTGGGTAGCCTGTCCCATTGTTGCTCCATCCTAGTACTCATAAAGGTTTCCTCCACATCCCACTGAATCCCCTGTGCTGCAAATTGAGCTGATTTCTTCTCCCCTTGTAAACAGCTGAGAGAACACTTAATGAATGTCCTCTTTAAATACCAAATGAATGTCCTCTTCTGTGTAAGAAGACTTGTCTCATGCATTCCCCTTAGACTGCATTTTGATAAAACAAGCATTCATCTTGCAGCCTATCTTGATGAATCAGATCATTTCTGTTACTCTCCATGAAAATTTTGTGTGTTCTATCAGAATAAGATTATTAGTAAATAATGATAAAGAAGGCTTTAAAAGATATGTGTCAACATAGCATGCTCTCTCATATAGTAGAGGAACAGTTTGTAACGCATAGGAATCATTGCAGCTACATTGATGCAGTTACTCATGGTTACAGTCACTATTTAGCAAACACAGAAGCCTGCTGTCTCCCTTGGAGATTGTATGGTTAGGTATGTTAGAATATCAGCTATGCTGAAATTGGAGGGAACCCTCCTTCTAGTACCTCTGTTGTGTTGGAGAACCCTGAGAATACAGCTGCAGACAGTGATAATTCAGCTTTTAAGGTGATCTGAGATGCTTTCGGTCTATCCCAGAGTTTTTAACACGTTGGTTCCATAGTGATTGTGAGAAAAAGCCACGAGCAACCACTACTCAAAGTAACACCTGGGTTTTCCACTCTGGTAACTCATTTGAGGCTTTGCCTTTCTCAGGGTAAAATCTGGTTGAGGTTCTTCTTCTAGAAGATGTGCTTACAGAATTTGTAATCCATAAGGAACTCTAGCAATGGCAATTTGTTGTGCAGACCTGTATTGATTTAGTGTTATTTCTCAAGGAAATTAAGTTTATGTAGTTGCTTTCTCTGTCCATCTGCTTATCATCTGTTGGGGACACTAAATTCTGTCACTTAATGTAGAAGTTGCTGAGATCAAAATGCAACACCAGCTTCTGAAGCTATATGTAGAACTTAATATTTCAGTTACTTGACCCAAATCCTTTGTAGTTCTTCATCATTCGTACATACTAAGCATCATTAAGGCAAAAAAATAAAATAATAAAAAAAAATAATAACTGACTACTTCTTCATCTTTTTCATTCCATAGATTACAAAAAGAAAACTCTTCCCAGGTGCAACCTGAAGAAACAAGTTTTGGTACTCCTACAGGATGCTTGGACAAGGATACATTTGAGTCAAAGCAAATGTCTCAGTCAGAGCCTTCAAATCAACAAATGAGTAACTCCAAGCCACAGCCCTCTTTACCCAAAGGCAATGGTGAAGGGGAAATACATCTAGAACCCTTAGGCAACCCAGCACCTGATAATAACAAAGGTACAAACCACTTGATGAAACACAGTAAAAGAGCTGATGGCAGCCTGGCATGGTTCGACAGCCTGGAAGACAGCAACACTGATGCTGAAGAAACTTTTCAGAAAAAGTCTCCACTACCCAAGATAATCCCAGATAAATTGTCTTCAAAAGCCTCGTGCAATACCTCCTGCTCAGAAGGAGGAGGTTCTTCAATCCTAAGGAAGGGAAATGGGGCGAGAGAATCACAATCAACTGTGAATCTACATGCTCATTTGGGACAGGACAAAGCTTCCAAGATAAGCAGGAAAAGGACCGAAGAACAGGAATGTTTTTCTTCAGGAGCAAATACTCAAGACCCAGCATCACCAAGTGCTGATGTGCAGGATTCAGTTATTACACAGCGGGTTTCTAAAAGGTGGCAGAGACTTCACACAGAGAGATCACACGGATTCTTCACAAGCACACAGGACCCTGAGGCAAAGGCCCTTCCCCCAGCGTTACCTGCATCTGGCCTGCTAGATCTTTCAAGTGATACAGACTCCGTGTTAGGGGAGGAAAAGAGCAGTGTATCTGCAGCAGCCAAAAATGCAACAATTTCCATAAGGAAACGAAGTAAAGATCAAGTAGAGAAGGAAGCAAAGGTAGTAAGCTCCCATGAGCCAGAAATCATTGACAGTGAAAGTCCTCCAGCAGCTAAACTAGCTAAATTCTCTTTCAGACCAAGGACAAAACTTGATCATTCTTCCGAGAAGAAAAATGCAGAATTTTCTCTTTTTCAGAGTGAAAATATTACTAAGCCTGGAGAGCAGCAGCCAGAAGAATGCTGCCCCCCTGAGAAACGCAAGATGACATTGAGCCGCTTAGGAAGAAAGAGTATGGAAAAGCGACCAGTCGATAATAAGGGGAATGAAGATCAGCAGAGTCAGGCCTTGGAGAAAGAGATCAGAGGAAATGCAGCGGTACGTCCTGATGTCAGCTTCAGTGCTGTGTTATCTCCACCCACTGAAAAAGGAAGGGAGGGAGGGGAAAAGCTTGGTGGCCCAAGCACAGAGAGGGTGTGCTCAGGCACGTTAGAAAAACTGTCCAGGTTCTGCTTTGCATCACGTCCTGACTCAAAATCAGAAACTCCACCTACTGTTAAGAATGATGCTAGCAACAAGGGAAGTCACAGCCCGTTGCTGCAGGTGCACGTGAGCAATCCGAGCAAAAGGAAGAGCTTTGCACTGGGAAATGCTGGTAAAGCACGTGTCGTCACCCAGAAATCCCTCTTCTCGATAGCAGAGCTAGATGATGCTGCATTAGATTTTGATTGGGATGAAGAGGTTAGGAAAAATCCAAGCTTGTAACGTGGATATCCTCCAAATTTCTTAAGGTGTGGCTGTTTTGACTCTCCATCCTTCTATCAATCATATCAGCAGCATCTGTAGTTTACAAAGCATTTAAAAATAATCATTCTGGACCTCTGTGGGTACCAATAAACACATGTCCTTTACGGGCTGCATACTTCACACCAGCTGAAGTCTGCATATACTGCAGGCCTGATGTTACTTTCGGTTTTTCTAAACTTCCCAAGACTGCTTATGTCAGTTGATCTTTCTGATTAACCTGAAGACTCACACGGTTATGTTCATGTAAACAGAGTACAGCAACACCTGCAGAGGAGCAGGTTTAATTGACTGTTGTCCTTTATTTTGTGTAACAATTGGAACTATGTATGTGATCCAGATTGTCCTTATAAATGACCATGCCACTTTAGAAAAATGATGATGCTGAAGCTATGCTATTATGTTTTGTTTATCTATCTATAAGGTTTGTTTTCAGTGCAGTAGCAATGTTGTAATTTCTCATCATGCTCTGGTGAGTATTCCCATATTATCAGTATCATGACAATTTTGCTACATGTCTGGTTACTGCACTCCTTGCCACACAGCTGATGTTGAAGACATGTATCTAGGGCTTTTTGTTTCTCATTTGTTTTTTTTCTTTTCTTTTTTTTTTTTAATTTTATTTCAGTTTTAAATACACTGGTTGAGATATCCGTGTCTGTATTCTGGCTCATTTTATCAAAACCCATCTCTGTAATAAACATACAGAAGAAATTTCAGGTGACTGGGAATCCTCAGTAACCAGGGTAACTTCAAGGCAGGCCTGAATCCCTGGCATAAAAGCTACACTGCAAACGTAACTGCACAGTGAGCAGCTACCCTAGTGTGGCTTGATTCTACCTCAGATAATGTTTAGTTGACTATTTTAATTATGATTAGTGTCTTACTACATCTGATACGCATTTCATTGTCGGTGGCATGCTGTGTCCTATGCCATTCATTTGTCTAATGGGAAATTAATCTCTTAACGCATTACATGCTTACAGAGAAAGGTAAGCCTTAGATTTCCTTCAGTGACTTGTCTGGTACGATTCTTTCATGCTTGAATTCTCTGCAGAATATTCTTGTTATTACCTGCAAGGTCAACAGGGAACGGAATGGTTGCTTATGGCACAGTAAATCCTTAGAGAGGCTTGCTGGCACAAAGAAGGTCTCATTCCCTCTTGATTTGTTTAAAATTAGAAGGAGCTCCCTGAAACCAGGTGAGTTAAAACATTGTAAAGTTTCTGGAAAGGAGGGGGTGATAAGGCCCAAGGTACTTCAGTGTGGTACAGGGAAGTCATGAGAACGGGAATTGTAGCAGTTGGCTTTCTGTTAAGAGCTCAGGAAAAGGACAGAGACGATATCCTGGAGCTATTAACATTAATGATGGCCTTACTTGAATTTTCAGAGGCCAGCTAAAGGTGCAGTTTTTCATCACCACTGCAGATGCATCAGGCCTTTGCATGGTGGTCTCATTTCCATGTGGTGGACATTAACAGCTGGCCAGTGCAAAGCCAGAACATAGCTACTGGATTGCAATAGTCAAGCACCACAAGTTTTATTTTTCAGTCATGCAAAACAATTAAAAAAAATAAAAAATTAATCCATTCATTCAGGTTTTATTCATCACTTTCCTATAAATCAGTAACTAGGACCTCATCTAGTGTACTTTGCTATGTAAAATTAGATGACCAGCTGCTCTCAAGAACTGCAAGATCTAAACACACTTCTAAACATACTTCTGTGGGAGGCTGGTTGACTTTCTTCTCTCTGTCCAGTGGAAATAAGAACTCTGGTGGAAAAAGAAAGTAGTCACAGTGGCACAAAACTGAGCTAAAAGTCAAGCTTAAAATTTTCTTATTCTCCATGCTTACGTTGTGTTCTTTATTTCCTTCTTGTCTCAAAGTCGTTGCACTGTATGGTCTGCCTGAGGGCCAGGGGAACTCCACAGTGCATGCGAGCAGCTGTGTTTCAGGGATGCTGAAATGCCTTGTGCTGCAGGCAGATACCTTCCACAGTCTTGTGAAGCCAGGGAACGCCCAGTTAGCAACAATTGTGAGAGCTGGGCATCCAGATCTCCTTGGTATCCCCAAATCTTTGCACAGATTGTTGCAATTGGTTAACCAGAAGATAAACCAGGTTTATTTTTCACAGATGACAAATGTTTTCTCTAATTCAGTGGGACTCAGCCTGGAATAGTGAGGTGGTGTACGTCAGTTTTTCCAGTCACTAATCACACTTGAGGTCCAGTTCAGCAGTCTGGCTGATAAAATGCTGCTAAATCCTTTTTTTTTTCATTAATCTTCTTTGAATTGGAAACTTCAGACTATGTCGTTTAAAGCACAATGAGCAGAGCCACGAACAGCTGGCAGCCTGCTGGCTAGATCCCCTAGGACAGGCTGGCAGATGTGCCTGGTGCCTGCTGGGCTCAGCCTGCTCAGCACGCTGCCAGGCTTCAGGAAACACCTTAGAGCAGTCCAGCCAAGCACGGTGTGTGCATGGAGGTGTTTGATTTTGGAGGGCACTAAATGTCTGAGCCCTTCAGCAGGCTTGCTGAAACTCCCTGCCAACAAGAGAGAGTGTGGCTAGAAAGGGCCTCTGATACTTACTAGAGGACAAAACCAGGAAGGATAAAGAAATTCCTTGGCATCTCAGCTCCTGCTTAACGTGGGCAAATTAGCCCACTTAAGTCAAGGTTTTTTTCACTAGTGGGTGCAAACTCCGTGCGTTCATTCTTTAATGGTGCCGTTTGTAAGGCCTGCCTTGCAGATGTCCTGAGTACTCACAGCTGAGGCTTAAATCAAGGAGAGGTGGGAGGTGGCATGTAACTGCAGTCCTGCTCCTCTGTCTTCAGCTCTCCCGTGTCCTTAGCTGTGAGATGGTCCCTTCAAGGAGTGGCAGTGAATGCTGGCACCTAAGGTGCTCTGTGTCAATGAGACAAAGCCGATGGCTGGGTTGCTGCCTACCATTGAGATAAGCTCCAGGTATCTAAATCCAAACACATGCTGCAGAATTGAGGCAAACTGAATCCTGTCATTCTTTGTAGTATGTTAATGGTCAACCATTTCTGAGGGATAATACTTTAAAGAGTAAATCAGTAAAAAGATTGTTGTCTCTTCAGGTTCCCCTCATTAGAAATAGTGTATTAGTTCATTAAATTGGACTGTGCTTCTTTCGTGAGCAGAGCTTTTGAGGTCCCTCAATATGATGTGAGAAACTGGGAAAGCAAGCCAAGAGGAATTAAGAAAGGAAAGTACAAATGCCAGTCGCTCTGTGGTCACCCTGCAACACCACTTTGGCAGCTCTGTTTTCCAGTCTGAAGCAAGGAGGAGGCACAGGGATGTTCCAGTCAGCTTGGAGAAAAGGCCACCTTTTCTATCATAGCAGGAAAAACACCCTGATGTCCATTCAAACTGTCTGCAAAGAGGACACCCTAGTGTCGGGTAAGTAAACAATGAATAAATTTGGAAGAGCAGGTACTGCTGAGATCTTTCTCTACCGGGCTGGCTGAAATACTACTGTTGTTTCTGAAATTCTGGTGCTGCTTCTGACTCATGGCATGAACTCTGAGCACTGAAGGTAAATGAGAAACACGTAGTAAGAAGAAAATGATACCTGCTGTGGATTTACGCTCTCCCTCACTGTTGCCATTGCTACAGAACATATTTATTGTTGCCTTGGCAGGGCACATTTCCAACTCCTTTCCCTTCCCTTTTTAAACCAAATTCCCCCACTATCGTATGTTTTAATGCTTTTGAGCTTACGATAGGCCTGTGATGGGAGGATTTAATCCTTTACAGCAGTGTCAGTCTGCTGGGCTGAACTAAAGATGAATTTCCTCTGAGCATGTTGTGCAGTCGGTGGGCAGATGAGTCACATCTCATCACCTGCCTTCCTGGAGAGGCACAGAGCCCTTATCTCCTTCACGTTTTAACACTTGCCTCTCTCGGTATATGATCCAAGCCTTTAAAAACACAACCAGTTGGTCTTCTCAGAGCAACTATGTACTGATACGTATTAAACCAATTATCAGTGTTGAATACACTGGTATCTTATTAAACAAAGCCTTACAAGTCATGGATTCCAGCAGCACATTGATCAGGTCCTTGCTTGTGAGCAGCATGAAGTGCTGGTGGTAGATACTCGGCGGCCAGACTCCGCTGCCTCAGCTGAAACCAGATTGCATCACGTTAGCACGGGGCAGGATCACGTTTTTACTGGCAGCTGTCCTGTAAATAGCGTTTTCCCGTGTGGCCCACGCAGACATACTGGCAAGTCAACAGGAGGAAAAAAAATGACAAGCTCAGCAATTTAATTGTATTTTTATATTATTTAATTCTACTTATGTGATGGAAAAAAAAGAAAAACAACTTGCTTCACTCTAGTTCTTGTAATCCTCCTGCATAGCACCAGTGCTGGGGAAGGCACTTCATTACCTGCACATGGGAACTCAGTGCCAGCTGAGGCAGGTGAAGGTGTACAAGATGTGGGCATGGCCTTGGCTAATACAAAACAGGACTCAGGTGGGACCCCGACCCTCTGGAGCTGGAGCCGAGCCAGGATGTTCTGTACTGCCATCAGGTGGCTCTGCTTGGTGCCTGAATCACCCCCTGGTTGTCAGTACTTGGGAAGGGAGAGCCGTGAGTAATTATGCTCTGTTCTTACAAACATCCCCGGCTGTGTTACGGATCTCTCCAATGGTCTGTCTCCTGCAGTATGAAAGAAAGCAGTTGTTTTTCAATACAATTTCCTTAAAATGATTTTTGCCTTCTTTATCTTAAACAGTTATACTATTAAATTGCATTTAATAATCAGTTCCAATCCCTCAGGGTTACCTGGAATTCTCCCTACAGACAGCAGGATACGTGGGCATTTGTAACTGTTCAGGATCTCACACCACAAAGCTGTGGTTCGTGACCTTCTCGTAGTCTGGTGTTGCTGGAGCTGGTTGGTGATGCTCTAGCAGGTACAGCCCGTGGTTGCTGCCACTGGTTCCTCACCCTCGCCTTGACTACTTGCCACTGATGTAGCCTCCTCCTCGCCTCATCCCCCTCCTTTCAGGTCCTTGTTGCCTTCCTTCTCTGCAGCTCAGGGCTGCTGTCACTGCCTGGTCCTGCACTGCCAGTGGGGTTCTCCTTAATACTCCCCTGGGAGCGTTACCCATGTTATTTAGAGCACTTCTGGGGCTGATACTCAGTTCCTAAGCTTGTAAAACAACCTGTAATATAATAAGAATCACTTGACATGTAAACATCTTACAAAACCAGCCTTGAGTTCCTTCCCAGCAGTATGAAAACATCAGACATGACACAAAAAATGTGGCAGGAGACAAACTGAAAAAGATAACATGTGCGGTGTGTATCAACTACTCTGCTAACACATTCTTGTGCTGGCAGCTAGTCTTATTCCAGTTTGTGTGCTGTTTTTAGTTCTAAATAACTAGTAAGCAGGAAAAAAAAAAACACAACCCTGTATGGCTCAGTTTGCTTGTTGCTCATGTTGTTCTCAGGACAGTTGTTTGAACATCACAATCCTCATCAAATATGTACATTCATGTGTTAAATATCATAATCAGACGTGTACCACAATTAGAACACTAAGTGAGCTAAAACCAAAGGCAAAGCAAAGTCAGTATAGGCAGCACTGAAACTTCTAATTAATGGATTGGAAGTGAACAGATCTCCCAAGCGAAGACATATAACATCACATTCTAGAGGGAATGTATTTATTGATGGGGGGATGAGGTAAACAGAGTATTAAGTGCTCAGTATTTCATGTGAATGAGGCAATAGCTTCATTAATAATGCACGCTAATTATGTCATCTCCCTTAGGTATCTGATATTCCCTGGCTTATCAATACTTTCCTTCCTGTTAGGCAGAAGAATGTTAATAGTTCCAAGGGATAACATTGTCCTTCACTGAGTAAAGAGCACAGCCATTTTAGACACGACTATGAAAATATGTCTACCAAATTTGATTCTTCTGAACAAACAGGTGGTATTACAATTGCACGCCATAATTTGTGCAATATGGACCATACGCATACTGCATGATATTGTAAATATCATTGTACTAATAAAATACATTACCACAATGCAACTCAGGAAGAAATAACCTTTGGAGCAATGACATTTCAATCAGTAACATTTCCTAATTTGAACTCAGTAGTCATGAGGCAGTGTGGTGGCTTTACTCGGGTGGGCAGCCGAGCTCCAGCACAACCGCTCTCTCACTCCACCTCTCCTCAAAGAGGAAGGGGGAGAAAATACAACACAAGAGCTTGAGGTTTGAGATGAGAAAGGTTTAATTAAAGGGAAAGGGAATGGGCAGAAAAAGAAACAAAAGAAACAGTAAGTCCGCACGGAAGCACAGAGAGAAGGAAAAAAAAATCATTCTCTACTTCCCATCAACAAGTGATGTTCGGCCATGTCCTGGGAAGCAGGGCCTCAAAACACATAGTGGTTGTTCAGGAGGAACAGCCCCCTCCCCCATGAGAGCCCCCCTTTTTATTGCTGAGTGTGACATCAGGTGTTATGGAATATCCCTTTGGTTGGTTTAGGTCAGCTGCCCGGGCAATGTCCCCTCCCCATCACTTGCCCACCCCTAGCCTGCTGGCTCTGGGGGGCTTGGAAGGAGTCCTGATGCTGTGCCAGCACTATGCAGCAATAGGCACAGCACTGGAGTGATATCAGTGCTGTTCCAGCTACGAGTGCAGAGCACAGCACTGTGTGGGTGCTGCAGGGAAAAGGTGACTCCAGCTCAGACAGACCCAACACAACCTGCACCCCTTATTCCATAACATTTGTGTCACAATCAGGTCCCACACAGTTTCGTATATAGATGCTCTCATCACCATTGTTCTCTGTCCACTGAAGTATTTATACGTCTGTACTTCTTTTAATTCCATAGGTCCTTCCCCAAAATGTTCATAAAAACTGTTGATGGTTTCAGCTTCATCTGTCAAAGTGGTCACTCAGGGCAGGTGAAGTTGGTTTTCTTGACACCAGCTTAGCTCACATCACTGTTGCCCTTGCCCTGGTTCCTTGCGAAGTTGACCTGTCATTGGTTCTGCAGTGTCCTCCTACAACACATAACTTGGATTACAGATTAATTTTCTCCCAGTGTTAAAATCTCCTTGAGGCACACACTTGATATCCCCATCTTTCTGCATTACCCACCAGGTATACCCTGGTCCTTGGGCGAAGACAATCCCATGAGTGGGTTTGCCTTTCCCCATGGCAGGGACAATCCACACCGCCTTCCCCATCCACTTTCCCACATGCACTACAGGGACTTCAGCTTCTCCCACAGTGTGTAGGGGTTTTGTTTCAGCAGGACCAGGATGGCTGTCAGACCCCCTGTTGTTAACTAGCCAAGTGGCCTCTGGTAGATTTATATCCCAATGTTTCCACGTCCCAGCACCCAGTGCTCGCAGCATAGTCTTTAACAGTCCATTGTACCTCTCAACCTTCCCAGAGGCTTGTGGGTGATAAGGGATGTGATACACCCACTCAGTGCCATGTCTCTTGGCCCAGGAAGTGACCAAATTGTTTGGGAAGTGACTCCCATTGTCAGACTCAATTCTTTCTGGTGTACCATGTCGCCACAGCACTTGTCTTTCCAGGCCCAAGATAGTGTTTCGGGCTGTGGCATGGTTACTGGATATGTTTCATATAGATACATGGATATATAGCTTTCACTTCTGCATACTGACTTGATTCACCTTCCCCTTACATGGCCTCTACAACTCGTCATGTGGGTCTCCACACAGCAGCTTTCCACTTCCGATGGCTCCCTACCACACGGCAGGATCCGTCAGTGAACAACACATACTGCTTTCCTGTCTTCCAGGCAACTCATTGTATGGTGGTGCCTCTTCAGCACGAGTTACCTCTTCTGTCGGCACTCTGAAATCCCCGCCCTCTGGCCAGTCCTTAATCTCTTCCAGGATTCCCAGGCAGTTGGGTTTCCCCATTCGAGCCCGCTGTGTAATTAACGCTACCCACTTACTCCACATAGCGTCAGTTGCATGGTGTGTCGTGGGGATTTTCCCTTTGAACATCCAATGTAACACAGGTAGCTGTGGGGCCAAGAGGAGTTGTGCCTCTGTACCAACAACTTCTGAAGCGGCTCAAATCCCCTCATATGCTGTTAATATTTCCTTTTCAGTTGGGGTGTAATTGGCTTCTGACCCTTGACAGCCCTGGCTCCAGAACCCCAGAGGTCAGCCTCGAGTTTCTCCTGGGGTCTTCTGCCAGAGGCTCCAGGTGAGGCCATGCTCCCCAGCTGCAGTGTAAGGGATGTTTTGCACAGCTGGTCCAGTATGGATAGGCCCAAGGGCTACTGCACGAGCTATTTCTTGTTTGAGTTGTTCAAAGGCCTGTTGTTGCTCGGGGCCCCACTCCAAAGAGTTCCTCTTTCAACACATCCTGCTTTTCCTCTTTCAAGTCACTCGATATAGAGGACTCACAAGCTGACTATAGCCTGGCACGTGCATTCTCCAAAATCCCACAAGCCTTAGGAAAGCTTGTGTTTCTTTTTTGCTAGTTGGCGAAGACATAACTGTTATTTTGTTGATCACATCCGTCGGACTGTGGCGACGTCCATCCTGCCATTTCACCCCCACGAACTGGATTTCCTGTGTGGGTCCTTTGACCTTATTCTGTTTAATAGCAAAGCCAGCTTTCAGGAGAATTTGAATTATTTTCTTCCTTTTCTCAAAAACTTCTTCTGCTGTGTTACCCCATACGATGATATCATTGATGTGCTGCAGGTGTTCAGGAGCGTTCCCCTGTGCCAGTGCAGACTGGATCAGTCCATGGCAAATGGTAGGGCTGTGTTTCCACTCCTGGGGCAGCCAATTCCAAGTATATTAGACTCCCCTCCAAGTGAAAGCAAGCTGTGGCCTGCATGCTGCTGCCAAAGGGATGGAGAAAAATGCATTAGTGATATTGATTGTGGCGTACCACTTGGCTGCCTTTGACTCTGGTTCATACCATGTTCCAGCATGTCCGGCACTGCAGCACTCAGCGGTGGTGTGACTTTGTTCAGGCCCCAACAGTCCACTGTTAGCCTCCACTCACCATCAGACTTTTGCACTGGCCGTATGGGACTATTAAAGGGTGAGTGAGTCTTGCTGATCACTCCTTGGCTCTCCAGATAGTGAACTAACTCATGGATGGGAATCAGGGAGTCTCGGTTGGTGCGATATTGCCGCTGGTGCACAGTTGTAGTCGCAATTGGCACCTGTTGTTCTTCAATCCTCAGCGATCCTACAGCAGAAGGGTCTTGTGAGAGACCAGGCAGGGTAGACAGCTGCTTAATCTCTGTGCTCAAGGCAGCTATGCCAAAAGCCCACCGGTATCCTTTTGGATCCTTGAAGTACCCTCTCTTGAGGTAGTCTATGCCGAGGATGCACAGAGCCTCTGGTCCAGTCACAATGGGGTGCTTTTGCCACTCATTCCCAGTTAGACTCACTTCAGCTCTTGGGATCCCCCCGTCACTCCAGAGATAGAGTTCTGCCCCTTGGTGGCCTGACGGCATTAGGGTACACTGTGCGCCTGTGTCCACTAAAGCTTTATATTTCTGTGGTTGTGGTGTGCCAGGCCATTGAATTCACACAGTCCAGTAAATCCGGTTGTCCCTTTCCTCTACCTGGCCAAAGGCAGGGCCCCACTAGTCCTGGCTGGAGCATCTATTAATTAATTCTCCCAAATGTGAAGCAGAAGTCTCTTTGTCAGGGTCAGGAGTAATACTGGCCCTTCTACTGCCTCTGGGGGACTGCCCAACAGAAACTGGGGCAGCAATCCTCCTAGGGGCCCCTCGTCTTGCTGCTGTATCTTTCAGCAGCTCAGGTACCCAAGCAGCTAGGGCTGAGGTCGGTTCATGTTTCCACTTCCTCATATCTTCCCCGTGGTCACGTAAATAAAACCACAAGGTACCTCGCGGTGTGTGTCCCGGATTCTCCCTTGCTTGAGCCGGAGACTGCTGGCGCTTGATGGCCGAAAGACTCTTCCGTCTAGGTGAGGAGGAAGCTATGTGTTCTTCTAACCATTGGGACAGTCTCTCCACGGCTGAAATGCAGGCCCTTACTGGGGCAGAGAGATTTTCTTCATATTTATGAAGCTGGTTGGACACGGTATCCACAGTTGGCCCCATCCCCTCCTCCCAATCCATTGCTGCCAGTGTGCTGGCATGTGATGAGGGTGCAGCCTGTACAAACTTTTGCCACATGGATGCTGTGCACTGGACTTCGTCAGGGTCTTTAGGTGTCTGGGCATTGTTTAAATGGCTATAAAGCATCTCCAGCACAGCTAATTCCCACAGGTGCTGGAGACCTTTATCCATAGTGGTCCACTTGCTTACTTGGTATACAATATCTTCCTTATGGGGATACCTTTCTTCACAGCTGCCAGGAGTCACCTCCAGAGGCTGAGAACTTGTGCATCTCTTCCCAATTACTCTATCAATGAGCCTTTCTCTAGAGAGGGATCCCAGCTGCTTGGCTTCACTGCCTTCTAGCTGTTGGCTATTGGCCCCAGTGTCCCAGCATCGAAGCAGCCAGGTGAGGATGTGCTCACCTGCATGACGACTGAAATCCTTTTGTATTTCTTGCAGCTCACTCAAGGATAGAGACCGAGTAGTTTCTGATTCATCTATGAGTTCGGTCTCTCCTCCCTGATGGTGCCGTGATGTCGCTGCTTTAGAGCTGCCTGCCTTTTCCTCTTCTCCCTCCTCCTTAGGAGGAGCTTCTTCCCTTACTAAACGAGCTGACTTCCTTTTCCATTGTTTTGTCTTGACTATAGGGGCGACTGATCCCATAGATGGTCGGTCCTCTGGGGTGGTCACAGTGTGTGTTATCTCATCATTGAATTCAGGAACCTCCCTATCCCCTTGAGGGTGCTGGGCAGTGTTAATTGACATTTGACAGGCGTAAGCCAGGCCCAGCAGAGTGCAGCAAGCTGGTGAAGCTCTCTGGTGTTGCCAGGGTCAGGGCATACGTCTTACAAACATCCTACCAGTTTTCTTGGATTTTGCAGTTGTTCAGGGGTGAAGTTAAGAACCATCGGAGGAGAAAACCGTGACAGGTACCTGCTCAAATCCCCACACACACACCTTGCCACCCACAACTGCTTTGTCTTGGGGCAGGTCCTTGGATGATATTCTTAATAAATTGACCTTAGGGAGCAAGACAAACACTGGAACTAGTAATAGGAGGATAACATCCGACCAAGGGTATCCAAAATACTCAAAGGCTGCTGCAATTAGTCCACAGGGAGAGAAGAAGAAGGCATCACCCCGATATTATTCACAGATTGACTGCTAGGGGAGAAAAAGAAGGCGCTGTAATTCTTAATATTTCCAAAAAGATAACCTCCAGGAGACAAGAATGATGACAATGCAGGGCCTGAGTACCAGATGAAACCGAAGGTCAGCATGTTACAGCACAGCATGGTGAAGAAACCAAACACAGATTTCAACGCATTCTCCAATTGGATGTAGAGGAAAAAAGAGAACAGAGAACAGACTACATACATCACAGTCACACAGAAAAATATTAACAGCAAACCGAACATTGTAACCAGCAGTATGTTAGCTGTAAACACTTCAATCAATTCTACTGTTATCTCAACCCTTGAGCCCCACGTTGGGAGCCAAAAAGGACTGTGGTGGCTTTACTGGGGTGGGCAGCCGAGCTCAACCACAACCGCTCTCTCACTCCCCCTCTCCTCAGAGAGGAAGGGGGAGAAAATACAACACAGAGAGCTCGAGGTTTGAGATAAGAAGGGTTTAATTAAAGGGAAAGGGAATGGGCAGAAAAAGAAACAAAAGAAACAGTAAGGCCGCACGGAAGCACAGAGAGAAGGAAAAAAATTATTCTCTACTTCCCATCAATGAGTGATGTTCGGCCACATCCTGGGAAGCAGGGCCTCAAAAGGCGTAGTGGTTGTTCAGGAGGAACAGCCCCCTCCCCCACGAGAGCCCCCTTTTTTGTTGCTGAGTGTGACATCAGGTGTTATGGAATATCCCTTTGGTTGGTTTAGGTCAGCTGCCCCGGCGATGTCCCCTCCCCATCACTTGCCCACCCCCAGCCTGCTGGCTCTGGGGGGCTTGGAAGGATGTCCTGATGCTGTGCCAGTACTATGCAGCAATAGGCACAACACTGGAGTGATATCAGTGCTGTTCCAGCTATGAGTGCAGAGCACAGCACTGTGTGGGTGCTGCAGGGAAAGGTGACTCCAGCTCAGACAGACCCAGCACAGGCAGTTGCAATAGGATTATGTGAAAATGCATGTGAAGCGTAAGAAGTCCCCAGCAGAGAAGCTCATACAAGCAAAATCTACATGACTGTGATTGCTCACGATGAGTTTGGCATGTTCTGAGTAGTATGTACCGGTCCCAAGTCTGTCAACAACATAAATCTGTACTTACTGGCAATTGGAAGGGGTCAAGAGCAGTGGCAGCTGCACATTCCCAGACAGAGTTACCTTCCATGTCCAGTGGCATCCTCATATTGCTCGTCTTCACTGCCTGGATACCAGGTGAGCACACCGCGTATTTCCAGGAGTGTCACTGGCCTTTGACCCGAAGCATTCTCCATCTCCATTCACTGTCCTTCAGTTTGCAAGGCTCCTACTTCCACTGTTCGTCCATCTCAACCAAGAGCCACAGGGAAGAGCAGCAACACCTTCGTGCCCTCGGCATGAGAGCGCTCAGTCAGCTGCTCACACAGCTGCACCTGCGGTCCTGCTTCCAGCTTGACACAGCCCCTCACCCATCAGTGTCACATCAAGGGATGTGCTTCAGCACAGCCCAGGGAGCTGCACCAACATTGTCCTGCCAGGAAAGCCGAGGAGCACAGAGCCTCTGCTCTGAGGATCGGGGCAGTGCAGCCTCGCTGCAGCTGGCGCTCTTCTCTCAAGGTCATAGATAGTGGATTTACACAAGCAGGCTCAGCTTTCAGTCCTAGCAACACCTAGCGATAATTATGCCGATGGGAAAACTCAAAAGTATTAAACATGAAGGCTGAAAACTAGAAGGTAAATAACAGGCTAAATAAATTCTTGCACCAGAGCAAGTGCTGAGAACCATCTAGTCTGCGTTTGTAGCCAGAGGTAGGATAAGCTACACCGAAACTTTGGGACATTAACATTTTTCTGTTTTGGTAAAAAATATTTTGTATAGTGTTTGGCTTACAACTTCTGAATACTTATGATTGACAGCTCTGCTCTGTTATATAGCTAGTGATCAACACTTATTCTTTAAATAAGTAGCAAAGATCCAAGCCAAAATTTTAAATACACCATAAAATCTTAGGAAGATTGCAAACTTTAAAATCACGACTGGGTCACTCCAGTTCCTGTAAGAATTGTAAGGAGTGTTTCCAATGACTTTAGCAGGATCATTTTCTGATGACGTTCACTGGATTCAGCCCAGCAGCATATAGTTAGGAGTCCATTATCCAGCTACCAACATTCAGAGCTAAGGACCCTTCTAGTCTTTGGCCCTAACCCTTTTATTCCAGCAAACTGGAATTAAAACACACCATTCTCTCAGTGAACACAGAGAAAATACAAGGGATTTTTTTACTACTTAAATTTAAAAAATATAAATTGAATTGTTCACAAGTTGAAAAGTTCCATCTCCCATCATCTCTAGGAGGTGTCATCGAAATGATGATATAATCATCTGTATTTTCACTTGAAATTATATTGTTCTGTTAAGTGCTATCCTGATTTAATCAGCCGTTCCTGTAATTACACTGTGGTTCTCCCATCAGTATTTTTTCAGTCTCATTGAGGGGTGTACACCTCCACTATTTGCATTTTTATAGGCTTAAAAGTTTGCTGTGCCAGATTGGTTGGATTTTTTTTTTTAACTTGAAAATAGTGTGTTAGCCACAAGAAAAGAGGTAGAAAAATTCTAGCATCTATTTTCAGACACTTTTAATCCATTCTGAAGATCCTTGAGCAATGTGAAATTTTACATTTTAAAGCTAAAGCTATTTGATATTAATTATAAAACACTTGGAGTAGAACTGCTATAATTGTTGCAGGGGAGGTTGTTGCATGCAGAACAAATGCATACCCCAGAAATGCTTTAGTCTCAGCTTTGTTGCCTTGGCCTTTGGAGGCTATTCTGTAAGACCCCAGTAACAGCATGCCTGCTGCAAGCCACAGGCCTATCAAAATGGAAAGGTTTGCTTTATTCTCAGAGAATTTGGATTAACAACCCTAATCTGAGAGGCAAAGCGAGCCAACGTATACAGCCCTCCCCGGCACTCTTTGAAGGTCATGAGGATAACGAAACTTGCACAACACCTTGGATGCTCACTGTTATGTCTGACTGTATTCTCTCTCATCTCTTTGGTTGGATTTTAGCACACACATTGCTAAATTGTGTTGTGTGGCACCTTGAGCCTGGCTACAGCTTCAAAGGGCAGGCTTGGAGCTCTGTGGTGCTGTTTACAAGCAGGACAATAAGAAACCACTCTGAGTAAAAACGAGGGAGGTTCTAAACAGGGTGTATAAAGGAAAAGTGTAAAAACTTACACTTAATTCCTTGGTATTGTGTGAGTGTGATTTTGCACAGCATTTTCACAGTGTCTTCCTCCCATTTATGCTGTTTATACTTGGCGAGGTGGCCTAATGCATATCAGAGTGGGCACAGAGCGTGAATGCACACATATTAGCAGTTCATGGAAGAATGGGGTGATAGGGGCACGTGTCTAGTAAACATTCGTCTGCACACACCACACATTTGCGAGTCCAGTAAACTAGACCTAGAAGAAGCCTTTCTTCTCCTTTTTAGAGGAATGGCATCAGAAATCACAGACGTGCTCTGATAAGCAATGTATTCACTTTTCCCTTTTTCCACACAGCACGTGAAATAAATTGGGTGATAACCAGCAGCTGGGGAGAAGGGAGAGCCCTTTGGAGTGAAAGTTGATACTGAACCAGCAGAGGGAGCCCCACAATATGAATTCTTTCTCTTTGCAGAGGATGAGGGCCTTGGGAGGTGGATGTTGTGAGAAATCCTCGCTGGCCACTGAAGGCCCTGGCTGTCTGTGCTGCTTCTTCCCAGATCCCAGGAATCACAACAGCAACATGATGTCACGTTTCGTTGGGTAGGAGTGCTTTTCTGGCATGCTTATCATGTAATTTAAAAGGTCTCCGTAGTCTGCTGAAGAACTAATCCTGGTATAAAACTGTATGGTCCTCTACTTATACAATAACGTGCTAAGCTTTTCTTAGTGTACTGTGCATCTGCACTGTTGCCCTTGCTGCCTGAATCCCTTGCTCTTAACAAAGACACCACAACAAAGAGCCCGACTGTGATATTAAATGGTCTCTTCCAAGCTAAGACATAGGATATCTCAACAAAGTGCCTGGTTGGGTCACAACCTGTTGTATTACTTTTAGAATTAGTTCCAATGCGATGGGTGCCAGGACGCTGAAGGGACATGGAGCTTAGGGTCAGCAACCGAGCCCTTTCTTCATGCGCCAGACAGCTCTGAGCAATGTGCCTCCACTGGCCCCCCTGGCAGGGACCCGCAGACTTGCACCCTTTGGGCATTTCACCTTCCTGAAAACCAGCACGGCTGTGGAATGAGCTGCTCAGTCTCTCCAGATCACTTTGCTGAAAGTAGTCATGGACTGCTTCTGCCTCTAATTCCTTCACTCTACACGAGGAGCTAGACAGAAATTAAATACCCTCTTAGTGCGACGTATTATCAGGGAGAGCTGCACAACTGCAAGTTTCTTGTCATTAGTGTTGAAGGCAGGGATGGCTTCAGTATCTCTTGTCCTTTCCTCAATAACGCACTTACACATTAGCATAAGCATTAAGCTGATTAGCATTGGCTTAATTGGTAGCAAACCAGGTTTGAGCTGAATGCGCTTGAAAACTCTGCTTCTTGAGTACTGCTGTGAGAGGATCTCTGTGAAACAGGGAGAAGGGTTTTATTCTCATTCTCTTTTACTGTAGCAATGCCCGAATCTTTCTGAATTATAAACAAGCAAACAGCTTTGATCAATACTATAACACCAGCGATGACCATTATCTGCCAAGGAGACCTTTTGGAGGTTGTGGTCTCTTCAGTTTCCCTACTCTTTAGAGTAACTTTGCCAGCTTCCCTGCATCACATGCATTTACTAACTCCCTTTTTCCAAAGACAACAGCAATGTGCTTTCCAGAACTGGCCACATTTGCATTTCTTTACCCCTGGCTTATGACGAAGCGTCTCCAATTCCCCAGCTTTCTCCAGTGGCCCATGAATGTTTTGGAGTAAGTAAGACTGTTAAGTAAGACTGTCACTTAAACCTAGTGCTTCTTGGCCTTTTAAACACTTGTTTGGTGGGTGATTAAAGCTCCCCCGCTTTGCTCCTGCCCTCGCCCACCCAACTCAGCTGGTGCTGACGGCAGCCAGCTCCTCAGCAACACCAGGCTCGCACCTCTGGGATTTGGGGCTAGAATTATCGAGGCTTTTATCACGCACTGATGTTAGGCTCAAATTGAAACTCCCGCATCTCTCTGCGTACAGTCCCTGTCTGCTTTTCATGTCAGTCAGCAGTTTCTTAACCAGCAGGCCTTCATAGCCTTGGCTGTGAATTAAACAAACATCAGCCTGCCTTGGGGCAGAACCGCGATCGCTCCTGAGATTCCCTTCTTCTGGTTCTGTGACATGTACAGAAAGCACACATTTCACAGAGCTGTGCAAGTACAGAGCTCAGCCAGCACAGCTATAACCACAAGCCTCTCTCATTGTGCTGCACATTTGCCAGCAACGTGCCTCACGCAAAGTAAAGACGTGGATGTGGTGAGAATCCAGTCAGCAGATTTCAAATGGTTCATTGTCCATTCACAGAAAACAAAACCAAAACAAAACAAAACAAAACAACAACAAAAAAACACAACATTTTAAATCAAGGTATTCTGCTTCTGTTCACTGTTTGGGACTCAAGATAGCATGGTTAATTTTGAGGATGTTAATAAAATAAAGTGCTTTAAAATTATGTTTCCAAAAGGTTTAGTTACTAGAAGAAGCTAACATTGATAAATGAATAAATGATAGATTTATTCACTTAAGACTAACTAATTTTAAAAGATTATTTCTAGGGAACACCTTATCTGGTTTGTTAAGAAACCTCAGGGCTTTAATTGAAACAGAATACAGCTGCTTTTAAAAAAATAATCCAGATACAATAGTTATTCTTACTCCTAATACGCTCAACTTGTATCAGTTAACCTTAAATTAAGTAAAAACATTTGCTTCATGAACCCAGCATTCCTAAACTTATATTGCTGGCAGACTCTTCCTCCATTTTCATCCTAGCTCTTCATCCAAGCTATCACTGTCGGAGCCTCTTAACTGCTGTATTTGAGGTGCCTAGAGCAGGCAAACAATATAAGAACTATCTGGTTCCCATTACTGTCACAGAGCAGCCACCCTCCCTAGGCTGGGAGTGTTCAGTGATGCCAAAAAGCTAATTAGGTCAGTGTGTCAGCTTAAACTGTGCAGGAGATGAACATTAAATGTTTACTAAATTTAGCTGTCTGTTGCTGGATCTGGAACGTCTGTTTTCCAGGATGGAGCAGGAGCAGAGACGCAGGGCTTTAAATTAATCAAAACCAGCATCGTTAAATGCATACAGAAAATGAAGTGGCAGTCAGGCTTACAGTAATTATTGCATTATCTACATTATAAGGCCGAGCCAAGGCTGAAGAAAGAGAGGGCTTTCAGAAAGTACATCCTGCAAGCTCTGAGATGGTTTGTTCTGGCTGTAGTTTGGTGCAACTGCCTAGATAAATCACCAAAAAAGTGATGGGCAGGAAGATTTTTGAAAAGCACGCAACACGAAGTTGCAGATGTGAGTTAGGGTACCTACAACTGCGTTTACATTTTGGGACATAGGAGCACTGTCTGGGTCCTGGGTCTAGACGCATGCCCCAAAGGCATCTCATCTTTGTTCTGATTAGACTTCAGCATGCGCTGCCCTCTCCTCAGGCCGTATGCTTACCGCCAGTGGAAGAAATCTGGGTGCACACCCCAGAAGGCAGCACTGCAAGATCCTGGCAGGAAGTCAGCTGTGAAATCAGGAAACCAGGCCCAGAGCCCAGATACATCCTCTTTGCCATTGGGATTTTTAGGTTTTTAGGGCATTGGTATGAGCACAGGGCACCAGCTCACCTTTCTGCCAAAAGAAGAATTATGTGCTGTTTTTGCAACACAGGGATTAAAGTGCACTCTGTCATAAGGTGAGATTTTGGTTAATGACATTCATCCCTAAGGTGATTCTTATTCTTACACAATCGCTGACAAATCCACCACAATTTATTGCTTTGGGAGAGGGAAGTTTGAGGACATAACAGTGACATGCTTTTGTTCCTTTGCTCCTTCTGGTTCATGAAATTGTACGGGGAGGCCGTAGACACCCCGTTTCCTTCACTGTAGCCCTTAATACCATGGGATCTGAAAAGTCCGTGCCTTCACTGTTGGGTCAGGTTGCCAAACGTTCTGGTGGCAAAGCCAGTGATTTGAGACAAGTCCTGGGAGAAGAGAGGAGAAATTGTGATCAATGGACTAAAAAGGAAAAGTACCTCAAAGCCAGCTAAGTTTAGTTTTAAAGCTTGACAGATGATCAAGAATACCAGTTGATATGCTTTTCCTGCACTAAATGAATAGATTTATTTTCTGGTACTAAAAACTGTACATGTGCTTATTTTTAGATGGCATTGTGTAGCTTATGCTCACTCAAACAATAAGCACTGGGGAGTTGATGTAAATGTATGGCTGGAGTAAAAATAGATGTTTTGCTCTATATTCTTTCAGCTTCTTGGACTGGATGTTTCTTAAAGTATCTGTGTGGAAACAAACACTGTCAAAATGAAGAGGGCAAGTGTTGTCTCTGTTCCATGTAACCTAATAACCTGCCCAACACGAAGTCTCTGTTTTATGTTCTTCCAAAACATACTCCAGACCGTGTAGTCACTCGAGACGTGTAATCAAGCAGAAGCTGCTGACCTATCAGCAGCCAAAGCCTACTTCCTAAAAGAGCTGTTGTCATCTACACTGTCACAGTCTTTCCATATAATCCTTATTTCTGCTAGCCAATAGCTAGTGTGCAAGTAGGCACTTTTTTCCTCCAGGTGTCTACAAAGCAGAAAGGGAACTAACTGATGGGAAGAAGGAAATCTACTTTAATTGTTTTTATCTAATACGACTACCAAGAACATACCTTTGAGGCATGGTAACAACAATATCTACCATTGAACTGTGTAATCTCCATTTGCCTCAATTTATCTGTTATGAATTTACACAGCGATCAGCATCAGCAGAACTTGGAGATGAGGCATCCTTCCTGTGTCATGGCAGCTCTGGTGAGATGGTAGCCATCAAGAATCTCCCCCCAACCCTGACTTTTTTTTTTATTATTATTATTATTTATTAAAAAAAATACCAAAAGCAAAGGCTCTGTTCCTCAGGGGGTGCTCCTGGCTGTAGCATGCTGCTCAAGCTGCCCAGGCAGCTGCTGACAACTGCAGCCACCAGCTGAATCCAAGAGGCTCCCTAGCATGGACCCAGCTCAGCAGCCATGTAAATAATACCCTGTAGGCATGAAACAATTATTGGTCAGTAACAATCACACACCAGGCAGAATAGGTACTGAATAGGGAGAAGTAATCTCTTCTCCTTTGTCCCCATCCATCTGTCCTGTTCTCCCTATTAGACCTCTCTCTTCTGTACCAAGGTATTTTTAATAGTTATGTATCTCATTTGCATTTTATACTTAAAATAAAGAGGGAGGAAGGATGAGAGGATAAAATTCCTAGAATTAATGGTTGTTGACCCCTAACCTTAAGCAGTGATATTACCCTTCAGTAAGTTCCTCCTCTGTCAAGTAGATGTACCCAGGAAATGAAGATTAGTTTCTTAACAGCTGTCCTGGAAACTACATCCCTATTACCACTCTTTTTGAACACAGTAACCTAAATAAAGTTAAATGAAGTTATCAGACATGATCTCATTTTGAAAGAACTGATGTCACTAAAATAACATTCTAAATTCACCAGCCTAATGTGATTATTAAAGAGGAATGTGGTCTATTTAGTACCATACTGACCTAAGCAAGACTTTTTATTTGTAGCAATGGTACTCCTGCTGGCATTGGGTTAGCCCTGCTGATATTGTTACTTCTTAAACAATATTTACAATATAGTAGTGAATAATTTTAGTGGCCAAGATTTATCATATAGAGCTTAAGATTTTCAGTAAAGTATTTAAACCTAACAAAAGCAGAGCTTGCATTGATTGAAAGATGAAAAGTAACAAGAAGCTGGTAAGATCAGACAGGCATCTTTTGCCTTTCTAGAAAAAAAAAAAATAAAAAGTGACTTCTGATGTTCCTTTCTGTGTAGGTTGATGCCGGGGATGAGGGGAAGTTCTCAGAAAAGAAAATGTCAGACATGGTTGTATTCTTCCTTTGTCCCTACTACAGTGACCTTCTTCTCCCCAGCCTGTGATGTTGAGCCATCATGCCTCCTTTGCTCTTCTACCACTTATTCCTTCTCAGTGGCCCCATTCCTTCTCATTTTTCCCTTTCTTCAGTGCTGACCTCACAACCTCAATCTCCTATTTTTATATAGCTCTTTTCACTGGCGTATCTGTCTCCTGAAAGCGCCCACACACCTACCCACACACAGATCCCAAATAACGTGCTTTTACTTCTTGTGTTTTCTACCATGAGTTTATAGCCAACATGTATGAGCACAACGCATACAAATATATGCACATAAATGCCCCTATAGGCAACTTGTGAATGAACTAGGAACACTTTTTTTTTTTAAATATCTCTGTGAAGGCGTGTGTATCCAGGCTTGCCAGTAAGCTGTGCCAAGTATGCTCCACATAGGCAGTCGCTGAACTAAATGATGGTACTATGAGCAGGAGAGCTGATACACTGGAGGAAGATATTCCATGGTTGTTAGAGAAAGAAATTTCCTTCTAAAGCATGCTTCATCCCATCCTCAGGTGGCTGTTCAGAGCAGCACCCTGCATGAGCTGACACACTACTGGAGTGCCCCAAGCTCTTCTCACAAAGTGTCAGTCGTGCAGGGCACCAAGAACCAAGCTAGGTGTTCGGGGCAGTGCCCAATTACACTTAAATTTTTAGGTGCAAATTTATCAAAACTGAGTTGGCTCTGCTGCATGTGTCATGGGTAATATGGTATTTGGCACTACTCTTAAGGCCTGTTCCTGCAGCGGCATTGCTGAGAATGCCCTCTTTTATTTTTTAAAGAGTAATTGATTAACAGATGATTTGGTAAGGAAAAAAAAAAAAAGAAAGAAAAGAAAGAAAAAAAGAAAAAATAAAAAAGCCTTATCCATGTATATATGGATTCTCATGCTTGAAAAAGAGAGGAAAAATAGCAAAAGAAGTCCCATTGGTAGTACAGGCAATCTTTGAACCCCACTGGTGATTTTTCTCCGGCTGTAGAGCCAGCAGTACTGCCTTACATTCATTTGCTTTTAATTTGTAGGGGAAAAAAGTATCTTCCTCGCTGTAACACGTACATGTGAAATATGCAGCTTATTACTGAAAATGCTGTGAATTTTTAAAGTTTCTTCGGTAGATGAGTGTATGGAGAGCAAAGCTAAAAGTAAATGCATCCAGTAGAGGGAGCTCCAAAATCTTTTTTTTTTTTTTTTTTTTTTTTTTTTTTTTTTTTTTTTGTGGGGGTGTGACAGATGGCTCTTTGCTTTGAAATAGATGATCTCTGGTAGAATACTGGTTGTTAACATATAAATCCTTTGATGATTTTCATCCCCTTCTGTTAGGAATTCCCGTCTTTCATTTCTCACAATCCTCAATGCTAAAGTCATACCAGAATTTTTTCTGAGCATGGGAGTATTTTTAAGGCTTTTCTCACATTCTAAAACAATTTTTATACTAAAACAATTTTTATACATTTAAGTTAATTTCAACTTCAATTTTAAGGCAGTGGATAGCATATTTTTTTCAGAGCATTTAAAATACTTCTGCATTAAAATACTTCTGTTCATTTTTATTAGAAAAACAAACAAACAAACAAACAAAAAAAACATAGAAACATAGCATAGGAATTAATGAAAACTATCTTTGCTCAGCAAATATTTCCATTATATGAAACCTATATATGTGAATGTCAATATACTTTATCTCGTGGTCAAATCAGCCAGTCTGAGATGAGGCAGATAGATGGCAAATGATATGAGTTTTAAGCTCTCACCTTTCTCTACCATCAACACCTACTCTTCCCTCATTTTTCAGATTCATCGAAGAATGGTTGCAGATCCTGAGACCTCTTTGTTGCCTCTGATAATACATAAGTACTTCTCTAATATTCATCTGATTTGAAGTATGAATGGTAATCTCCATAAACCCTTAATTAATATAATATGACATCTAGTCAAATAAGAATGATATAAACATAGACAAATAAATGACGTAGTAAGTATGCTTTATTTTAGTTAACTTGAGAGAGAGAAAAAAAAAAGGAAAAAAAAAAAGGAAATCTGTCTCTTGTTCAGAGTACTTAAACCTTTGTCTCTATAGAGAAGCGGATCCTAGCCTTCACAGGCCCAGTGGAAGAAATGTAAAGCAAGTGAAGTATGGAAAGAAATACCATGCTAGCTCTCCCTTTTGGCCTCTTTTCAATTTTTTTAAATTTCTTAAGGTTTTTGAGCCTCAGGAACTTGTAACAAACCATGTCTGCTGCCCTTGACGTTTATTCTTACAATGAAGACAGAAAACATATGGCATTTAGCTCCTGGTCATGTCATGCCACTAAAATTTCCAGTCTGTTGAGGCTTTTTATCTTTCTCTGGGTAAGAGGAGGAAGAGACATGATGGATGCAAGCTGAAGAGGAATAACTGTACAGTTCTTTAGCATCTGCTGTGTGTGCAGGAGGCATCTATAGAGTTGTGTGTGGGATGAAGGTCCATCTGAAACACTGTGTGGCATTGCCCTTGATGCAACTCCTTGTTCTGCCAAATAATTAATGTCATGATGTACTCCTTCTCATCTCAGCAGCCCCCAGATGCAGAAGAGAGCGTTGTTCGTTTTGCAGACAAGAAAGTGGTAAATGTTTGCTTGCTGCTGGCTGCTTGATTTGTGGACTCTGCTCTATGGACAAAAGAGAGCTGGAAGCCATTTGTGCAGTTCAGAGCTTCCTGTAACCAACTTCTGGATGTGTTGTGGCTGTGTTGGGCTCAAATATTCAGAAATCAGAATCTGGCTCCACAATCTGTTTTCTTCCTCTCTTCCCTCCCCTTTTTGATCTGCTTCCAAGACCTTCCTGTGGAGTCAGCGATGATGGCTGGGCATTCTGGATGTCTGAAAAGCCAGTGACTAAGTTAGGTGCAAAAATAGTGCTTGAGGCTTATTTTTGGAGAAGTTTACTGGTGTCTGATATAGTTTACTGTATACAAATATTGAAACACTATTTGTCATACTGCAAAGAATAGTTACTAAACAGGTTCATAATTATTTGTGCATTTTGAATGTGCTAAAGTTGTGTCACAAGCTATTGCTTATAAACACAGTGCTTTCCCAAGTCAGCCAACCTCACAGAGGTTGGAGAAGAAAAACTTCCATTTGATACCATCAGCCCAAAGCCTCCTCTCTCTCTGACTCGGTGCCAAGCAGAGCTGGGAGATCAAATTAATTCCTGGAAGTCCTCATGCTCTCAAACCACAGCTGAATTTACTCTTCAAGTACCTTTAAACAAGACTAATTTCAGGGATCCTGAGGAATATTCTCAAGAATTAAAGTGTTTTTAAAACACGTTTTTCTGTAAACTTTACCTCCCTCCTGCTTCCACCATGGCAGTGTCAGTCAAAGATCAATGCTCTTTTCCAGCAGCTCAGAGCTTTGCACCTTTTGTAGCTGTGTAACATAACAACCAGTGTTGTTACTTTCCAGCACACTGTCTGAAATACCTACTTTATTCAAGCTATGTCCAACAAGCTTGCCCTCAGAGCATGAAATCTGAGAGTGAAACAAACAGAAGAAACCCAGCTTTTGATCTGGCTTCTCATCCTTTACGCTCCCACGGGCTGACCTCAGCGCGTGACAGATGCGGTATAACGTGCAGCCTGCGCTCGTGCACGCAGCATGGAGCCCTCTGTCTCCAACAGCCACTGCGCTGCCAAGCACAGCTTTGGCCTGCTCTCCACCTCAAGCACCTTGTCCTTGCTGGGTCCCGATGGCTGCTGCTGCCCAGGGCAAGGTGCTGCCATTGCCACCACCTCAGCCTTGTCTGGATAAGAGGGGCAGTTGGCAGGTGCCACGGAAATGCTGGGAGGGCTTGACTCATTTTCCTGCACAATCATTTTTACCAAATCATGCTCCTTATCCATCTCCAGCATCCTTTCCCAACACAGAAGATCCTCTGGGAGTTTTGACCCCTGAGGATGACGGATGGCTGCGCAGCCCCCTTGCCCATTGCCCATCACCCAAGATGGCGGCCATCTCGTGCCAGCACCCAGCTGGCACACACAAAATGGCCGCCCCAAGGTGCCGCAGCGCCCAGCAGCGAGCCTCCTCCCCACAAAGGGGGTTGCCGTCTCCCTGCAGAGCAGCCAAGCGGCATGTGAGGGTATGGGCTGCCAGCTGGAAGAGGGCCGGCTGGGATGTGGGGTGTGAGGAGCAGAGGAAACCTTGTGCACGGTGGGGAGGAGGAGGAAGAGAAGGAGGCCAAGTTCAAGAGGATGTCAGGGAAGGCCTGAGCAGGTGTGGAGGTGAGTGCTGGGTCACGCTAGCGGATGGATATCCCTGTGGCAGGAATCAGTATCTGTAGGTTATCAGGGCTACAGGAAATTTAATTCTAATTGATGTTGGTGCCCTATGTTCATGAGAAGGATTCTTTTGTGATTTTTCTTTTAACTCCCCCTCCCATGCAGACCCTTTTACTCTGGATCTGCGTGACTCAAAAGCTTTCAGCAATCCACAAACCATTGTGCTAATGTGCATCAGATCTCTCAATGGAGGGGTGGTTGCACTTCTTGAGGGAATGCAGGTTAATGCTGTGGCATCGGTACTGCTATTGTCAAATCCTAATTGAATTGTACATCTCTTTCCAACGGAAATCAAAAAGCAGATTTAAAACTGAGATGCTCCTTAATAAATGCAATCTGACAAATAGTTTTTCTATTCTTGTTCTCTCCCCTTTTAAGCATTAAGTCAAAGAAGCTCAAAGCTTCACACATGAGGTTTTCAAAGTGTGCATGTCAATAGTTAGGTCTCTGAGGCCATTTTCTTTGTATTGAAGCTCTTTTTAAACTTAGTGAGTTTGGGATCCAGTCTGAAATACATATGTTAGCAATAAAACCAGGGGAATAAGAAAAGTGTGTTTTATACATACTTATTTCTGGTCCGGAGAAACAGAAAGCTGAAAATTAAGAAATATTTCATGTGTTGTTTTATTGTTTGTTTTGGTTTGTGTATATCTTTTTATGCAGTATACGACTCTGCTGTCACAGCCGGTAATAAAAAAACAGATGCACAACAACTTCAGTGCTTTTGTCCTCCAGATTACAAGCAGCAGTACCTAATACTGCAGAGAGGGAATCTGTCCCATGTTAAAATGTTACTGGCACTTTTTTTTTTTCCCATCAGAAATCCTAAACACAACAGCATATGAGCCTCTGCAAAGACAATTAACTCTCCCAGACAGGGACATAAGCTGCTGTGGAACTCTTAAGTTCCGTGGTAGTGCTGTGTTTATGTTCAGTCAGGCTGGCAAAGGTATTCTCCAGGTAGAAATAGCGAGTCTGCAGACAGCAATGCAGACGTCATGTTTTGTTCCAGAAACATCTGCCTATATTTAGTTGGTTTGCTCTTGTTGCTTGCTGCAGCTTTACCAAAAATCAGGCTAGTCTGTTAAATAGATTATACAACACCATTCTCTACTCAGTTGTCTTTCCCAACTGATACTTTGTGAATTCTGAACTCCCTATAGCTAGGCTAATAGGATAGCTTTACTTCTCAGGGCCTTATAGGACATGAGTCTCCGAGATGCTGTCTACTGGTGGTTTACTTTTCGGGAGAGAGATGTCCAAGAGGTACCATTTGGCAGAGAAGTTTCCTTCTTTGTTCTGGACTCCACGTCCTGTCACATGTTTTTGGCCCTTGCTGGAGGCCTCAGAAGCGATAAAAGAAGTTTAAGACGGGGTTTTTCAGCCTTGCCCAGCCCTGCTCCTTGGCACACATCCCTGCTTCCTGGGGGAGAGCAGCCAGCTGGATGCTCCACAAAAGCACCACTTCCAGTGAGGGTTATAGGAGTGTCAAAGAGAAGGATAGCTGTTAATGGAAGCGATGAAAAAAAAAAAAAGACCTGAATTTCTGTACACTTCCTTTTCATTTATTAACTCCTTGCAGTCATACACATTTTGGGGAGAATGAAGGGACATGGAATGATCAGGCCAAATATGCATAAAAATATTGTTATACATGACCTGACAGAAAGCATACCCAGCCCAGGGTTTGAATATACCCAGCCTAGGGTCTTGAGCTGAACAAGGCTATTACAGAATGAGTAGATGCTGCAGGAAACTAGCAAAAAAAAAAAAAAAAAAGGAGGAGGGGAAAATATGGCAGCACATCAAGGCCAAGGAAATCTGTGAGGCAGCAGTGAGAGGTCTTAGTGCAAGTGCTTGTTACAGCATAGAGACAGAGCTTAGGTGATGTGGGAGGAATGGTAAAAGGCAGGACCCCCAAATGGATGCTACTCAGTCCAGGAGAGAGACCTGCTATGGCAGGGAGTGAATAAACTGGGGGTATTGTGAATATACTGGGGGTACTGTGCTGGATGAGGGGATCTTCCAAGGACAGCCCTTGTGAAAGATGCGTGGACATTGAAAAGGAGACACTCTCATTGTCTTGCACTCATGAGCAGCTGTGATGTGTGGGTGGAGAAGATCTAACACTAGACGGCACACCAAACACATCAACTTGCTCCGGCTTAGATGCCATCATTTGTTGCTTACCTCAGTATTTTGGAGGCGTGGGCTGACTCAAATCAACAGTAATCGGCTGAAAAGTGAGGCTACAGTAGAAATGAAACTGCAGTTGGCTGTTTTTCATTTCTTTGCCTAAGCAGAGCAATTTATTTATTTATTTGTTCATTTATTTTGGAGGGAGGGATTCAGAATTTCTAGCTCCCTACACTTACAATGTTGGTAGGAATGAATAATTAGATAATTAGATAATATTCATTTTATAACCATAGACGTGCTTCTGGCAATGATATGTTTTGAAAGCATTTTTTAATTTGAACTCAGTGTTGGCCTTGTTAATCGCTACCTTTTAGAAATCCCTTGCATTTGGAATCTCTGCAAGAAATATAATTGCTCTTGTGATTAAAAGAAGCCTTGGAGCACGGATAAAAAACATGATGTGTGGAAAAAAATTCTACCTAACATCTTTTGGCATTTATTTGTAATGGCATAATGACCATCTGCTTCCCAGAACCTGGAAAAAAAAAAAAAAAAGATTTCTGTGCACCTGTTTTTATTGCAATGAATGTCAATATGTTGTCTTTCCTGTTATCACAGCACTGGGCTCTATTATCTCTTACTAATGCAAAACAGTTTATTTCTAATAGAAGAAAATGGGTCATAAACGAGTGTCCTAGTTTTCTGCTGAATTGGGGCCCAAAAAAGTGGAGCAAATTTGAAGAGATTTATATACTGTAGGGAAAGATGGTGATTAGTATTTTTCAGACCAAAGCCTTCCTAATTTGCCTGTGAGTGTGTGAGGTGGTTTCAGTGCTACTAATAAATGGGTAATTCCTCCCACCCCCCTCCATTTAATGTAAAGAAATGAAGTGAAAAGTAGTTCAATTTCTATGTTGCTTGTATGGCTGTACTTGCCAGGCTGTCAGCAAGGTTTAACTTACTTCACAGACTTCAGGACCCTAATTGTCATACAGCAAAGCAGCAGCTTCTGAAGCCCAGTCGAGTGGGATTTTTGTACATGAAGAAGCACTGAATTGTTCAAGACTTTGCTGTCCCTCACTACTGACTCTGGATTGATGACAAACTAGGAGACTCACAAGGTTTGTTCAACATTATCGTAGTTTTTTGTTGTTGTTGTTGTTTTGTTTTTGTTTTTTTTTTTTTACTATGTGGAAATCTGCTCTTTACAAAACCAATAACAGGCATTCCCAGTGCTTCAGGCTCCCCTTCCCTTGGAAAGTAACAGAGAACCTGCAAAAGCAAAGAGGAAGCAAAGTGACAACAGCTGAAGCCCAGTCAAAGTATTTGTACATGAAGTACCAGTCTTCAGTAAACTGAGAATCCATTTCAAACTCCATTTAAAATCACAGTGCAGAGGCCACGTTTCTGTTCCTGTCAGTGCCCACAGCCAGAGCGTGGTGGAGGTGCCCGTGGAGAGCCAGGAGTGCAGTTTGTGTCGAAGTTCAGCTCGAGGACTTTGCTGGTTTGGTGCATCCACTTTGTAACGGGATCCAGGATGAATGGTTTCCTTTTCACAAGACCCTTTCCCTGCCCATATTTCACAGGCAGGCCTTTCGAGCCGTTTGCATTACTCTGAAGCTGCTTTCTTGCTTCTTGGTGACCTTCCAGCTATAATTCTGTCGAAGCTGTTCACTAGCTTGCATTTACAGGCTGTGCAAAGCATGGTAGGTAGCAGGGAAAACAGGAAGTTTCAATGCAATTCCCAGAGGTTATGTGCAGGACTGAAACCAAAAACTATCTTATGTTTGTTTTGGCCCACATAGCTGGAACCTAGCGCTGGGTAGTTATTAATGCTCAGCAAAACATTCCAGTGGGTACATACCCACGAACCTGCTGACTTCTCGTTGCTGTATTTAAAGAGATGCTGTAGAAAATAAAACCTATCCAGTGAACTTTAACTGCACTGCATCTGTTCAGATGATGTGGTTTCTAAGAATATGTTTTTCTAGAGCTCCCGTTACTTTTCTGATCATTCCTTGGGCCAGGGCAGCAGAACTGTCCACACAAATACCTCCCGTCTCCTACGTGCCTTTTGACTTGTTTATTTGGGAGGAGGAAAAGGAAGAGAAACAACTCCTACACCATGAGAGCACGCTGAAGTTTTCCTCTGTGGAGTCCTTCATGTTGTTACCTCCTGCAGTGCAGCACAGACCGCTTGCTAGCACAGGTGGATTTTTTTTAACATCCCTAATCCATTTTCCTCCTCTCTTTGCAAATACTTATGGTTGTTTCACCTTCCCTTGACCTAAACGCTAATGTCTGGCTTTGGTTGGAATACAATTCTAAACCAGGAAATAGGAGTCAGTATCTCATGTCTGATCAGTCATCAACTCTAGCCAGTACAAGAAAAAGACTTAAAAAATCTTACAATAACCAAAATCAAAACTCATGCTGATCTATCAAGAAATCAACTCTGGGAGTTCTCTCTGTCCTCAGAATGTAGAGGTTGGACTGTTTTTAAGAAAATGAGAAGACCAAGATTTTATCTTAAAATTGTTATCACATTTGGTGATTTAGGGCCCACCTGGAGTTGCACAGTGCGTTTCAAAGAGTTTACTCCCCTGGGAGAGTGGCAATGATTTTCGCATGTAAAAAGGAATTTCTGGTACTAAAGCCTCCTACCAGATTTAATTAACGCTCTCACTGGCCTGCGTTAACTTCTCAGAAAGTGCTTCTCATCTGGGTCTTGTGATGATGTCTTAGGGTATCCGTAAACACTGCATGCTGCGGAATGCTGCTATCGCATGGCTGTCTGCCCTGCTCACTCCAGTACATCTTTCTCTCATAACACAAGTCAACTGTAGTGATAACATTAAAAACAAGGCTGTTGAAACAAGATTTCAGGTCATGCTTTTGGCTACTGAATTGGAAACAACCAGTTACAAGCAAAACAGATGTAAAAACAGTCACTATCTACTTAGCATCTACACACTCTTTAGCTGCCTGACCTTCCTATTTATCACTTTTAAAGGCATTTGTTTCTGTTTCATATGTGTCGAACACTTTGTCTTGTACAATGCAACAGGAGAAATAGCAACAATTTGGTGCCTTTTGTGACAGCTCTAATCATCACCTGTAATAATTCTTTTAGCCATCATCACATGGAACTTTTTATTTTTTTTTTCTCTCTCTCTCTACTAACACCCTGGGAAGGTGTAGGAGATTGTTCTTTGTTGGGGGAGGGGGAACTAGAAATTTTGGTGGTGTGTGTGGGGTCAGCTCTGTATGATGAACAGATACAGCTAGTCATTTGTATAAGTAGTTGACACTAAAAAAAGATATGCCCTGCCACAGTTTAAATCAAGGTTTTTACCTACTAATTGGAATTTATCATCCACTTAACTGCCTTTCAAAGTCATTAGCATTGTTCAGCTGGGGAGATAGCTAAATTGTAACTGAGGCTGGTGGGCATAAGAGGCAAACATAAGAAGCAATCAAGCTCTTTTTAGTAACTGAACACCCTAGGCACAAAGCAAAGTTTAAATAAGTGCTGGGCTATGTCGTCCAACGCTGGCTGATGAGCATGTCTAATATTACTCTGATCCCTGCTCTGTAAAGGGCAACAGGACTTGTTCTGTTCTGAGTGAATAAGCAGTATACTGTGTAAAGGTAAATAAGCAGGACTATGACAAAATATGCTGTTATTACAATTAATGCAGACATGCCAAAGAGATGTTAAAGCTAACTGCTTGACAACCTACTGAGCGTCTCAGGTAGACGCTGCAGCACACTGATTTGTTCACATCCATGGCTGTCCTCCTAACAACATAACAACATGCAAGTACCTAATGTAAAACCAGCTCTGTCACAGCCATGCAACTCAAACCTGGACTACAAACACAGTGCTAGCTTCCCCAGATAAAGTTAAACCTTCAAACCTGGCTCACAGGCTGGGACAGAAAGGCACTACTGTCCATGTGCACAACGACTGCAGGCTCTCTTCCTGCTCCCACCAAAAGTGGGAGCTCCATACCAAATGAACTAAGTCTCCTCTTCTAGCATTACTATGTACTTTTAAGAAGGAAGTCCACCAAGAAGCTTGCCAAAGTCCAAGAATGTCATAGCTACTAGATACACTGGACACAGTGCTGACATGGCACCTCTTTATCCCTCAGGATGAAGGCCTGGACCCAGGCCTTTTACCTCAGACCTGGGTCCAGCTAAGACAGCTCGTCCTGTCTTAGTCTTCCCTGATAGTGAGACCCAACTTCCTCACGTGGATCCTCAGAGAATCCAGTCCAGAGGTGGGCTCACTCTACAGCACTCCTGAGTGTCTCCAGTTCCACTCTCTGCTCTTCTAGTTCAGAGAGTCCAACCTCAGGAGCACCCTTCATTTCCAAAAGTCATAAATGTTCGTGTTCGTGGATGTGCAAGTATCACTTGGCTTAGTCACAAGGAGACTACTTTCTTCCTCCCAGGTAATCTCTTCCCTTTCTTAAACTCCTGCAGGGGCTGTAACCTGAGGACCTTAGTTTCCTTACAACGTGACGAGAGTGGAGGCTGGTTGTATGTAAGTTCCTATTGTTACTCCAGGGCAGGAAGCCAAGCGTTGCTCTGTAGTCTGATTCCATTCAGTTGGCCTTCAACTGCTGTCCTCATCTTACTGCAGGCTCACCTGAAAACCAAAACTCTTGTCCGTGTTAGATATCTCCTCATGGTTACTGCCACCTCTCACATCTCGGAGTGTAGCCACAGTGGAAGCCTCAGCAGAGACAGAATGCAGCCCCTGGAGATGTGTTAAATCCATGCTCATTGTACTACACACTGAGATGATTAGACAGTGCTTTCACCGCAGCCCCCACCAATGGATCTGAGCAACAGTGCTAAGTTGCATCACTGCATCATGTATAGTTCTTGTAGCTTGTTTCCCCTTCTCTCCTTTCTTTCTCTTCTGTTCATATTCTCCTTCCTTTTGTTCATACCTTTATACTTGCTTCAGGCATGCCAGCATAGTAACAATCTACACAGAGGAATTTCCACGCTGTGAACTCACTAAATATGACAGATATAACAGTGATAAGTCATCTTAAAACTCCATTTTTAAATCTTTATGCCCTAAGAAATCCAAAACAAATGCTGGAAAGTTTTGCTGCAACATGAATGCTTCAGTGAGACCCATCTGGGAGTTCTCTATTGAAAATATATGGGTTATTAAAACACCTAACTGCTCCAACACTTATAAAAATATGTTTAGGATGATAGCTGACAGTGGTCTTTGCTTGGCTGATGAACTGGAGGATCAAATGAAAGAGCAGAAAGTGAGTAAGTTGTGAGGGTTCAGATTACGTACAGCAGTCCCCTTGAACAATCCGGGCTCATGGATGCTTCTGTAGTAACACTTTGTGCTCTGTCCCACTGAACAGAACGGAAGAAGTCCAATTCTGAAATATAATTACCAATAATGGACTGAAAGTAGCCCTGAGGAGAAGGACCTGGGGGTGTTGCTTGTTGAGAGACTTGACGTGAGCCAGTAATGTGCAGTTGCAGCCCAGAAAGCCAACCGTACCCTGGGCTGCGTCACCTGAAGTGTGGCCAGCAGGCCAAGGGAGGTGATTGTCCCCCTCTGCTCTGCTCCTGTGAGCCCCCACCTGCAGCACTGCGTTCAGCTCTGGAAGGGCATGGACACAGTACAATGAGTCCAGAGGAGGGCCACAAAGATGATCAAGGGGCTGGAGCTCCTCTCCTATAACGACAGGCTGAGGGATTTGGGGTTGTTCAGTCTGGAGAAGAGAGGGCTCTGGGGAGACCTTATAGAGGCCTTACAGGGCCTAAAGGGGGCCTGCAGGAAAGCTGGGGAGGGGCTCTTTGTCAGGGAGTGGAGTGATAGGACAAGGGGGGGATGGTTTTAAATTAAAAAAGGGTAGGTTTAGATTAGGTATACGGAAGAAATCTTTCACTCAGAGGGTGGTGAAGCCCTGGCACAGGCTGCCCAGAGAAGCTGTGGATGCCCCATCCCTGGAGGTGTCCAAGGCCAGGCTGGATGGGGCTTTGGGCAACCTGGTCTGGTGGGAGGTGTCCCTGCACATGGCAGGGGCATGGAACTGGATGGGCTTTCAGGTCCCTTCCAACCCAAACCATTCTGTGATTCTGTGATTATGTGGTTGAGTCATAAAGAATGAAAGTAGCCATACATTTGACATCACTTGTATCTTTTTATCTGAGGAACAGTCTATACAGCCTTATTTGCAAAACCTGCTCATCCCTATGTAGAAAAAAAACAAACAAAAAACACAACACTCTTAGTTTCTGTACATTACATACATAGTGCTCACAGAGGAACTTTCAAAGTGTGCACCACATTCAGCTCCTATGTAAATACGCATGACTCCTTCTAAAGTACCAGGAGTGGATTTACCTGCTGGTAAACCCTGTCCCTATAGGACTGAATTTGGCCTGAGATTTCTGTATCTGTCATCTTATTAATTCCGGGCACGCAGAGCCTTTTGGAGGTAACTCCAGTGAGGTGTGAGCAGCAGCATCCAATTCCACGCTCCAGTTTTACACAAACATATAAGGCAGCAGGGAAAGCAAAGATGACAGGTCACACTTCCCGTCACCGCAGTGAGAAGATGTGTATTAATGGCTTAGAAATCAAATTAGCTGTTCCTCCTCTTCTAGTAAAAGCTGGTGTGTCAAAGGTTGCTGTCTCTCAGGAGAATGGCGGGGCACAGATGGCTGAAAATCCTGTTACACTTTGATGCAGAATAAAATTTTGGCCCCATTTTCTTTCAGATCCTGGGACTCCTGTGGAAGCCACCCTGTCGCTGGCTGGCTGGGCTCCCTCCCATCCAACCACTTCCATCTGTAGCCATCTTTCCGCTCTAATTGAACAGATTTCCTACCCAGACTGGTAGCTGCTTGCCAGACAGTGTTACGTGGCTGTCAACAAATGGGCTGCAAATCACTTTTGTATTTGTTTAAATGAAGTTTCTTCCCTTGTCTTTCATTTGTCTTCAGTGAAGGTCAAGGTCAGCAGTTAGAACCCTTTTAAAAATAAAAAAAATACTGTTTCTTTTCCAGTTCGTGTCTGTTTGTAGGAATTTATTGCTTTTTACAAACGTGTTTTAGTGCTGGATTTACTTCAATATTAGATCCTTTACATCGCAGTGTTACCTGTTCGTCTTTTCTGAGAATTCACTTGCACCCTTCAGTGAGACATTCAGAAGCGAGAAGTGAGACATTTTAAAAGCTGTCAGATAAATTGTTAAATTCCTATTTGTTAGACCAATAACGGCCAGAAAATCTGTGGAATTCCAGGATATTCCTCCAGCCTCTGCTTGGCTTTGCAGCAGTTGCAGACGGGTTTGTCAGAGTAGGTTAGTGCTTTAGTCCATCTTGCATTATGCCCCTGGCCCTCCAGAGGAGGATGGTCATTTCTTGCGCGTTGGGGATCAAGTCCTGTTCCACAAAATGCCCAGATAATTGCAGGCTTTTCTTCAGGGATTAAGGGTGCCCAGCAATTTGGGTGGTGGTGGGAGAGAAGAGGCTTGCTTCTTGCCTCCCTCCCACATACTGCTTGGCTTCCGCCTCCGACACCCACTGTCTGCACACAGAACTCTTTGCAGGGTGTTCAGCCACATGTGCTGGCAGTTGCCAAAGCACTTTGAATCGCAGCTTTTGTGACATTTCTGATGTATTGGGGAATAGAAAGTCATCTAGAGAAATCGAGATGACTCCTTTTTATCCCCTCTAGTCCTCTACAACGAAGGAAACTCATGGAGGCAGTGTCCAGGAGTCCAAGAGGGAACTGCAGGCACTAGAACTTCATTGGAAAAAAAGCATCCCAAACTTTACATAAAAGACCACCAAGTATCTACTGTTACTTTAACCTGAGATTCAGGTGTGAAATCAAGTCTCTAGCACTGCCCTTCCCGATGACTGCCAGCTGATACACGGCTCACCCGGGTGATCAGCTTTCAGATT